TTCCAGTAGCCATCAGACAGGTGACACAGAGTAGCACTAGCCCGTCACAAACTAGTCCTATCTTGAGCAAGGATCATACCATGCCTGGAAATAGAAGACGACGTAAAAGGCTTCAGAACAAGGCAGCCACAAGCAGTTCGCCACAATCCGTAGCACCTAATTCATGGAAGGAAGGCTGTATTACGACACCCGATGGCTGCAGTGTTTGCACCAAAGTTGTTTCGGTAGTCGATGAGGCATTTGCATGCAACCTATGTCAACGATGGGCGCATTGCCACTGCGACACCAAAGTCCCCCGACAATACTATAAGCTGATGAAGAGACAACCATGCAAGTGGTTCTGGTACATCTGTCCAGAGTGCAGGAAAATGCCCGCACTCCGCACAGAAAGCCTGAAGGAGATGCTCTCCGCCACGCAAAAGCTACCAGCATCCTCGAATAAAGTAGGGTTAACACCAAAGGATAACACAGAGAGACCTGGAAACAGACCTAGAGCTCCAGCTGTGGGCACGCCACCTCGCGTGGGGACCATATTAGGTCAAGTCTCCATACCTCCTACCCGGCCCCAGGGGACGTCAAGCGTATGGCCAAAGACATCGACCGCTGAAGCCTCTACGAAACCCATTCCAAACACCCCACACACCGTGACTGAGAAACAACCAGTGGAATTACTCAAACCCATTGGGAAGTCGGGCGTGCCACCCACAACGAACCCAGGTCACAGGAGGACCAACTCGATCATTTTGTTCAACGTCGATGTATCGACAGACTCATTGTTGGTCGAGAGGGAACGGTTTGACAGCCGAATGTGGACCGACTACTGTCAGATGCTAGGACTCCCTCCCCTCCCTGCAACTTTGTGTCGCCTTTCTCGAGGAAGCCGTGCACCCCGAGATAAGCCACCCCCTTACGTGTGTCCCTAAATACTGCCAAAGAGGCTGAAGACACACTCCTCTCTCGCGACAACCGGACGTTGTTAATGCCTGTAAAATTCGGGCCAGGCCTGACAAGCCATGGTCAATAAGAGAGGAGGAGAGAAAGTCAGCGGTTGGAAATCCCAACAGAAACAACACTATAGTTGTACATGGGATTCCAGAATTGCCAAGTGACCGCTCGGTCAAAGATCGGTACTTTCACGACGTCCAACAATGGCAATGGCTCTCAACCAAAGTTGGTCTCAACAGTATACCGGCCAACAGCGTCAGTAGACTGCCAAGGCCAGCGCACCTGAAGACCATACCCAATCCCAGACTACTCGCCGTCCAGTTCGACTCATATGCCTCCCTCACAGACGTTCTACAGGCATGGTATAATGCGAAGGATCGCATGGGTGGCTCAATACGTATATGTGAAAGTAAGCCTAGACCCACAAGGCAAGAGGAGAGACGGCAACCACCAAGACCTCTGGAGTCAGTGGTCGTCACACAGGCGCTGACCAGTGAGTTAGATACATCAAGTAAAGAAGCCACCACTGCCACAGCCCCCACCCAAGTTAATAACAAAACACCAAAAAACGGAGCAATGCCAGTCCTATGAGGACTTCCATCTCACCAGGCACACTCTAATATGTATGTACAACGACGTCAGGGGGCTAAGAGGGAAGGTAGCAGAAATGAGGACGCTGCGTGAACATCAGCACTCCGACATCATATTCATCACCGAATCCTGGCTGTCGCCAGACATCTCCGACGAAGAGATGCATGTTACTGGCATGGAACTCTTCCGCAGGGACAGGGAACATAGAGCAGGAGGGGAGTGGCTATCTACGTAAACTCCTGTTTAAAGGCAAGGATGGTTAGCGATACGGCCTTAACCAGCTCCCAGAGTCTCCATGGTGCTACTTCACTCTCCACCGTACCAAATACCTGCTCGGAGTCATATATCGGTCCCCCACCAGCTCCCCTACACATAAGGAAATGGTCATCAAGGCTATCTTAACGACTTCCTCTGCAAATTACGATTCCGTAGTCATTGCCGGCGACTTCAACACCCCGTCCATCCTCTTCGAGACGGAAGGGAGACGCATCAGATCCTTCAATCAGAAGCTGAAGGATGCAATTAAGACTGCTGGCCTCTCAGAGAAAGTGGGTGATGCTACACGCTGGGGACCTAACGGAAACGCATCGCGCCTTGACTACGTTCTGACGAACGATGAACTTCTCATTGAGGATGTTTGCATCCAACCTCCCCTTGGCCTCAGTGACCACGCTGTAATCACCTTCTCCATGATAACTAGGGAGGCTCTGCAACTGGAGACGCCCAACACCTTCCCTTGCTACAGCAAGGCCAACTATGAGACCATGAGGGACTACCTCATGAATGCATCATGGCCAGTGACTGGACTCATCTCACAATAGATGAACACTGGTTGGAGGTGAAGAAAATAATCACTGGGGCCATCAGTCACAGTGTACCAGAAGTAACACACAGACAATCAATGAGAACCTCATGGTTAAAGCGTGGGACAGAGAGGCTTATCCGGAGCAAGAAGCAGGCTTGGTTCAAGTGGCGTACATCACGCAGGGAGTCTGACTTCTTGAACTACAAAAGGATTCGCAACCTCTGTAACATTAGAGTGCGTACAGATTTTCCTACCAAACAAACTTGGCGGAGAGGTTACAAAGCAATCCCAAAAACTTGTACCGCTTCATGTCGAGAAGAAAGTCGACCAGTAAGGGAGTGAATCTTGTCACAGGCCATGACGGGAGTGTACTAGCAGTCTAGAGATTGCCGAGCTTTTGAGCTCACACTTCCAAGCCCAACTCAGCACTGACACAAGATCCACACCGACTCGCTACGACACCGACCAGGTCGTAAATAACGAATACCTCTGTCACGTCTCTATTACAGAGAAAAAGGTGTTCGAGAAGCTATCTAGGCTACGTCCGGGCAAGTCCCCTGGCTGCGATAACCTGAAACCAGTGGTTCTGAAAAACTGCGCCGAGGTGCTTACCAAACCACTTCGCAACCTTTTTGAGCACTCAATAGACTCGTGCAAACTCCCTAAAGAATGGAAGAGCGTCATCTTGTCACCCATCTTCAAGGGAGGAGACAGAAAAAGCCCTGGCAGCTACAGGCAGATTGCTGTACTCCCTATTGTGTCGAAAGTGTTGGAAAGCCTGGTAGCTGACACCATCTGGGAATTCCTCAATAGGAAAACACTGTCCATACTGCTCAGCACGGCTTTCGGAGTGGTCGCTCATATGTCACCAACTTACTAACCGCCTGGGACGACTGGACACAAAGCATTTGACAGTGTCCCACCCACATTACTGCTTCACAAGATCATGTCAGCTGGTGTAAGTGGATCCCTACTCTCTTGGTTCAAGGAGTACCCGGAAGGGAGTCAGTTCTGCACTGAAGTGAGTAGAATAAGGTCGGAGTGAAGACCCTCGATGTCATGAGTATCCCAAGGAGCAATCCTAGGACCGCTTCTGTTCCCCTGTTTGTCAACGATCTGCCAGATAAAATATCCTCACCCATCCTTCTCTTCGCTGACGACATAAAAATTTGGAGGGTGGTAAACGAAGAAGCTGATTGTGCAGCGCTACAAAAGGACTTGTAGCAACTTGAGCTCTGGTCGTCGGACATTGGCCCGAGCTTCAACCTGGAAAAGTGCAAAGTAACGCACACCAGTAGAAATGAGGCAAGTACGACCGACTTCTAGTACATGTTGAGCAACCGTGTTATCACGAGAGTGTCAATGGAGAAAGATTTGGGGCTGGACTTCTCCGACACCTTGGACACTGGCACCAACTGCAAAAATATGACAACCAGGGCGAACGCCATTCTACACTTTCTGCTTAGACAGCTTGGCGCCCTCACTCCCAAACTCTTCCTCACCATTTCCAAATCATACGTGCGGCCGCATCTAGAGGTCTTCAATACGGTGGCTCCTCCAACACTCAAGAGAGACTCTAATCTCCTTGAAAGAATACAAAGAACTGCAACAAAATCTGTTGTGGAGCTGAGGGGGAAGACATGTCATCAAAGACTTGAACAACTAAACCTATTTATCTTGGGATATAGCAGGAAGAGGGGTGGCCTTATTATGGCATACAAGATCGCCCACCAGGCAGACTACGCAAACATCAATTTCGCCTGCAACTCAACGATCTTCACGAGGATACCCCATTAGTATAGCACACCAGAGAGCCAACACCATACTCAGGTCCAAATTTTTCTCCCTGGGGGTATGTGCTTTATGGAATGCCTTAACGCGACATATCGTTATAGCTCCCTCAGTCGACTCATTCAAGAGACGGTTAGACAGCTATGTCACCTCTCATGGACTACCACGGTCGCGCTCAGGTATTCACCAACCTCAGTACCCCGCAACCCCCTCCTAACTACCACTCACTATCTCCCTCCTCAATACAGCCACACTACCTACCAATTCTTCTACAGGAACCAGACCCACGCGACCATTCGCGCAATTCCTAAATACTTTTCTTTCCTTGTCATTTCTCTTTTCACCCCTCCTTTTCTTCTCCTTCCCTTTCCTCTTCCCTGTATTATTTTTCTTCTTTTTTTATTGTCTCTTCATTCCTTTACCACTACCTTGCTATTCTCTTTCAGGTACCTACACAGGCAGGAGTCACAGCAGTTCTCTAAACGTCCCAGCAACCCGTAGCTCCCCAATCACTCTACAAATGACAACTTACTAACCCACAAAACATTCACCTAACCGAAGCTAAAAGCAAGAAAGCAGAGGGGATTTCCCGTCCACTGCAGCAGTGAGCCGAACAACTCGAATCAAGCCCTAAGAACTAGATGTGAGAGATCAAAAACTACCAGTTTTCTACGCTCGCACTATCAATATTGAATATTGAATTATTGAATCTCCACAGGTGAATAATCCTGTCAGAACCCTTAGTTGATAATCAAGAAGAAAGATGGAATATATACAATACTACCACTAGAAAAGACTAACTTTAGTTTTTGAGATATTATTCTCATTCTTGAATTTTAGGAATCTGGTTGAACAGATGTGTGACCTTGTTACTATTGGCGCTCGCCTTGAAAAAAGATGATGAATGCCAATCTGAGCACCTTAGTCACTCAATTTGTACAAGGGATTAAGTCTCGTAATGAAGAAGACCGACTGAGAACAGTCACTGAATTGTGCAAAGTTGTTAGTGGTGAACTGAAAGAGGTCTCAAATCAAAACTATGTTATCTGTTTGGATTTGTTATGCAATGAATTTATCAGTATATTTTCAAGTGGTGATCTACACGAAAAGAAAGGAGCTGTTATGGCAATGGGTAAGTCGTGTGTTTACTACAATAATTGTGCTGAGAGTTGTACTGTTTACTAATAAATATTAGTTATAACTATATGTATTCATAATCAGGAAGTTATTATAGACAGAAGGATATAGTTTTCATGAAATACACCGGGAATACAGAAAAAAGACAGACATCCTCCACAGTATGTGTGGAATCATTGCGTAAAGGGGTCGTTACAAGCATGAGAAGAACTTAGTAATCTGTTAAATCAATATTCAGGCGATAGCTGCTACTTTGATGCGGTGGTCAACCTTCCATGTTGTAATAGCCTAACAAACTCTGCTGATTGAGATATTTATTCCTTGGAGGTCTTACGCTGTGCTATTATTGGCGGGGAGAGTGATGTTTTACTTATCGCTAGACGGAGTGTAACCACGGTAGGGTGTTTCTCATCGATGATCAGCATTGCCATGCTGATACAGCCTTCCTTGTGGGAAGTGGGTTTAAAAGTCGTTAGTGTCAGAAAACATACGCTGTCCCTTTCTCTGTGATATTCTAGGGCCGATGGTATTGGTTCTCTACTTGCATTTAGATCAATCAAAGTGAAACCTTTAAGTCTCATAAGATCGTGCGTAACCAGTTTTAGGCAGATGTCTCTTCGCCATTGCACTCACCCACTGCTATCATTATTATTATTTGTTCCTCGGGTTCCTAGTGGAACATAGGGATTCAGTAGCACGTCTCCAGAGCACTGTTCTCTGAAAACTTTTCAACCTGGCTTCACGATAGTCCAGAAGCTCGCATTTCTTCCTCACCCCATCTCCTCCATATCACCCTCAGCTGGGACGCCCAACTCGTCGTTTCCTATCTGGGTTCCACTCGAGTGCTGGGCCTGGCGCGTGGTGTCCTCGAATGGTCTTCTCAGTGTATGCCCAATCCATCTCCACTTCCTTCCAGTGCATATTTGTTGGGTGATAGGTTCTTGGTTGGTTCGTCACCAGCCAGAGTTCTTTGTTGCTTATTCTTTCTGGCCATCTGATCTTCAGTATCCAGTGGGCGTAGGCAGTTGTTGATGAATGTCTGTAGTTTGTTGGAAATGTCTTTCGTAACGCACCAAGTCTCTGAACCATTTAGAAGCAGTGACTTGACTGAATTGGTGTTAAAAATCCAGGTCTTATTCTTTATGCTGCACGCGGAAAATCTCCAGACTGGTTTCAGGTTAATGAACGTCTGTCTTGCTTGCTTTTTCGATCATGGCTGACTTTGACGTCGTCGTGTGTGCCACCACATGTAGTTGAAACAGTGCTGCCTAGGAGGGTGGGTGAAAGAGGCTACTTCCTTTAAGTTTCTCCCGTTGATGGTGATTGAAGCTTGTTGTTGTTGATGGTTGGGTATCATCATCACCTCTGTCTTCTCTACGTTCACTTGAAAACCCGTCCTCGCTGCCCCTTCTGTCAACTTATTAGTTTTTGCCTGTAGATCTTCAAGTTTGTGTGACACTAGACACAAGTCATAGGTGAAGTCCAAATCTTCTAGGTTCTTTTTCCCGGTCCAGCCAGCGTTTCCCCCTCTTGTCGCTCCTCACAGTTGTCTGTTTCATGATCCCGCCCAGTCCACTGCAATCAGGAATATCATGGGTGATAGTAGACGGCAGCCTTGTTTTACTCCTGTCTTTACTTCACATCAGACGCATCACTGAACTTCCCATATTGAATTATTCGGCATGTGGCATCTTCATATAGCTTAGTTGTTGAATGAGATTGATAAAGGTTTGTGGTATTCCGTGTTGTTGAAGCAATTGCCAAATTACTTCGCGGTCGACCGGCTAGTAACTAGGGAACTAGTTAACCAGGCGAAGTTCCCACTGCTGTTACTACGCCAATTTAACTTACAGAAACTACAAGAAGTAAAGTTTGTTAAATCACGTAGGAAAGTGCATCGGTTCAACTTTTCACACACGTCACAATAGTATATACAGAACAGGTGCATAGAATTACAGTAATATCGACAGAAAAAACACTGTCGACATAAGGCTTAGTGCGAATATTCAAGTTTTAGATGTCAATAAGTGGATGCATCTGCGCCGTTGTGATCGATTTTCAACCATATCACCAAGAATTCTCAACTACTGGTTCCAGTCGTCTCAGGGACTTCAGCCAGGTAGTCTAGACCTTCCCACATGTCTCCGACTTAACGGTCAGTGTCTTCACCTACTGGTATCAGGGTTTGGTCAAGCCACCCTGAACCTTCTTTTAACTGAATCCAATTTCCTCTGGCATTGCAAGCCAAGTTACACGTTGACTCGACATGTACAGTACATGTGCAATCCATCTCTGTCGACTAAAGTTCACAACCTCATCAGTCGACTTGCATATCTTTTGTAGTATCCTTCATATAGTGATTCCGCCTAACTCAAACAATGCTATAAAGATATCTGTGATCAAAACTCTGTAACCGCTTCATATCTTCTACTCTCAGCGGCCATGTCTGCACAGGAGCCCATATGCCAACGAAGACTGATCAATTCGGTTCAATCAACGACGGTGGAATACAAGCAATAACAACAACATTAATTTTGACACAGCGGTGACAACTGAATCGACTGAGCATCGATTACGTCATTGAAAACAAGATAGTTAATAGTACTCAAAACAAGGTATATATTGAAATCACTCAATCAATATCAATATAGGACCAAGCATTACTTACAACCTAACGGTCCAACTTGACACACCTCATTTCAATACATCACGTAGAAAAGCAGTAAAGTCCAAGATGAAGATAAGGGAATTCACTCAAAAGAAATATGAAGTAGGAGAAGAAGGAGAAGAGGAATGACAAAATGGTGAGATTCGGTATAGCGTCGTTAAGATGAGGATAATATGTGTGAGGATACATCTGTGCCACTCACATCGGTTCTCACCCATATCACCTACATTCAGTCTCCAATCACTGTTGGTTCTTCTTGTCCCGCCGACCCAAACCTGCCAGTCTGCATCGTCCTACATGGCTCAAACCAACAGTCACAGACTTCATACATTTGTCCCGTGTTTTAGTCTGACCACCTCAGGCCTTTTTCCAGCCTGGACCTACTTCAGTCAACATTGTGTGACTGGGCAATCGGTGACTAATCATACGTAACACGTGTCACAGCCAACCATCTCAATCGATGAAGGCTCATAACCTCTTCAACCGACTTACCTCTACTGCCTAAACCTCTACACCTGACTTCTGCATTACTCACATGGTGTGGTGACACCAAGGAATACGGCCTAACCTGTACTACGAAGACAACGGTGGTCAAACACTTGAAGCCTTCTCATGTCTTCCACCTTCAACAGCCGTACAGTAGGACAGACCGGATTGCTGTGCAGTACATACGACCCTTAGTAGACAAACGGATATCACGGTGGCACCACAGGTGGCGTGAGTTGGCAAAAGCCAGCTGAGCCCTTTGTATCCGTGCAGAGGTTTCATCGGCCACTGAGCAATCAAGGCTGGTCCTACGTCCCAGGTAAGTGAAATGGTTAACACACTCAACCACTACACTCACTCTATTGTTAGCCGTGGTACCGTTAAAGACCAACCGTGGAGCAACAATTTGCATTTGGGTGGTGAGAAACGCATCCCAAACCTTCTCAAATTGCTACTCAAAGTGTCCAGAAGACTCTGCATCTTGTCGGCGTCTTCATCTAACAGGACTATGTCATATACATATTCTACGTCCAACAAAAATCCTCCTATAATTAGGTCAACGTCTGTGTAACTTGGTGACGAGAGGTAGACCTCCATAAGAATATCTATGCTAAAATTGAGTAAGAATGGAGAGAGTGAGCACCCGTGACGGACACCACTCGATGAGCATAGCTCTCTGGATAACTCACCATAGGCTCTCATATGACTTCCTAGCTTCCTTTATACGGTCTAAAACTCTCATTCCTTTATTTTCATTGTATTTCAATCTTCTAAATATCGGATAAATCATTTCTATCATACGTATTAGGTTTTGCTTGATTCAGTTAGCAGAGATTCTGTGATCAAACTCTCCATCCATCTAGCTATATTAGATTTTATAATTGCCACCATATAGAGCGACTGACAAAATTTTCTGTAAATTACCTGCCTGGGTTGGGTCTACCATTATGTTTCGCCACACTTCTGTATTGTGTTATTCTAATTGACACTAATCAGCTACTTTCATCTAGATACTTGATCTTACAGTCACTGCATGATATTTGATAGATTATTTTTCCCAATTGTATCTTTTAGTCTACAAAGTTTCTCTTTGAGCTGGTCTATAGGTTTAAATGGCAGTCTGATCGCAGCATTCTTAAGAATTCTACATAAAATTTCCGATGTGCCTTCTATATACTACAGTCAGGTCTATTCTACTGTATGGCTGTGAAACATGGCCATTGAAGAAGACTTCAAGTGTTTGACCACCGTTGCCTTTGTAGTATAGGACTCATTCCGTGGTGTCACCACACCATGTGAGTAATGCAGAAGTCAGGTGTAGAGGTTTAGGGAGTGGCGGTAAGTCGGTTGACGAGGTTATGAACCTTCATCGATTGAGATGGCTGGTTGGGACACGTGTTACGTATGATTAGTCACCGACTGTCTCGTCACACAACGTTGGCTGAAGTAGGTCAAGGCTGAGAAAGGCCTGAGGTGGTCAGACTAAAACATGAGACGAATGTATGAAGTCTGTGACTGTTGGTTTGAGCCATGTGGGGCGATGCAGACTAGGTGGTTTGGGTCGGCGGGACAAGAGGAACCAACAGTGGTTGGAGACTGACTGTAGGTGATATGGGTGAGAACCGATGTGAGTGGCGTAGATGTATCCCCACACACATTATCCTCATCTTAACGACGATATATCGATTCTCACCATTTTGTCATTCCTCTTCTCTTTCTTCTCATACTTTATATTTCTTTTGACTGCATTCTCTTATCTTCATCTTGCGTTTAACTGGCTTTCTACTTGATGTATTGATATGAGGTGTGTCAAGTTGGACCGTTAGGCAGTAAGTAATGCCTGGTCCTATGCTGATATTGATGATGATGATGATCGATTCAGGTTAAGTCTTTAAGAAATCTTACCAAATTCTGTGGTAATCTCATATCCATTTATTTCGCTTTATAATTTCTTGTACTATGCATATGAAGTTATTACCATTGAATAAATTGTAATGATGTATTACTTTATGTAATCTATCTACATATATTGTAGGTTGTTTAGCTGAAGTGGATTTTATGAGTGTACATAATCATTGTCAACGATTTGTTAAACAATTATTAACTCAAACATTTACTACAGATCTTCAATTAATAACATTAGAGGCAAGATTTATTGGAAAGTTAGGCTTAGTATTCCCCTATGATTTTATTGAAGAACAAATTAAAAATGCTTATGATATACTATTGAAGGATAGTACTGATGCTCAAAAACATTTTGCTGTAAGTTTTTATCATAATTTTTTTAATTTTTTATCATTATTTACATAAATTATTGTAGCAATCAGATCCTTAATGTGTATATAAGTGAACTTGTTGTCTTATGAGATGCAAATTATAACATTCTGTGATTGACATTTGATGTTGTATCTCTCTTCAAAAATGGTACCAGTTGAGAAGTTGGTCAGATCTCTATGCCAATAAATGAATTGAGAAAGCTTCTATGCACCAAGAACGTCGTCTAGTTCCAGTTCAATGGATAGTTATTCCGAGTTGCAGTGGGAAGCCCTCTGGGTCCCCTTTATTGTTGATTGATTTCTATCCAGTCTGGAAAATAGTAGCTTAAAGCGCATGTGCTACATGGACGACATATTTATTGTATGTAATAGTGAAGTGGAGGCAAAAGCCCACTACTGAAGAGCTTCAATTCATGTCACCTAAACCTGACCTTTACGATTGAGCATGAGGAAAATCATATGATTAGTTTCTTAAATGTTTCATTCATGAAAATAATCAGTGGATCTATCGAAACGTTCATCTATAAGAAACCTTCATGGATACAGGATAGTACATTCATTTTAGGAGCTTTGTTCTGATCTAATATAAAGTGAATGTAGTTAGAACGCTGTGTAACAGAGCCAGAAAATAGGGACTTCGAAAAGCGTGCTAGTGAAGAATGGGTACCGGTAAAGTTTTATCAACAAGCAGGCAAAATGGTTAGGGAGTAGAAGAACATCCCCAACAGTTCAGAAGAAACCAGCCTATATCACCTTGCCATTCAAAGGTGACAACTTGCTAGAGGTAGTTAGATGAAGACTGGAGAAGTCTATCAGAAGAACTTACTACGCAGCAATCAGAGAAAGATAGGACTCCGATCCTCGACACATGTAAATGCATATATCAATTCGAATGTACCTGCGGAAGTGAATACATTGGTCGTACGGAGAGGCGTCTGTCCACCTGAATGGTTGAGGCATGTCATGAAGAAGGCCCCGAGGAGCTCAATAACGAAGTAATTAATGCACTATGGACATGATATTCGTACCTGTAAGTCCTTCAAGCTTATCAGTAGACAGTAAAATAAGAAGTTGCTTGGATATGTAGAAGGCTGCACAATTCGAGTTGCCAAACCAAACCCCTACATTCAGAAGGAAATGGTAGTCAGCCTGAATATGCCATGGTAATAATTACAACATTGTCTGACCATATTTAATCTTTCTTATTTTACTGTTCACTACTAATTACCACCCATGTCATATTTTGTCTTCCTTCCTTGATTGGTTTCGTCTAATTAACCTTATTCCTATTACCAATGTTATCATTATAATTCGACCACTTCACTTACCTGGGAAGTAGGATCAAACCTGGTGGGTTAGTTGCCGATGAAATCTCTGCACGGATACAAAAAGCTCCATTGGCTTTTGCAAATTTACGCCACCTATGGTGCCGCCGCGATATCCGTTTGTCTATTAAGGGTCGCGTGTACTGTACAGCAGTCCGCTCTGTTCTACTCTATGGCTGTGAAACGTGGCCATTAAAAGTGGAAGATATAAAAAGGCTTCAGGTGTTTGACCACCACCATTGCCTTCGTAGTATAGGCTGCCGTATTCCTTGGTGTCACCACACCATGTGAGTAATGCAGAAGTCAGGTGTAGAGGTTTAGGGAGTGGCGGTAAGTCGGTTGACGAGGTTATGAACCTTCATCGATTGAGATGGCTGGTTGGGACACGTACTACGTATGATTAGTCACCGATTGCCTCGTCACACAATGTTGTCTGAAGTAGGTCCAGGCTGAGAAAGGCCTGAGGTGGTCAGATTAAAACATGGCACCAATGTATGAAGTCTGTGACTGTTGGTTTGAGCCATGTGGGACGATGTAGACTATGTGGTTGTGGTTGGGGGGACAAGAGGAACCAACAGTGATTGGAGACTGACTGTAGGTGATGTGGCTGAGAACCGATGTGAGTGGCACAGATGTATCCTCACACACATTATCCTCATCTTAACGACGATATATCGATTCTCACCATTTTGTCATTCCTCTTCTCTTTCTTCTCCTACTTCATATTTCTTTTGAGTGAATTCTCTTATCTTCATCTTGGACTTTACTGCTTTTCTACTTGATGTATTGATATGAGGTGTGTCAAGTTGGACCGTTAGGTTGTAAGTAATGCCTGGTCCTATATTGATATTGATTGGGTGATTTCAATGTACACCTTGTTTTGTTATTGTCTTTATGAGTACTATTAACTATCTTGTTTTCAATGACGTAATCGATGCTCAGTCGATTCAGTTGTCACCGCTGTGTTAAAATTAATGTTGTTGTTATTGCTTGTATTCCACCGTCGTTGATTGAACCGAATTGATCAGTCTTCGTTGGGATATGGGCTCCTGTGCAGATGCCTCGATATTGGCTATCTTTTAACTGCGTATAGTAATGATGGGCTGTGGTTAGCAGTGGAATCCAGGATGCCCATTTTTTCTTATTTGGGACTCGTCAGCTGAATGTACTTGCCTCCCAGTGCAGAGCGATGTTGTTCCCACCAACGGAACTCGGGCTTGGCAGAAAGCGCTTCAAATGCAAGAGGGTCGTCCTGGATTCCAGTGCTAGCCACTGCCCATCATCAGTATATATAATTAATGTTATTACAATTATTTTCCTACCTACTTATCCTCAACCCATTCAGTTCTGAATATTGATCTCTATCCTCTCGATTACCAATCAATCAATCAACATAGGACCAGGCATTACTGCGTAACGGTCCAACTTGACACACCTCATATCAATACATCAAGTAGAAAAGCAGTAAAGTCCAAGATGAAGATAAGGGAATTCATTCAAGAGAAATATGAAATATGAGAAGAACGAGAAGAGGAATGACAAAATGGTGAGAATCGATATATCGTTGTTAAGATGAGGATAATGTGTGTGAGGATACATCTGTGCCACTCACATCGGTTCTCAGCCACATCACCTACAGTCAGTCTCCAATCACTGTTGGTTCCTCTTGTCCCCCCGACCACAACCTGCTAGACTGCATCGTCCCACATGGTTCAAACCAACAGTCATAGACTTCATACATTGGTGTCATGTTTTAGTCTGACCACCTCAGGCCTTTCTCAGCCTGGACCTACTTCAGACAACATTGTGTGACGAGGCAATCGGTGACTAATCATACGTAACACGTGTCACAGCCAACCATCTCAATCGATGAAGGTTCACAACCTCGTCAACCGACTTACCGCCACTACCTAAACCTCTACACCTGACTTCTGCATTACTCACATGGTGTGGTGACACCACGGAATACGGCGGTCTATACACTGCCATTTGACGTGTAAAAGCTATTCGCTTGTATGTTGTTGCACTTAAATCGATGTCTCAGTTTAACGTTGTATATGTATGTATGTTTGCTCCTTTCGCATTGCTTAACGTTATATCTAATGAAGTATGTAGATTATCATCCAGCTGACGAGTGCTACTGAAATTTATGACGTCATTAAATCCTTCTCCTTTTCACGGCTTTTTTTTCAATTTGTATTGGGAAACAAATGTTATTTGAGTAAAAATATTGAAGTAAATGGAAGATATTTACACATTTTGTAGAGCATGTAAGATGTTTGAATTATCCAACTACATGGAAGCAGATAGGAGTTTTAGGTTTCAATGTTTTCTTTATTATGAACTTATTGGATACTTGTAAATTTTGATTATAACTACTCGGATGTAACTCAACTCATTGGATCCTGCCGTCAACATCTTTATAGAAAATTGAATTGAAGTAAAGTGTATGACTGTGTACACTTTAATCTTTGATGGATTGGTCTATAGATAGGGTTTGAACCATGTTCCACCTACTAAAGTTTAGCTTGTTAGGTAGTAAAAGAGAAGAAGATGGGAGAAAGGAATATTAAGGTTCTCTCATTGCCTGTGTATGTGAATGTACCATTTGGATTGATTGTTATTGTACCAATTGTAGTTTAAACCTTCATCATCATCATTATTAACATAGGACCAGGCATTACTGCGTAACGGCCCGAGTTGCCACACCTCACGTCAGTTCATCAAGTAAAAACGTGGTGAGGTGAAGGATAAAGATAAGTGAATGCAGTCAAAAGAGATATAAAGTACGAGAAGAAAGAGAAGAGGAATGACAAAGTGGTGAGATTCGGTATAGCGTTGTTAAGATGAGGATAATGTGTGTGGGGATACATCTGCGCCACTGACTTCGGTTCTGAGCCATATCACCTAGGGTCTCCAACCACTGTTGGTTCCTCTTGTCCCGCCGACCGCAACCACCTAGTGTGCATCGTCCTACATGGCTTAAACCAACAGTCAGCGACTTCATACATTGGTGCCATGTTTTAGTCTGGCCACCTTGGGCCTTCCTACCAGCCTGGACCCACCTCAGCCAACATTGTGTGACGAGGCAATCGGTGACTAGGCATACGTAGTACGTGTCCCAACCAGCCATCTCAATCGATGAAGGTTCACAACCACGTCAACTAACTTACCCCTATTCCCTAACCTCTACACCTGACTTCTGCATTACTCACATGGTGTGGTGACACCACAGAATACGGCAGCCTATACTACGAAGGCAATGGTGGTGGTCAAACACCTGAAGCCTTTTTATATCTTCCACTTTTAATGGCAACGTTTCACAGCCATACAGTATAACAGAGCGGACTGCTGTACAGTACACGCGACCCTTAGTAGACAAACGAATATCACGGCGGCACCATAGGTGGCGTAAATTTGCAAAAGCCATCGAGACTTTTGTATCCGTGCAGAAATCTCATCGGCAACTAACCCACCGGGGTTGATCCTACTTCCCAGGTAAGTGAAGTGGTCAACACACTCAACCACTTCACTCTCTAATGTCTTACTAGGTGAAGACGACGACAAAATTCAGGATCTTTTGAACGCATTGATCAGAAGTCTCTGCATAATTGGCATGTATTGTTCTGGTACATGGTAACTGTAAGATGTGTTTATACTTCAGGATAGGTCTACAATGGCTGTCAGCTTAATCATAAGGAGTGAAATGGTGGAATATGGTGGCAATTGTATCAGCCCAGAGAGGATGATTGCTGAGGAAATCTTATCTCAGATACAGAGGGATAAACTTACGTCACCTATAACGCTGACTAACGAGACATCCAACTACCTGTCAATAGACGATTATATTCTACCGCACTCTATTCTGTCATGTTGTACCGGGTGTTAAGACATAGCCGTTCAAAGTAGGGAGACAGGTCAGGCGAAAGGTACAACGCAAAAAAGTCAAGTTGTTTGACGAGGCTGTGAAACTAATTCGACCGAAATGGCTTGGACATGTTTGGTGCATGCCGAGTCACTGGCGACCTAGACGTGCCATGATAAAAGAAGTTGAATTTGTTTATAAGAGGGTTCAGGATATTGTCAAACGATGATCTATCCATGAAATCTCTGAATGTTTCTTTGGTGACGTGTTGGGAGATGTGTGTAGTCTGTCTGTGACGCAGATATATTGACTCATTGACACCTCTCAGACAATTTTTGCGAGGTTTTATGTTGATTTTGTCGACCAGTCAGTCAGTTACCTCGATATGAGCACTTCAAACGAGAAAACATTAAGATGAAAGGTGAAGAAATAAATAGGAATCTATCAGAGGCAAAAGAAAGTAGTAGTGTAGTAGGCGTTGCTGATAAGAATATGGATATAAGTAGCATATGTTGAGAGGGTGGCAGAAATCGTAGGGAATTACCAGCAATGGGTAAGGATTCCGCCAAGAGAAACAATTACTGTCCCACTGGTTGACAATAAACATTCCTTCCTGCATACCTGTCTTTGGCTTCTTTCAATTGGTGTCGATGCTTCTGGACGTGATGGGGATTCCATGGCCTGCAGAGTTCGAGGATGGAGACATGAAGGTCTTTCTCAGGGACTTCGAGTCGGTCGCGGAGCTGGGGGGTGTCCGGGATCCGGAAGCGAAGGTGGTGGTACTTGGCAAGTTGCTGAGGGGTAGAGCGAAAGTAGCGTATGACGGCGTGGAACGTGGGGAGAAGAAGGAGGCTTGGCAGAGAATGGTTGAACGACTGGAAGCGGAATCCTTATCCATTGCCGGTAATTGCTTATGATTTCTGTCACCCTCTAAACATATACTACTTATCTCCATTCTTATCAGCAACGCCCACTACAGTAGGAGAGAAAAAGGAAGGATGGGAAACTATTGCGATCGACTATGAGCCAGGTCACTTGAATGACAAAATTAACATAGAACGTCAACTACACAAGAGCATCGGAGCTCACGTTGTCACACTTCACAGAAGTACACAGAACAGGTGGATAGAAGAGGAATGGAATGATATCAAGGTAGCGACAGTTGTTTAACAGAATAAAGACTCTGAACATCGAAATGTTAGTGTGAATTATCAAGCTTTTAAGGTGTAACAAGCGTAATATTAGTATCACAAAGTGAACAAGGCAAAGGAGGAGATAGAGTTATCTGAAAATGGGTCTTATGTACTATTAGAAGCGTGTTGGCAGTTGACACTTCTTGGTTGCCCATATCATAGAAGGCTATTTCTTCTTGAGGTATCTCAAAGAGAAAGGGATTTGTTAGACCTCAGAGCCTAAGTGGACAACTGCTTGAGATGATGCCACGACAACTTACCTGTAGTATGGGAGATGTAGATAGGCATACGTCATGTGGTTTTGAATTACCACTAACCAATGATGATTGGTCTAAGCCACCATAATGCATCATCAGCTCGAAGAAAAACCGTTTCCCATCACTGATTTCTTTTGTCACCTGCATTGCAAATGGTTCAGAAGGACAGTCAAAGACTGAATGCAAAAGATGCGATGTTTTAGTCTGACCTCGTTTAACCTTTTTACAACCTGAACCCACATCAGTTAACATTGTACGACAGAGAAGACAATAGCTAAGCATGCACAGCACATGTCCCAGCTATCTAAGTCGATGAAGGTTTATAAGTTTGTCAACTGACTTTCCGTTTCACTCTGTTCTCTGCGGTCCTCTTTTTCAACTTGGCTGAGTAACTGTTCATAATCTTTCATTTCTTCCTCACACCATCTCCTTCTGCATGTCATCTTCGGACGCCCAACTCGTCGTTTACTATTCCGATTCCACTCGATGATCTGGTCTGGAGCGTGATGTCTCGGGGAATATTCACCTAGTAGTAACCCACTCTCATAGAACAGAGCGTAGAATGGCAATCAGCTCTCTACCTCAACTTCATCGACTTTGAGAAGGCCTTTGACAGCGTCGACCGAGAAGTAATTTGGAAGCTGCTTCACTACTACGGAGTACCGCAAACCTTTATCAGCCTCATTCAACAACTATATGAAGATGCCACATGCCAAGTAATTCACAATGGGAAGCTCAGTGATGCTTTTGAAGTGAAGTGAAGACAGGAGTGAAACAAGGTTGTCTACTATCCCCCATGATATTCCTGATTGTGTTGTGGTGGACTGGATCATGCAGCAAACAGTGGGCAGCGAGAAGAGGGGGATACGCTGAGCCGCGGAAAAGAACCTAGAAGATTTGGATTTCGCCGATGACTTGTGCCTGATGTCACATAAACTTGAAGATCTACAGGCAAAAACTAACAAGTTGATAGAAGAGGCAGCTAAGACGGGACTTCAGGTGAATATAGAGAAGACAGAGGTGATGAAGATACCTCACCACCACCACCAACAAACTCCAATCATCATCAACGGGAGAAACTTAAAGGAAGTAACCTCCTTCACTTATCTAGGAAGCACTGTTTCAACTACAGGCGGGACGGACGAGGACGTCAAAGTCAGAATCGGAAAAGCGGCAAGACAGGCGTTCATTAGCCTGAAACCAGTGTGGAGATCCTCTGCACTCAGCACAAAGGGTGAACAAGATACGGATTTTCAACACCAACGTCAAGTCAGTGCTTTTGTATGGTTCAGAGACTTGGCGCGTCACGAAAGGGATTCCCAATAAACTACAGACATTCATCAATAACTGCTTACGCTGTCTCGCTATTGAAGATCAGATGAATTGCCAGAAAGAATGAGCAACAAGGAACTCTGGGAACGAACCAACCAAGAACCTATCACCCAACAAATATGCAGGAGGAAGTGGAGATGGATTTGGCATACACTGAGAGAGCCGACTGGGGACAGTTGCTCGAGTGGAACCCCGAGTTGGGCGTCCGAGATGAGGGTGATATGGAGGAGATATGGTGCGAGGAAGAAATGAAAGCTTGTGCGCTGTTGTGGCGACAGGTTCAAAAGATTGCAGAGAACAGAGTGCACTGGAGACATGCTACTGAAGCCCTATGTTCCGCTAGGAACCTAAGGGATAAATAATAAATTAATTTAAACCATTTTCAGTTCATATTAGATAGACAGATATGGACTCAGTCACTTTGTGAACATTTGTAGAGTAGGAAAAGTGAGGCGCATACCTATTGTATGTGATAGTTAGTGATAGGACTACCCAGTTGACTGATTAGTTGGCTATCCAAGCCTTATCAGATGGAGTACGACTCTACTATGATACTCTTCAACTCCTCAACGTAGTAAGCCAGTATTAAAGAGGCGCTTATTTCTTAATGCCTTCAACTTACATCATCTACTACTACTTCTACTGGTGCTTATTATATAGTACAGTTGTTTCTTTTTGTTTAAACGAAGACATTTCTTTTGTTGTTATCGATAAACTGTATTAAATAATTTGTATTTGTTCGTTTATTTATTGTTTGGGATTCTAGATACTAACATTACGAGAATTCATTTTGAATACACCGACAAGTTTTTGTCAACATATGTGTTCATTTATTAGTGCTATAATTTTTGCACTTCGAGATAAAAGCGTAAGTGTAAAACCTTTTTTTTGTTGTTGTTGTTGTTTCATTTAGCGTAGTGTATGAATAACACTTAAGTATTTGAAGAGAGAGAGAGAGAGAGAGATTGAGTCTTCTTTGAAATAGTGATCGATAGGTATATCCACTTGATATGATGAAGGAAATTTAATTATCAAAGGAGAGAAACAAAAGTAAACAATGGGCTAATCACTTCAAAAAGCTCTTGAATCGACAACCACCTTCAGTTACAGAACTACAAGTGAACACAAATCCTCTAACAAAAGTTGAAGACTTGAGCGCCATAAAGCTATTGAAATGCGGGAAAGCTGCAGGACCAGATGGAATCCTGCCAGAAGCACTGAAAGCAGCCGCAGATACAACAGTGGCCATGCTTACATCACTATTGCAGAAGGTCTGGAAAGAAGGAAAAGCACCTGGTGATTGGAAGGAAGGCTACCCCTTGTTAAAATCCCAAAGAAGAGAGACCTAAGCGTTTGTAAGAAGTGGTGAGGAATCATGATGCTGTCCACTCCCAAGCAAAATATTATGCCGCATCATACTGCAGAGACTAAAGAATGCTCTGGATTCAAAACTACAACCGGAACTGACTGGCTTGCTTCAGGAAGTACAAATCATGTGCCGACCAAGTTGCAACGCTACACTACGCATCAACATAGAACAGAGTACACAATGACAGTCAACTCTCTCCCTACCTCAACTTCATCCACTTTGAAAAGGCCTTTGACAGCATCGACCAAGGAGTAATTCGGCAGTTGCTTCAACAACATGGAATACCACACACCTTTATCAATCTCATTCAACAACTAAGCTATATGAAGACGCCACATGCCGAATAATTCACTATGGGAAGCTCAGTGACGCGTCTGATGTGAAGTGAAGACAGGAGTAAAACAGGCTGCCGTCTACTATCACCCATGATATTCCTGATTGCAGTGGACTGGGCGGGATCATGAAACAGACAACTGTGAGGAGCGACAAGAGGGGGAAACGCTAGCTGGACCGTGGAAAAGAACCTAGAAGACTTAGATTTCGCCGATGATGACTTGTGTCTAATGTCACACAAACTCGAAGGTCTACAGGGGCAAACTAACAAGTTGATAGAAGAGGCAGGGCAGGGCAGCGAAGACAGGACTTCAAGTGAACGTAGAGAAGACAGAGATGATGATGATACTCAATCATCAACAACAACAAGCTTCAATCACCATGAACAGGAGAAACTTAAAGGAAGTAGTCTCTTTCACCTATCTAGGCAGCAACGTTTCAACTACAGGTGGCGGCACAGACGAGGATGTCAAAGCCAGCCATGATGGGAAAGACAGCAAGACAGGCGTTCATTAACCTGAAACCAGTGTGGAGATTTTCCGCACGCAGCATAAAGAATAAGACCTGGATTTTTAACACTAATTCAGTCAAGTCACTGCTTCTAAATGGTTCAGAGACTTGGTGCGTTACGGAAGGCATTTCCAACAAACTACAGATATTTATCAACAACTGCCTATGCTCGCTCCATACTCAAACTCAGATAGCCAGAATAGTGAGAATAAGCAACAAGGAACTCTGACTGGCTGTTGACGAACCAACGAGGCGAGAACCTATCGGTCAACAAATGTGCACTGGAAGGAAGTGTAGATGGATTGCGCATGCAGTGAGAAGACCGATTGGGGACATCACGTACTAGGCCGTTGAGTGGAATCCATATAGGAAACGACAAGTTGGGTGTCCGAGGAGATATGGTGCGAGGAAGAAATGAGAGCTTGTGGAGTCAGGTTCAAAAGTTTTCAGAGAACAGAGTGCACTGGAGACGTGCTAGTGAAGCCGTATTTTCCGCTAGGAACCCAAGGGACAAATAATAATATAATATCATTTGAAAGAGAGAGAGACAGATCGATTGAGTCTTCTTTGAAACAGTTATTGGCAGCTATATTCGGTTGGTGAGTCTGAAATGAGACGAAACACGAATCATCTCAAGTTAGTCGACACCTCTTCATAGGGACGTGAGCTGATATATTACTCTGAGATCATGGTCAAGTATATCAGTATGTCAGCCTCGGATGCCCAACTCGACGACCTGGCCTTGTGTATGATATCCCCAAACCGTCTCCTCAGTCTATGTCCAATTCAATCCATCTCCAATTTCTTCTTGTGCATATTTGTTGGGCGATAGGTTGTTGGTTGGTTCGTTACCAACCAGATTGAGTACCTTGTTGCTTATTCTTATTATTCTGGCCATCTAATCTTCAATGTCGAACGGGCATAGGCAGCAGCTGTTGATGGATGTCTGCAGTTTATTCAAAATGCTTTCAGAAACACTGACTTGACATTGGTGTTGAAATTCCGGATGTTGTTGTTTATACTGAGTGCAGTGTAGTAGATCTACACACTGTTTTTCGATTAATGAAGATCTGTCTTGATGTCTTTTCGACCCGGGCTCTGACATCTTCATTTGTGCCTGTGCCGCCTGTATTTGAAGCGATGCTGGCTAGGTAGGTAGGCGGAAGAGACAACTTCCTACAGATTTCTCCCGTTGATAGTGGTTGGTGCTTACTGTTGTTGTTGTTGTTGTTGGTTGAGTATCGTCATCACCTGTATCTCCTCTATCATCACCTGAAGGCAGTCCTGTCTTTCTTCACTGCCTTGCCTCTCCTGCCAACTTGTTAGTTTTCGCCTGTACATCTTCGAGTTTGTACGACAAGACATCGGTGAGAAATCCAGATGCTCTCCAGGGTCATTTTATCGGTCAAACAGCGTATGCCCATCTTTTCACAGCTCCTCACAGTTGTTTCTTGCATGATCCAGTCCAATCCAGTCGAGTCAAGCACAATGAGGAAGATGATCGACGATAGTAGGCGGGAACCTTGTCTTACCCCTATCTTTACTTCATACGTATCACTGAGCTTCCCATTGTAAGTCAAGTACATTAACGGTGAACTATCTCATATCTAACGTCCTGTAAATCTAAACGAAATTGCTCTTTGGCTTTTGTTTTCGTCTTCTCTTCATCAGCACTGTTCGAATCCCGCCAATTCAAAGATAGATACAAAACAGGTATCTACACCGTAATCATTAGAAATCACTAATTGCTTTAGTCAAACTTAAGGTATACACAAAGAACAGGTGGAGGGAGAAGCAGTGTGTTATCAAAGTAGGCCAGGTTGTGTGTGAACGAAAAAATAATTGTGACCGATTCCTGTTGTCTTGGGGCATCCTAGACAAGTAGTCTCCTCAGACAAACTGCCAAAAACTTCATGAATTGGCTGGTGCGACGTCTTGGTCTAACCACCCTATACGCTTTCTTAACCTAATCAGCATGTAGGACATATGTCTGAACCATCTCAGTCAATAAAGATTTACAATTTCATCAGTCTACACGCCTTCCTTCGCCTATTATCCTCCTTCACCTGACTTCAACATTCCTCAAATGATGATTCCACGAGATCAATCCTATGAAAACATGCACATACACACCAGCTGAATAAAATAATAGTTACTTAGCCTCAAATTAGGCGGCACAGATGAGGATATCATAGCAACTATCAGAAAGACAGTAAGACAAGCCTACCACTGCACTGAAATGCACTGCACTCAGCATATACCGTGAACATGATCTGGATTTTCAACACTAATTCAGTCAAGTCAGTGCTTCTATGTGATGATTGAGAGGCTTGGCCGTTACATACACCATAGGCAGCTACCGCCTACGCGCATTCGATACTGAAGATCAGATGACCAGAAAGAATAAGCAACAAGGTACTCACTCTGGTTGGTAACGTACCAACCAACAACCTATCTATCGCCCAACAAATATGCACAAGAAGAAATTGGAGATGGATTGAATTGGACCTAGACTGAGGAGACCGTTCACGGACATCATGTATCAGGTCATCGAGTGGAATCCAAATAAGGAATGGCAAGTTAGGCATTCGAAGGTGACATGCAGGAGGAGATGGTGTGTGGAAGAAATCAAAGTTTATGGACAGTCGTGGTACCAGGTTGAAAAGGAAGACTATAGAGAATAGAGTGAAATAGTGACGTGCCTACTGATGCCCTACTTTGCATTAGGAACCCAAGGGATAAATTCTAATAGTAATAACAGCAAGGTAGATAGTTAACAATCTTACCAGCCTATATACATTTGGCATAGATTTTGATTTGAAGTAGCTTCACGTATTAAAAAATCAACTTGATCCGATATACTCATCAGTTGATCTCTTTCTGTACCGGTTAATTTTTGACGTATCCTTTCCATAACTGAACGTGCACGTACATTTCCCAAAGTAACAGGTTGACCTATACAAAAACACCAACAATAAAGAATATGATAGACGGTGGATTCAAAGTTTCCATACAAACGCTATTACTCCCTCCCTACCATACTGCTGGTATATCCAGTTGATGAGTCCTAGGTAGGGACGAAACCAAAGTCTCTTCAATACTTCATCAACAGCTTTGATGATCACCTCCTGTCTCAGTAGACATTCATATCACATTTGAATACACCTCACTTTGTTGAATAATTAGTCCTGATGATCTTCTTAACAAATCTAGTCATAACAACATAACATCCAGGAGAAAATATTCAACAGAGCTAAGAAGATCACAGAACCACCATCATTGAGAGCAACAATCTTATATACAAATGTGAAAGACAAGAAAATCAATTATCCAAAGTGAAAACCTACATTCTATGTCGATGGATGAATCTTCATTGCTTGAAGGTTTAGCAGAAAATATAAAGCCTTGTAATCCTGTAAAGAAAAGAGGAGAAGAAGAAGAGATATAACACGGAATTACTAGACTAGACTGTGTTGTGCTTCAGTATTGTTCTTTCTCCCTCCCCTCCCTCACACCCACAGATCTTTATTATGTGTGAGGGTGTCTGATACTACTTGGCTGCTCAAAGACCCGGGGGTTCGAACTCATGACACGGTAAACTAATGCACCCTAGTTACTGCATGATACAATCTAGTTCATTTAGCTTAGGTCAAGGTCAAAGTAAAGAGACAGGAAAAAAAGATCAATGTAAGAACCTTGTACACACAGGTGATACATCGTTACAAATTATCATACACTTCATAGTTGTATTGTGATACGGTTTGTATCATCTTGAAGGCAGTGTAGACAAGTCGTCTATACCTTGTAAGACGTTAGTTAGACCACTTATTGACAACTTCATAGATTGACTGATATCATGTCTTCTAATCTAAGCCAACATATCCTGAGATATAAATGATTTTGGTACTTTCCCTAACACTTACTCCTTTCTTTTTTCTTTGTTTCTTATTCTTTTTTTCAGTGGATTACACGTGAATTAGCTGGAATGACATTAAATTGTGCATTTTATTTAACAGCTAAACGTGAACAACGTCGTTATACAACCTACTTAGGGATTGATTATAATCGTATAGGTGAAACATTGGGAAATTTTTCAACTCGTGAGAATAATATAGTAACTATGCCTAGTCGAACAATTTTCACTTCTACTAGTAGTAATAGTAGTAGTGGAATTTTACGTCATAAAACTAGTCAACAGTCAATGAATAATCCTAATCCTGATTATTTAATGAATGATATTATGTCGACTACTTCATCGTTTATTTGGTATCGTGATTGTCTAATTGAAGCTGTACGTGTACAAGGCGGTGGCGGTGGCGGTGGTAGTGAAACACTTCCATTGACCCAACCAGAACAATCAAATCATGTAAGTATATTCTTCTTTATCTCTGTGTGTATATATATCAGTTGAAAAAAGGTTGATTCAGGTTGTATTTCAATGAAATTCTACACAATCTAAGTATTACACTTCAACTCTCGACCGATAGCTGCTACCTTCACGTGGTGGTCGGGCTTGCATATCACAATAACCCAACGAGCTATGCTGGTGGAACGCTTGTCCTCTCGAGGTCCTATCATACCAGAAAGGTCTGTTGGATAGTGGTTAGATGAAAAACAGTTACGGTTGTAGTGTAAATTGCTACGCTGTGATGGGGGTCTGAGGGCGAAGTCGTACTGCTGCTAGCTGGATGGGGTGTGACAGCAGTAAGGTGTTTCCCTTGTATGACCAGCAGTGGCATGCTGTTGCTGCCTTCTGAATGGAAGTGGGGTGGGGTGGGGTGGGGCTTAGAAAAGGTCGGCCGGAAAAATAACACACTCCACTATGCCCGACGATGTGTCGGGCCGGCGGTAATGGTTCATTTGTCGTTTCCTTTCGACCATCCGGCCCCAAAAATACCAAAGTTGAAAATAATCGTACTTAAAAGTCTGGGTGTGATAGGCCTCAAGCAGATGTGCGATGGGCTCTGTGGTCATATAAATCTCTTTCAGGTACCTTAAGAAGAAATAACCTTCCACAATGTGGGCAGTCGGGAAGTATCAACCGCCCTCACAACTCTATCAGCACTCAACTTTCCTCAGACTAATCTGGAATATACATCAACTATTGACATAAAATTACATAGTTACACCTTAAAGGTGAAGTCTTAAAGTGGTGGTGGTGGTGGTGATCCTGCCCTCTTCCAACTAATCAATTATATTTCACTATACTGAGTGATGATTGTAGATGCAAATGAATATTTTGCACTGCGACCGTTCTCGAACCAGTGACCCTTAGATTACCGTCACGATGATCTACTCGAATTGAGCTACGAGGTCACACTACCGACTAAATTTTTATTTGAAGTGAAAAAATATCAGGTGGTCAACAGTTGGAGTTTGTAGCTTAGTTGGTAAGGTATCGAGTTGAAAACTCAGTGGTCGCTGGTTCGAATCCGGCGGCAGTCTAAATTATCATTTTCACCTTTAATCGTTACTCAGTATCAGTAATACTAGTCTGCTGAACTATGGTTACATCGTTCCTACTAGACACATGTTGAATGAGTGTTGATTCGATGAACAAAGATTCATTCAGTTGTCAATCTCTCTCTCTCCTTCGATCTAATTATATTAGACTTGAGTAGACTGACTTTATCCACCACCCTATTGTGTGTTGTTGACTAAATTCTTGTTTTCCGATAATCTAACTGATTTGTTTGACCTCACAATCATTGTACAGGATAGAGCGACAGTGCTAAGAAGTGGAGTTAGTTACGTGATATGAATATTGACAATCTACGTTATCCAGTAAATGCTACTATTCATTCATTGTATGATGTTTCTAATGAACAGACTAAAATGGACTGTGTTACGTGTTGATTGGATAAACAAAGATTCAGTCGGTTATCAATCTCGGCTTCCCTCCACTCAACACTGTCAATCTGTCCCACACCCTACTATGTGATTGTGTCATCATATGCAGAGCTATAGCTGAACTGTTCTCTAGATTTCTTATAGTATTACAATCTACTAATCTTGATTTAGCTAAGTTTTTGTGCTCGGATAGCCTAATCGATCCTAGTCGACTACTTTGATCTTGTAATCATTACAAGGGATTTAGTAAAGCAGATTATTTTACTGAATTGGATCGATAGGATCTTTTAGCCTACAAAGCTTATTTCTAAGCAGGTTTTTTCGTTTGAATCCCACTTTAATCCCAGCCAGCTTCTGAGGTGCCTGCCTTCCTTGTATGGTAACACAACAGAGGCTATGAATTTTCTTTTAACCCTATCATCATTATTACCATCAGTAGTAGGATTATTATTAATAATACCGGCATTACTACTACTACTACCACCGTCACCACTGCTAATATTTTTCTTCCAATTTCTTATGAATTCATTGATAAATTTAAGTGGGCAATTATTGGGATGTAGAGTATTCATTGATGTGTCTAATTTCTTGTCGGAGATATTCCCATCTACTAATAAGCTTTTACGCTGTATCCACTTAACCATTTAACCAGGCCTATTTTAACTGAAATGCCTTTGTCCAGCCTGGATCTACTTCAGCCAACATTGTGTGACGAGGCAATCGGTGACTAAGCATACGGATTTCCTCGTCACACTATGTTGGCCGAAGTAGGTTCAGGCTGGAAATAGGCCTGAGGTGGTCAGATTAAAACATGGCACTAATGTATGAAGTCTGTGACTGTTGGTTTGAGCCATGTGGGACGATGTAGACTATGTGGTTGTGGTTGGGGGGACAAGAGGAACCAGTAGTGATTGGAGACTGACTGTAGGTGATATGGGTGAGAACCGATTTGAGTGGCGCAGATGTATCCCCACACACATTATCTTCACCTTAACAATGCTATACCGAATCTCACCATTTTGTCATTCCTCTTTTCTTTCTTCTCGTACTTAATATTTCTTTTGATTGAATTTTCTTATCTTCATGTTGCGCCTGACTGCCGTTTTACTTGATGTATTGATATGAGGTGTGTCAAGTTGGACCGTTAAGCAGTAAGTAATGCCTGGTCCTATGTTGATACCGATGATGATGATTCAGCAATAGGAACGACTCTCAGCATCTGTTCTAGATATTTGGAAAATCTTACTACCCATCTCACAAAAAGGATGAGAAAGTTACGATTATATAAAGGATATCTCAAAGTTGTATAAGTTATCTTGATATGATGGGACCAATGGACAACATAAGTTTTATCCAACATGTAATCCGGTAAAGAATGCTGTTCCTTCACAGTGAGACACATCGAATAAATCAATAAAAGTGGAATATTTCGAGTTGTTATTCATCTTAGACAGACATTAGTTGGAGGTGCAAAGGAAACCTGGAAGCAATGGACACTGTTTCGTCCTAGGATGAAACGCCGCAGCATTGCGCACTCACGACTCCTCCAGGGACCGAACCCTCTACCTTTGTGTTCCGTGGTCAGCGTATTAGTACTCGGCCACTTGGTGAGAATCTAATAGTCTATATTTCCAACTTCTGTTAGCTCACGATATTGCGCTTCCGCCACCGAATGTCATTGTTGAGTAACTGTCCTCATGACCATCAGGCTTTGCTGCCGCGGTCACGACTTCTCAATGTCACCTCGGGAATACCTCTGGAAGTTAGTCACCAATGAGCACCAGTTCAATTGAATTTTGAGGGAGTTACGGGGATTTTGGAAATATTTCAATCTTTATATGACGCAAAACGTTTTTGTACGAAGCCTGATGGTCGTGAGGACAGTTGCTCAACGATGACACTGAATGGCGGTGGCGCTATATCATGAGCTAACAGAAGTTGTAAATATGGACGATTGGATTCTGACCAAGTGGTTCAATGGTAACGTGCTGGCCACATGGCCTAAAGATCGTGGGTGCGCACTGCTGAGGAGTCCCAACTAATCGGACGAAATAGCTGTCCAATGCTCCCAGGTTCCATTTGTTCCTCCAACTGATGTCTGTCTACGATGAATAACAACTTGAAGTATTTCCAACTCCTCACAACTCTCTCAAAAATGGAATAGTATGCCAGACCCGAATAACATCGGTAATCTAGACAAAAAAAACTCTGTCCCTGCAATACATACAACACACACACAATAGAGTGGCTGTTAAAACTAATATACTTCTTATGTTGAACATGATTGGATAGACAGAGACGGAGATTGATTACTGAATGTTTGTTCATTGAAACAACACCCAACGTAACACATATAGAATAGGAATGACGTAACACTTGTGTACCAAAGATATATGCAGAATTTTTCTATGAATAAACACAAAGGTTATTTAGTAATGATGGGTACTGGCTAGCAGTGGAATCCAATTAATATTGTTCCCACCGGGATTGGAACTTGGAAGCGATCACTTCAAACGCGAGAGCGTTACCTAGTACACCACCGAGCCACGATAGCCACTTCTTGATATTGATTATCAGCCTAAATTCATTTGTAATCGATAGGTCATCAAGTAAACAAACTTGATTGATTTCGTTACATACGCGTAATTTATTCACACGATTAGTCATGTGATCCTTTGGCCTTGACTTAGTTTGAAGGTCAATCAGATAATTATTATAATAACCAATCAGTTTTCTTCATTTTCATTTGAAATAGATAAACTTGATTGGCTGTTCTTGTCGTTATTATTATAAAGTTTGGCTGCTTATTGTGAGTGCGTGAGTGAGATTGGTTTAAGTCAACCGAACTATCAATCATATCGTGAAGTTGTAATGAGAAATCGTGACTTAAGAGGGTCGACCAGTCGGAAGGGAAACGGATGATAACTAACTGACCTAAGAAACTATGGACTAGTGAAATCCATGATGTATTGGCTGAATAGTTAACTCGTTCGTGAGTTCGAGTCCTAACCGAGTAGGGAGTGCCTAGTCATGATGAGTCTTATACCAAAGCGAAACACCTATACAACCCTTTCAGATTACCACTTATTCTACAGTTCATCTAATGCGACTGAAAAGTCGAGGATGTGAATAAATCTCAGATAGAAAGTGCCATTCATCGTGTATCGAATGAATTTCTCATCTTTTCATATATGACCAATAACATCGGGAATAATTGCAGTTGATGCCTCTCTACTTGAATATTTGTGCGCCTGTTAGAACCTATGGTGAGATGTCAGGGGAGCTGTACTCGTCGAGTGGTGTCCTTCGACAGTACGCACTCTCCATTCCCATTCAATTTTATCATAGATATTCTTATGGAGGTCTCCCTCCCGTCACCTGACTACACAGAGGTTGACCTAATCGTCGGAGAATTCTCGTTACACTGAGAATATACAGATGACATAGTCATGTTAAGTGAAGGTGCTGACAAGATGCAGAGTCTTCTGGATACTGAGTGCTAATTTGAGAATTTTCCACAATTGATGTTCAATGGTGCCTCGGTTAACGACAGAGGGTGAGTGTATTGGTTGAGTGTATCGACCACTTCACTTACCTGAGAAGTAAGATCAGACCTGGTGGCTGAGTGGCCGATGAAATCTCTGCACACACATTATAAAAGGTTCGCCACCTATGGAGCCGCCATGATATCTGATTATCTATTAAGGTTGGCATGAACTGCACAGCAGTCTGGTCTGTTCAACTCTATGGTTGGCTGTGAAACATGGCCATTGAAGGTGGAAGACATGAGAAGGCTTCAAGTGTTTGACCACCACCATTGCCTTCTTGAAACGGGTCGTGTCTCGTGGTGTCACCACTTGAGTAACGCACAAGTCAGGAGTAGAGTTTTAGGGAGTAGAGGTAAGTCGGTTGACGAGGTTATGAACCTTCATCGACTGAGATGGTTGGGACACGTGTTATGTATGATTAGTCACTGATTGCCTCGTCACACAATGTTGGCTGAAGTGGGTCCAGGCTGGAAAAAGGCCTGAGGTGGTCAGACTAAAACATGGCACCAATGTATGAAGTCTATGACTGTTGGTTTGAACCATGTGGGGTGATGCAGACTGGCAGGTTGGGGTCGGCAGGACAAGAGGAATCAACAGTGGTTGGAGACTGACTGTAGGTGATATGGGTGAGAACCGATGTGAGTGGCACAGATGTATCCTCACACACATTATTCTCATCTTAACGACGCTATACCGAACCTCACCATTTTGTCATTCCTCTTCTCCTTCTTCTCCTACTTCATATTTCTCTTGAGTGAATTCTCTTACCTTCATCTTGCGTTTTACTGCCTTTCTACTTGATGTATTGAAATGAGGTGTGTCAAGTTGGACCGTTAGGTAGTAAGTAATGCCTGGTCCTATATTTATTTGGATGGATGGATTATGTCTGAAGAAAAAGTAGATTGCAAGATATCTTAATCTGCTTAAATATATCATATCTAACTTGAAATAGTTATGTTATTATCGAGATAACTTTATATCGATGTTTTTATTCTGCTATCCAGAAGATGGATTAAACCAGAATTTGGAGGATAGGTGAATAATGTTTCAGGACTATTTGTAGCCATTGTAGATGAGTCCTTATTTTCTGCTTCATGTAAAATCTTCTTTTGGAGTATCACAGATAAAGCTTCCATATGCATCACTTTTCTTTTAAAATGATGATTACATGCAGAAAACTTTATTGGTAACGTCTCTGACCGCAAGACTATTGGTTAACATGCTTTCCAATCAAATAGGGGATATCAGTTCCATCGACGTTGTAAATACACCTCACTGACGAATGCTGACATATACAAAACCTAATTTGTATAGGCCTAGCTTCTTGCAACTCTTTTAACATGTTCATATTACTTTATTTTCACATCATATTCACTCTGTTGTTCTTTTATGGTAGATATATGATCACTGAATTGTTATATGATTATTATTATCAGCTGGAGGTACCTGCGCCCCAGTGCAGAGTGATGTTGTTCCCACTGAGACCCGAACCTCGTACCCATTGCACTAAACGCCAAGGCGTTATGCACTAAGCCACAGAGGAACTATAGCCACTTCTTGTACAACGGGTAGTAGATATTACTATTACCAACCAAATTATCATAATTAACATTCAAGCATTATCGAGGCATCCACATACACCAGCCTATATGCTAATACACGTCGAACGATTCGATCCAACACAGAAAACCAACAGAGAATAACAAGTATGTCAAATACATAGTAATAAATATCACCTGTTATACAAGAAGTGACTGTCGTTCCTACGTGGCATAGTGGATAACGCCTTCGCGTTTAAAGCGATGCCTACGAGGTTCGAGTCCCACTGGGAACAACATCACTTCACACTGGGAGGTAGGTACATCCAGTTGACAAGTCCCACCAAACACCACGAAACGCGTATCTTGCATTCTTCTCCTAGCCACAACCAACCAAGTTATCATGATTAACATTCAAGCAATATGGAGGCATCCACATACACCAGCCCATATGCTAATACACGTCGAACAATTCGATCCAACACAACAAACCAACAGAGAATAACAAGTGTGTCAATCAATAGTTATTATTATTATTACTATTATTATTATTATCATTAAAGGAAGGTAATTAACTTTTCTTTGCCTAGCACACTATCAATCTTCGCAAATTAAGTCGAGATGATTGGTTACACGGGAATATATTGATATTACAAGGCTTACTTGTATGTGTTCAACCACAATTTGGAAAATTATTAATGGAATTAGATCAAATGTGTGGCTTGGTAAGTAGAGTAGTGAATGATATACAACCTGTAGTTTCATATTATCGTTGATTGCATGTTTATAGGAGTGAATTTTTGGGGTGAGCATTTCGTCCAGTCTAGAACTCATCAGTCATTCCATTGTGACTTACTAGTCTAGTGGATAACATACTCACTTAGAAGGTAGACATATTCAGCTGACATGTATGGATCCGAAATGCGGATGATCTCCTGGATTCCTGCGTTTCTCTCCAATTATTGTATTATTATTTTTTCTGTGGGTTCCTAATGGCTGCAGTAGCACACTTCCATTGCACTCTCTTCTCTGCAGTCTTTCGAATCTCGCTCCACAACAGTCGAGAAGCTTTCATTTTTTCCCCACACGATCTCCTCCTTTATGTCACCCTCGCCTTGGACGCCCAACTCCGCGTTTTGCATCTGGGTCCCACTTGAGGGACGGGACTGGCATGTGATGTCCGCAGTCGGTCTTTTCAGTGTATGCCCAATCTATCTCCATTTTCTTCTACTGCATATTTATTGGGTGATAGGTTGTTGATTGGTTCGTCACCAGCGGTGGCAGCTGTTGATGAATATCTGTAGTTTGTTGGAAGTGCTTTTCATGACACGTCAAGTTTCTGAACCATATAGTAGCACTGACTTGATTGAATTGGTGTTGAAAATCCGGATCTTGTTCTACATGCTGAGTGCAGTCGATCTCTTTGGTGATTTAAGATTGATGAAGGGTGGTATGTGTTGCTTTTCTGTTCCTGGTTTTGACATCGTTGTCTGTGCCTGTACTACCCGTAGTTGAAACGATGCTGCCTAGGTAGGTGAGTGAAAGAGACAGCTTGCTTTAGGTATCTCCCTTTAATGGTGATTGATGCTTGTTGTTGGTTGTATATCTTCATCACCTCTGTCTTCTCTATGTCCATTTGAAGTCCGATTTTCGCTGCTTCTTCTATCAACTTGTTAGTTTTCGAGTTTTTGCAACACTAGACAGAAATAATCATCGTTGGTGAAATCCAAATTTCTTAGTGTCTTTTCATCAGTCTAGCGTATTGCCCTCTTCTCATAGCTCATCATAGTTTGTTACATGATGCAATCGACCGTAATCAGGGAGATGATGAGTGATAGTAGGCGGCAGATTGGTCTTTACTCCTGTCTTCACTTCAAAGGCGGCACTGAGCTTTCCATTGTGGATCACTTGGCATGTAGCATCGTCATATAGAGCTGTTGAATGAGGTTGATTAGTTTCTCTCCATTATGTATGATTAATTTCAACTAAGGATTATTTTGTTTTTCTCTACAAAGACAAATGTATTAGTTCAATGGTAATGTTTACGGTAAGAACTGCATTTATTGCGGTTCTGATGTTTGACGAAATGATCCATCTGGAGGATATATTTCTTCATGTTTCTGATTATTTATTTCAATTCATGCATCAATATAGAGTTGTGTAACTTATTGATTTCCATTCGAAACGTCATGGGTTCGAACCCCTAAGGTTTATTCATTCGGTGTTAATGAATACTTTTCACTAATTTATATAACTATATAATGAAATATATAGACAAAAAGCATGGCATAGCTATTGGTTGACTATTAGAACCCTCATTATTATTATTATTATTTGTCGCTTTGGTTCCTAATTGAACATAGGACTTCAGTAGCATGTCTCCACTCCACTCTGTTCTCTGCAAACTTTTGAACCTGATTCCACGACAGTCCAGAAGCTCTTATTTCTTCCTCTCATCCATTCCTTATCTTCTTTCTTCTTCCTTTATAATATGGTTATACAGGTTTCTTTCCACATAGCTTTCGAAAAGTTGCAGTGCTCATCCATACAAGTTTCTTCGGGATGTTGCTCGATATTTTACATTTTGTCCTGACGGCTGCCGTGAAGATTTTCTTTGTAGTTTCATCCTTCAGTTTCCGGATGTTGAAGTTGATCTATGGTCTATCACCAACTTCCTTGAAGGCTTTCAACTTGATTTTGAAAGTAGGTTCTTTATATTAGATAGTGAGTGGCGTGAACTTACATCTGCTCCTCTTCTTGACCTTGTGTCAAGTAGGCTGCGTCTCCACTTTCTTGAGATTGAGATGAAGTCAATCTGATTTTTAGTGTATCCATCTGGTGAGATGGAATCCATGTCGCTGCCTTGTGAATATCCTTGTGTTGGTACACACTGCCTCGAATCACCAAATCGTTGAGTGCTCAGAATTTTACGAACAGTTCTGCATTCTCGTTCATTTCACCTAGCACTTCTCGACCCATGGTTAGTTCTCTTCCTGTGTTGTCCGCTCCGAGTTTGGCATTCGTGTCACCCATTAGAATTTTGATATCGCCAACTGATGTCTTGTCTAGTATTCATTGCAGTTGTCTGTAGAATTCTTCCTTCTTCGTTTCCTCTTGATCTGCATTATTTGTAGGTGCGTACCTTAGCATTGAATGATTGTGACTTTCTTTCCTTTTGAGTTGAACCTTGTTGTTATGATCCCGATGCTGGAGGAGATTAGTTCCCACTGCATGAGAGTGAGCCTTCGATGCTCTTCAAATGGACTTCATGATAGCCACTCCAAAGCTCAGTGTGCTCGTGGTTGTCGTCTGGGTGACAATATTGGGGTAGATTATTGATTCTCTAGTTGACAGTTTAGAGAGTTCACTTCCATTCCATCTGTTTTCGCAAATTCCTAACACTTCATTGCTATACCTTCTCATCTGGTTCTCAATCTGGGCTGCCTTGCTGGGTTCAAACATGTTGCTGATATTCCATGTTCCTATTTCAACTTTCACTTTCATCGAGAGAAGAGTAGACACATCGGCCAATTGGCTTCCCGAAAGCTTTCACCAACTAGCGTCATATCACCTCTCCGATTCCATCGAGGAATAATTTTGTTATTATTTTTTATATTTCATTTGTGCTTTGAAGTTTCTTTAACGGTTGGATTGGTTTTACGGTGTAGGGTTGCTAGCCCTATGCTCAACCTTCCCTCTTCACCCTAGGCTCTTAGGACCGGCTAGTAACTAGTGTACTAGTTAACCAGGCCAGGTTATATATATATATATATATATATATATATATGCATGCCTGATTGTACAGTTTGAGAATGATATCGCTGAAAAGGATAGCTGTTCGCTAAATGTCTTTTGTTCAATGACTTAATGGGGATATTTAAAGTTATTTACTCCTTTTTCTCTATTTCTCTCTTTCTGTCTATCAAAACTAGCCATTGTTTGAATTTCTTACATTAAATCAAACTGATGCAAATCAAGCAGTACATAGTGTTTTAAATACACGTTGGCCAATTACTAATACTTCATCAATTCTTGTTACTATCGGTGTTCTACCTGGTAGTCCATTTTGTTCATCTAATTCAGAGCAATTATCAAATTTATCTTTAGAAGTATTAGGTTTACATGATGGTATAAATAATGATTGTCAATATTCACAAACAACAACAACAACAACAACAACAACAGGATCATCAACATTACAACAACATCATGAATCACAATCGAAACAACAACAACAACAACAACAACATTATGGATGGGAGAATTGTAATGATTTATCTTCAGAAATATGTTATCATCTTTTATTGGAAAATATTGATAAGGTGAGTACATTTTATATTTCATAGTTTTATGTATTAATACTGGATGATGATTGAAGGTAAGATGAAAATCTTGAATCGAAGTGGGATTCGAACCAGCTACCTACTAGGTTTTCGATCCAATAGTCTATCAACTGAACTATAAGGTATGATTACTATTGACCAGGTGAGGTTTTGTCCGACTACTATATGAATTCATGACGCGTTACTACTCCTTGATCGTATCGAAACTGGTTGCCCACCAGTCAGGATTTCTCATTGCAATCCAAATGTAACTGAATCAGATAGGGGGGCGGGGGGAAGCGTCGTATTGATTATGATTTTGACTATCTAAGATAGCAACGATGAGTTGGTAGACTAGTATTACTGATATTGGGTAATGATTGAGGATGATATGAGAGTTTGGTGCACTACTGGATTGGAACTAGTGACGAAATGGCTACCGGCCTGATGCTCTACCAACTGAGCCACGAGGTTCGACTGCTAACCGTCTACCATGTGGATTTGTAACGCATTACTACCACTTGATCGTATTCATATCAGCTGCCTAGTCAGGACTTTTTACAGTTGTATTATTGAACAGGTGAGTTAGTTTACTTTGAGCACAGGAATCTGAGTAGTATACTTAGGATGTAAAATGGTTCTCTAAGACAGATTTCGGGTTAATTGTAATTTGGAGAAATTATCGACTAATAGATTGACAACTTTCCCGTCTCTCCTCTCTGCTATTACTTGGAAAGTTGTACTCTCGTTAATATATTGTTTGGTAACTGACGAAATCTCAACATGGATACATAAAAACTTGTTTGGTATTGGCCAACATGAGTTATCATTTCCACCAGTGAGATATCCGATGATGAGTATACTGTTCTATCCTATCCTAGATAGTTTATGGCATTGTGTTCACATATAGTGAGATCACTGTGTGATGAATGTAGAGTGAGCACTGGAAGGCAACTATATACACCCAAAACTATTCAATATATATCAAGCAGTTTTCATTGCTGTGAAGACATTTGCCTCAGTTTACCTCCATAACATTCTGTGAAAAGACTTTTATTAATGCTGAGTAATGATTGAAAGTGAAGTGAGATTCTAACCAACGATCATGGGGTTATTGGTACTACATTATGCCTTGCTTGTATCTGATGAAAAGGGAAGGTGATGAAGTGAGTCGATGACTTACGGCACTTAGAATTGCACGGTTGTCGAAAATGTGATATAATTTAGCCGCTAGGAATGCTCTTCACAGGGGTTCTTCTTATAAGGAACTGTTGACATTCATGTCTTAACCTTTGTAACATTCATATACCTAGTTAAAAATCTTTACTGCTGTTTTTTGGATCGCAGCTTTGACGTCCTCATCTGTTGTTGTGCCGCCCCCTGTAGTTGAAACGATGCTGACTTGGTAGGTAGGTGAAAGAGACAACTTCCTTTAGGTTTCTCCCGTTGATGTTGATGGCGTTGGTTGGGTATCTTCACCACCTGTGTTTTATTAACGTTCACCAGCAGGAAGTCCCGTCTTCGCTGCTTCATCTGTCAACTTGTTGCTTTTTGCCTGTAGATCTTCAAGTTTGTGCGACATTAGACATTAGACATAAATCATCATCAGTTACTTTGGTGATAATTAGGGTGGTGATTAGAGCAATGTTGAAGTCAAATGAAGGGTATAGATAGACAAGTTAGTTGGTGAAGTTATGATATGGAGTGCTCATGTTGAGTCACTACCATCTACCTCGATGTGTCGTGGTGGAAAAAGGTTCTCGGTAGTGGTCTGAGCTGTACACGGGGGTGGGGTGGGGTTGCAGAGCGTCTGGCTAGAAACTCAGAAGTAATCACACCATGACACTTTCTAAACCTTGAATATTTGCACGAACCTCTATCTTCAAAATTATTCATTCTCTCATATACACCTTTATCTACTTCAATTACTATTCGCCTGTGCTTTATATACTACTGGGAAGTGTAGTAACTTGAAGGTGATGAACTTATGTGTACAGGAGGTTGTACATTGATTCTGTATGTGTAAAATGTATAATTAATTTGCAAAGAAAGAATTTCTCCAATGAATACTTCAGTTGGTAGAGCACCGAACCGGTAATCCAAGTTGGTCACTGGTTCGAATCCAGCCTCTGTCCAGATTTTCATCTTATTCTTTACCAATACTTCAGTAGCTTATCTTAGCTAACAAAGTGATGTGTGAAGTATTGTTTTTCTTTGATTATTGTGTCATATTGATTATCTCTTCGCATGACCTTTCACCTTGTAGGTGTTTACTATCACTCTCACTGGTTAATTAGTCAGATCGATCAATGTCTGTGCGCGTGTTAGTTACCAAGTTTCAATTAACTTGATGTTCATAGTTTGTGCGTTATGACTAGCCGACTGATTTTCGTGTCAACACTGGTGGAGAAAGTGGCCAACTATGTCTAATTGTGGTGATAATCTCAGCTGTTTGTGCGGTTAGGTTACTACTACTGAATGAGGAGCGTATTGAAGTTTATCTTGATGATATTGTGTAGGGGAGAGGAATTTAAGCTTAGGATAATGTGTGTAGAGGTATTTGCACTACTGACATTGATTCTTAACAATATCATCACCTAGGGTGTTCAACGACTGGTCTGTGTATTGTCATAGGGATGACGAATGACTAGTTTCCATCGCGCCTTACATAGCTCACATCAACAACCAAAGACTGTGTTTTAGTCTAATTGCCTAAAGGATTTCTCTAGACTGAACCTACTTCAGTTAACATATTGTGCGATAAGGCAAACAGTGAGTAAGAGATACGTGGTAACACACATGGTCGATAAAGGTTGACAACTGCATCAGTTGACTTTTCGCTTATCGCTAAACTTCTCCATCTGACTTATGGTTGGGATATAAGTAGTAGTATATATTGAGAGGGTAGCAGAAACTATAGACAGTTACCAGTGATGGGTAAATATTCTGCTGAGAGAAACGCAAGAGATAATGTAGACGTATCAAGAATAGATTGAGGTAGGAGAAGAAGCGGGAATGAAACACATTGTGCATTCATCATCCATCCAAATCAACATAGGACCAGGGATTACTGCATAACGGTCCAACTTGCCACGGCTCATTAGTACACCTCTCATATCAGTACATCAACTAAAAAGGCAGTGAAGTGGAAGATGAAGAAGGAGAGAAAATTCAGTCAAAAGAAATATAAAGTACAGAAAGAGAGAAACGAAGAATGAGAGAATGGTGAGAATCGATATAGCATCGTTAAGATGAGGATAAAGTGTATGAGGATACATCTACGCCACTGACATCGGTTCTCAGCCATACCACCATGTAGGGTCAGTTTCTAACCACTGTTGGTTTTCTTGTCCCACTGATTCGAACCGGCTAGTCTATATCGCTCCACATGGCTCAAACCAACAGTCTGCGACTTCATACATTGGTGACATGTTTTAGTCTGGCCACCCCGAGTCTTTTTCCAATCTGAATCTACTTGGGACAACATTGTGCGACGAGGCAAACGATGACTAAGCATACGCAACACATGTCTCAGCCAGCCATCTTAGTCGATGAAGGTTTACAACTGTGTCAACTGACGTACCTCTTCTCCCCCTCCAAAACTCTACACCTGACTTTTGTCCCCAATCGGCCTTCTTAGTGTATGCCCAATCCGTCTCCGATTTCTTCGTCTGCATATTTATTGGGCAATACGTTATTGGTTGGTTCCTTCCCAGAGTTCCTCGTTGCTTATTCTTTCTGGCCATGTGATCTAATCTTTAGTATGGAGTGAGTGTAGGTGTCAGCTGTTGATGAATGCGTGTAGTTTGTTGGAAATGCTTTTCGTAACGCGTGAAGTCTCTCAACCATCATATAGCAGCACTGAATTGGTGTTGAAAATGCGAATTCTATTCTTTGTGCTGAATGCAGTAAATCTCCACACTGATTTCAGATTTTTGATGGGAGATCTATCTTACTGTCTTTTCTATCTTGGCTTTGACATCGTCGTCTGTGCCTATGCCGCCTGTAGTTGAAAGGATGCTGCCACGATAGGTGAAAGAGACAACTTCATTTAGATTTCTCTCGTTGTTGGTGATTGGTGCTTGTTGTTGGTTGGGTATCTTCATCACCTCCATCTTCTCTACCTTCACCTGAAGGATGTCCCGTCTTCGCTGCCCTGTCACTTCTGTCAACTTGTTAGTTTTGGCTGTAGATCTTCAAGTTTGTGCGACATTGGACACAAGTCATCATCGGCGAAACCCAAATCTTCTAGACTCTTTTCATCGATCCAGCCAGCATATCCCCCTCTTCTCGCTCCTCACAGTTGTTTGTTGCATAATCGTCACCTGGTTAACTAGTTCACTAGTTACTAGCCGGTCATAAACCCGGATAAACAGGGAAGGTTCGGCATAGAGCTAGCAACCCAACCCTCGTAAAACCAATCCAACCGCTACAGAAACTTCAAAGCACAAACATATGATCCATTAAAAACAAACAAACAAACAAACAAACAAAGGTATATTACTCACGTTAGATTACGACGTAAAGTTTCAGCATTATTGATTAATAGTGTATTGACAAGTCCAAAGAATTGCATAATACGTTCATCTTATCGTGTATCTTCATGCCCCTTCAATAGAAATATATACTGTTGACCATTTGAACCTATACAATAGAATATTCAATTAATGATAACAAAAAAAATAATCATTAAATGGAATAGGAAACAGTTTGATATCAAAATAAACAGGTCAACAACAATTATTCATTCATCATTGTTTTTATATCATATTGGACAGAATTGATTGGTCTGTATTGGTATATAGGATCCTGTGTGGATTCCTCGATATTACCTGTGCTCTTATGATAGTAGATAGCAGGTATATCCAGCTAATAAGTCCTATATAGGATGAAATGCACATTGTGGATTCCACTGCTAGCCACTATCCATCATTACTGTCTTGAGAGCACAAGTAATATGGAGGCATCCGCACAGGATCCCATGTACCAATACAGACCGGTCAATTCTGTCCAGTCATCAAGGGTATGATATAAAGACAATTATATATATGTATACATACTAAAACTATACGCGTCATACAAGAAGTAGCTAGCGTAGCTCATTGGCTTAGTGGATAACGCCCTGGCAATTGAAGCGATCACTCCTGAGTCCGAATCTCGGTGGTGGGAACAGCACTCACCGGGAAGCAGGTACATCCAGATGACGAATGCTATATAGGATGAAATGCATATCATGGATTCCACTACTAGCCACTATCCATCATTACTGTCTTGAGAGCACAAGTAATATGGAGGCATCCGCACAGGATCCTATATACGAATACAGACCGGTCAATTCGGTCCAATCATCAACGATATGATATAAAGACAATTATATATAAATATAACCGTTGGCATACGAATATATAACATTGATTTTATCTGTCTAGTCTGTTCGTACTTCCAAGGTTATTCTATCTATGTTCTATAGGGGGGAGTATATTGCGCTGCACATTTCGTTCTATCCTATTATCCGCCATTAAAAGTAGATGACATGAATCAGTGATAAGATTTTGATGACTGTTATCTACATCTTATTTACTCACGTTTAACAGAATCAATATGTGAGCAAAATCCGAGGTTAAATAGAAGGGGTAGTTAGTTAACAAACCAATCAAGTTGCTAAATGAAGTTATGAAGTGTTATCGTCGGTTGAAATAGCTTTATGATTGCATAAGTGTTTTTTCAACAAATTAGCTTTATACAATTTCTCATCTATTTTACAGTTATGGTCCTCAATACTCCAATGGATGAATACACGTAATCATCAGATTATGTTTCTGCTTTATAAACTAATTCCACGTGTAGTTGCATTGAAACCTGATGAATTCTTGGATGTTGAGTAAGTTTAATATGTGTATATGTATGAATTGTTTACTTGTTAACTCCTTTTCGCTTGTATAATTAAAATTTTCGAACTATAACACTCTTCAGCCGCATAAATTTATAACTCCAACAAAGATTAAATCCAAGATGAAGGAAGATGTTACCAGGATAATATTAGATATTGGTTTGTTTATCGGCAGATTTAATGGGTTTTACGGTTGAATTCTTAGCGAAGTTATCGATTCATACTCCTGATGAATCGCATATTAGGACGAAATAACTGTTGTTTAATTTTTCTTTGTTTTTTTGTTCCTATTACAGACGTCAACGTGTTGTTATGGAGTGGATGTTTCAATGTTTACGTAAAGAAAAGGAGAAACCGATGATTTTATTGAATATATCTCTTATCTGTTATTTTATGGGTAATGAATTTGCTACCTCCAATTATCTTACACAACTATTTCAATTGATTCGTTCGTATTTACCAACTCAAAAGGATATTTCTAATAAGTACGTTTCTTGCCTCCTCCCCTCCCCCCCGCCCCTCGCCTTATTGTCTTCTCAATACATATATACACATCATGAAACATATTCAAAACCTGTTTCATAGAGATGGAGTGGGGTACAAACTCTTATCCCACTCATCATTATCAACATAGGACCAGGGATTACTGCGTAACGGTCCGGGTTGCCACACCTCATATCAGCACATCAAGTAAAAAGGTAGTAAGGTGAAGGATAAAGATAAGTGAATGCAGTCAAAAGAAATATAAAGTACGAACAGAAAAGGAAAGAGAAGTGACAAAATGGTGAGATTCGGTATAGCGTTGTTAAGATGAGGTTCTGAGCCATATCACCTAGGGTCTCCAACCACTGTTGGTTCCTCTTGTCCCGTGGACCCCAACCACCTAGTGTGCATCGTCCTACATGGCTTAAACCAACAGTCATAGACTTCATACATTGGTGCCATGTTTTAGTCTGGCCACCTCGGGCCTTCCTACCAGCCTGGACCCACCTCAGCCAACATTGTGTGACGAGGCAATCGGTGACTAGGCATACGTAGTACGTGTCCCAACCAACCATCTCAGTCGATGAAGGTTCACAACCACGTCAACTGACTTACCTCTTCTCCCTAAAACTCTACACCTGACTTCTGCGTTACTCACATTGTGACACGGTGGTCAAACACCTGAAAGCCTTTTGTATCCTCCACTTTCAATGGCCGTGTTTCACAACCATAGAGTAGAAGAGAGCGGACTGTTGTGCAGTACACGCGACCCATAATAGACAAACGAATATCACGGTGGCGCCATAGGTGGCGCAAATTTGCAAAAGCCAATTGAGCTTTTTGTATCCGTGCATAGATCTCATCGGCAACTAACCCACCAGGGTTTTTCTTTCAAATTTTTTCTTTCAAATCAAAACCAAGATCGGAAAAGCAAAACAGGCCACTCTTCATGAATCCGAAATCACTGTGGAGATCTACTGCACTCAGCATGTAGAACAAGATGCGGATTTTCAACAGCAATTCAGTCAAGTCTGTGCTGCTATATGGTTCTGAAACTTGGCGCGTCAGGAAAAGCATTTCGAACAAACTACAGACATTCATCAACAGCTGCCACCTACGCTCACTTGATACTGAAGATCAGATGGTCATAATGATAAGAATAAGCAACAAGGAACTCTGCGAACAAAGCAAGAACCCATCGGTGAACAAATATGCACTGGAAAGAAGTGGAGATGGATTAAGCATACACTGAGAAGGCCGACTGAGGAAATCTCGCGCCAGGCCAGGCCGTCGAGTGGAATCCGAAGGGAAAACGACGAGTTTGGCATCCGAGATGAGGGTGACATGGTGGAGTTAGTTTGTGTGAGGATGAAATGAAAGGTTGTGGGCAGTCGTGGCGCCAGATACAAAGGACTGATGAGAAGAGAGTGCAATGGAGGTGTGCTACTGCAGCCGTATGTTCCACTAGGAACCCACGGGAAAAATCCAGGAGATATATTTCGTCCGCGTTAGGGTTTCTGTTGGAAGATATGGGCGCCTATGTAAAAGTGTCATTGTTACTTGTTGACACTCATTACATTGTAGTTTATTTGGTAGTAGTGCCTAGAAGGAGAATCTTGAATGTATGTGGACAATAGTAAGTGGTGGTGTTTCCCACCTTTGAACTAAGAGTCGAACACTGTGCTTCTATGTCACCTACTTTGACTTAGACGAATCGTTAATATCATAAGCCATCGTGTAGCAAGTATAGTCAACAGCTTAGAACATACACGTTTACAGGGTCAAATAATACTACTTTATTGCTTATAAGTAGTGTGAGTGAGTTAAACTGTTGGTGATGAGATTTCATGCCTAATTTATTCTACCCGTTGTCCTTTCTATATTCTACAGCTGTTTTTGTCAGATATGAGCTTCTATCTGTATGCCTCGATACCAGTGAATATCCACTGTGTCTCATAATGGATACGCATTTCAGCTGAATATATCTCCCCATTATAGTGAGATGAGATTCGAAACTTTAGTACCCATCGTATCAAGCACCGAAACATTCCTCATTCATTAAGCCACTAGGATACACTAGTCATCTCTTGTTTTTATAATTTCTTGTTACTATGCAAAGTTGAATTGCTCAATCTCTGTAAAGTTGATATGTTGCTATTTTTTTTTCTTCTCTCTTTCTTTCTTTTCTATTCTTAAAGGAAACGTTCACCGACATTAGAGACTGCTGCTATCTTATCTATAGGCTTGTTGGCGAAATCACTTGGTTGTACAGTTAATGAATCAGTGAATCAACTTTTAGATGCAATGGTAGCATCTGGATTAAATCAACCTTTAGTCTCCACCTTCAAGGTCATTGCTATGCATATTCCACGATTACGTAAAGAAATTCAGGTGAGATTAACTGTATATGGTTCCTTTCTTTGGTTTATGATGAGTTGATTTACTTCAGTGTAGGATATATTATGATCTGACATCATTTGAAGTATACTGAACAGGTGTTTCATACCAGTATGAAACTTTTCAGCATTGCGTATCCACTGTATAGCCTCAGGGATCCTCCGACACTCTTCTTGAGAATCGAGAGTTGTAGTTTCGATCCTTAGAGGGAGAGTTTGTAAGTGCCTAGTGCTGAGGAATTCCTTTCTCTGTGTGTATGCCAGTCATTCAGATTGCAAAGTGATTCACAATGGAAAGCTCAATGATACCTTTGAAGAGAAATGAAGACAGGAGGAAGATAAGGTTGCCGCCTACTATCGTCGGTCATTTTCCTCACTGTGGTCAACTCGATTGAACTGGACTGGTCTGTGCAAGAAACAACAGTGAGGAGCTGTGAAAAGATGGGCATACGCTGTTTGACCGATAAAATGACCCTGGAGAGTATTTAGATTTCTCACCGATGCTGATTTATGTCTGATGTCTTGTCGTACAAACTCGAAGATGTACAGGCGAAAACTAATAAGTTGGCAGGAGAGGCAAGGCAGTGAAGGAAGACAGGACTGCCTTCAGGTGATGATAGAGGAGATACAGGTGATGACGATACTCAACCAACAACAACAACAACAACAGTAAGCACCAACCACTATCAACGGGAGTAATCTGTGGAAGTTGTCTCTTCCGCCTACCTACCTCGCCAGCATCGTCTCAACTACAGGAGGCATAGGCACAGATGACGATGTCAAAGCCACGATGAGAAAAGCTAAGAAAAACAGGATCCAGATCTTCAACACTAATTCAATCAAGTCAGTGCTTCTATATGGCGGGTTACGCAAAGCATTTCTAACAAGCTGAAGACATACATGAACAGCTGCCACATACATTCGATAGTGAAGATCACATCATATGCCGAGAAAGAATAAGCAACAAGGAACTCTCGGAACGAACTAGTCAAGAGGCTATCGCTCAACAAATATGCAGACGAAGAAATCGGAGATTGGTTGGACATAGACTGAAACGACGGTTTGGAGATATCATGCGCCAGGCAAGGGCGTTGAGTGGAATGAGAATGACAAACGCCGAGTTGGACGTCCGAAGGTGACATGGACAAGGAGATGGTGTGAATAAGAAATGAAATCTTATGGGCAGTTGTGGTGCCAGATTGTAAAAGAAGTCTGCAGAGAAGAGAGTGAACTGACAACCTGTTACTAAGGCCCTATGTTCCACAAGGAACCCAAAGGATAAATAGATAAATAATAAATACACCTGGTGAAATGACTTCATCTGCAATGAACGTCAATTTACATCACTGAGGCAGATGGTTAAAAAAATGTGTTATATATGCCAAGACACTACCATCTATCTACTTATATGTTAAATGTTAGGTAGAAAGAAGAAGACTGAATGTGTCTAAATTAGGAGGGTCGATTTGAGCCGTTTGTGTCATCCTCGAGAGGATTCGAAATCATTGTGTTGATGATAAGCTTTGGTAACACAATTTCAAGCATCCAAACTTAATCATTGTTTATTAATCATGGATATTGGCTACACAGTAGTATTCAGCTTGATTAGCATTTCGTCCTCGTTGAGACTCTTCAGCCGGAAGTTCCTGAAGGCTTCTGATGAGTGATACTTTTCCCACTAGTACTGTTATTTGATAATCTTTTCAAATAAAACACCTTTTGACTATATTTTGTTGTTGTTGTTGTTGTTGAATATTCAGGATTGTCTTTTAGCTAATATCAGTTTAGTATTGATGAACAACAGCAGTAACAGTTTCAATCATACTCATTCGAATATAACCAATCCTGCTGGTGATAGTTATGCGTCAACACTATCTCTCTTTCCAAATCTAATCAATCTGATTGGTGTATTCAATTCTACAGGGAATTATGGTGTAAATATAGCCAATATCAACTTGAATGGGAGCAGCGTGATAGCTGGTACTACTACTACTACTACTCATACTACTACTGCTACTGCTAATACAACTACTACTAGTAATACTACTACTACTACTACTACTGGTGGTGGTTTCAATAACACTAGTCATAGTATTAACAATTTTCCATTATCCACTGCAACACGTCTCATTTTTGGATCATCAACTACGAGCAAAAATCATTCATCAAAGTTGACTAATGTTATCAATACCAATTTAGAATTTAGTCATATTGCTTTACCTGGAGGTTTATCTACTTGTGGAGAATCTACAAATGATGTAGCTGTTGTTGCATCAGCGTTGAAAACGCTTGGAACATTCAATTTCGAAGGTATATATATATATGTATAGTTTTACTTTGCGTTTATTAATTGATTAGATTACATTTGAAGCAAACAGTGAGTGTCTAAGGACGAAATTATACGACTGGATAACTAGAGATGTGATTATAACGACTAACTGTTGATACGTTTTCGTCTAGTCTGTTGATAGGTACATTGTTGCAGTGAGGCGCGTAGATCAGCGTGAGTTTACTGTTAGCCATGAGAATCTGGAGGGGGGGGGGAAGTGAACCGACGACTCAGCAAGTAAACAGGATGTACTTACATTTTATAATAAAACTGACAAACAGTAGAGGTTGACAACGAAGAGGTGAGACAGTCTACAAATGGTGACTAGAAGGTAAATGAAGAAGATTTCGAATTGCGTTAGACTGTGGCGCTGGGAGTGGGGGTCTAGAAAAGATTTTCATCATCAATATCAACATAGGACCAGGCGTTACTTACTGCGTAACGGTCCAACTTGCCACACCTCATATCACTACATCAAATAAACAAGGAAGTGAGGTGAAAGATGAAGATAAGAGAATTCACTCAAAAGAAATATAAATTATGAGAAGAAAGAAAGAAAGAATGAGAAAGTGGTGAGATTCGGTATAGTGTCGTTAAGATGAGTATAATGTGTGAATACATCTGCGCCACTGACGTTGGTTCTGAGTCAGCCTTTTTCCACCCTGGACCTACTTCGGTCAAAATTGTGTGATGAGGCAATCGGTGACTAATCATACGTAACACGTGTCCCAACCAGCCATCTCAATCGATGAAGGTTCATAACCTCGTCAACTGATTCACCTCTAGTCCTTAAAACTCTGCTTCTGACATCTACATTACTCACACGGTGTGGTGACACCATAGAATACGGTCTATACTACGCAGGTGGTAGTGGTCAAACACTTGAAGCCTTCTCATGTCTTCCACTTTCAATGGCCATGTTTCACAGCCATAGAGTAGAACAGAGTGGACTGTTGTGCAGTACACGCGACCCTTAATAGACAAACGTATATCTTGGCGGTGCCATAGGTGGCGTGAATTTGCAAAAGCCAATCGAGCCTTTTTTATCCGTGCAGAGATTTCATCGGCCACTGAGCAATCAGGGCTGATCCTACGTCCCATTTAAGTGAAATGGTTAACACACTCAACCACTACACTCACTCTATTTTTAGCCGTGGTACCGTTAAAGACCAACCCTGTAGCAACAATTTGCCTTTGGGTGGTGAGAAACGCATCCCAAACATTCTCAAATTGCTACTCAAAGTGTCCAGAAGACTCTGCATCTTCTAAGCGTCTTCACTTAACAGGACTGACTATGTCATCTGCATATTCTAGGTGTAACGAAAATTCTCCTTTGATTAGGACAACGTCTGTGTAGCCTGGTGACGAGAGGGACGGCCTCAAATGCCGCCTCCAGGTTGAGAGAAAAGATTAACCCCAAACACTATACCCCATCTCCTGTCTTATCGTTTTCCAGTGCCGGTGCTTAGATTTTTCAACAATCCTCGAAAGGCTGTTTATGTAACAGGCGTCAAGCAGATGTCTCTCATCGGATCTGTGGTCACATCCTTTTGTCTTTCAGCAGGCTCGAGAAAACCAGGCGGAATTTAGACCCAGCCGTGGGTGTATCGACGAAGTATTCACACTGTGCCGGGTCCTGGAACACAGACACGCTTACCGACGCCCGACACTAGCTGTATTTGTCGACCTGAAGGCCGCATGCGACTCCCGTTGATCGAGAAACCTTATGGCAATTTCTCTCACTGAAAGGCATGCCGATTAATCACATCACCTTATCGAGGGCTCTCTACTCGAACACTTGTTGGCGTGTTAGAGCCTATGATGAGATGTCCAGAGAGCTATGCTCATGAAGTGGTATCCGTCAAGGATGCCCACTGTCTTATTCAATTTTATCATAAATATTCTTATGGAGATCTCCCTCTCGTCACCAGGCTACACAAACGTTGACCTAATCACAGGAGAATTTTCGTTACACCTAGAATATGCAGATGACATAGTCAGTCCTGTTACGTGAAGACGCAGTAATCCCCTTATCCTATACTAATATTGATGATGATGATCATAGACTGATGCCTCATTGAGTTCGAATACATAGTCACTTAACTACACCTTGTTTGTATTGGACAGAACAGAAACTGAGGTTTCTGTAGATAAATGGTTTCATCAAGCCATCTCACCATCGACTGATCGATAAAAAATGAAACTTTCGATGGGAATGTATTGAAATAAAATGTCAGTTGCTTTGACTAAGGAAACATTAGTAACTAAGCGAGTTATCAGTTACCATCATAATATGAATAGCTTCGCTATAATGGGGATCTGAGTGCGAAGTTGTGCTGCTGCTAGTTGCATAGGGTGTCAAAGCAGTAAGGCATCTGTCTCTTTTAGATGACCAATAATAGTGTCAAGTTGATGCTGCCTTCCCATGAAGGAAGAGTAATTGGCTTAGTAAAGGTCAGTCCTTAAATTTGGCACACTCCTATAACCCTAGTGTATGCCAATGCCTATGTCTGCCAAAAGAGCTAAAATCTTAACCGTGCTAAAAGATCTGCCTTCTTGGGTTCTGTGACTACATACATTATCCTTTTTGAGATACCTTAAAAAAACCGCATGATGAAAGTCTGCCTGTTTTTCATATTTTCTTGTGATTCCTTTTTCGCGTATGCGCTTACTGTGTATATTGTAAAGGAGGTGTTTCTTGTGGATGGTGGTTTTGACATTGATAACGCCAACAAATACCTCACAGTTCAAGTTTTTCTGGAGATTTATAGTTTTTCTCCTGGTTGATATTCAGCATAGACTTATTGACATTAGTTGGAGGAACATTCAAAAACCGGGGAGTCTCACAAGTATAGGAGTTTACAGCAGTGCGTAACCACTGACCCACTTCGTCATGGATCGAACCCGCGTTATTCTAGTTCTGAGGCCATTGAACTAGCCAATTAATAATATTATTATTATTTGTCCCTTCGGTTTCTAATCGAACACAGGGCTTCACTAGCACGTCTACAATGAGCTCTCTTCTCTGAAATCTTTTCAACCTGATTCCACAACTACCCACAAGTTCTCATTTCTTCCCCGCACCATATCTCCTTCATGTCACCCTCTCCTCGGACACCCAACTTCTAGTTTTCTATCTGGATTCCACTCAACGGCCTAGCACATGATGTCCCCGAATGGTCTTCTCACTGCATGCCCAATCCATCTACATTTCCTTTCAGTGCATATTTGTTGACTAATAGGTTCTTGCTTCATTGGTTCGTGAACAGCCAGTCAGAGTTCGTTGTTGCTTATTCTCACTATTCTGGCTATCTGAGTTTGAGTATGGAGCGAGCATAGATAGTTGTTGATGAATGTGTGTAGTTTGTTGGAAATGGCATTGGTAAAGGGCGAAGTGTGTGAAGCATGTAGAAGCAGTGAGTTGACTGAATTGGTGTTGAAAATCTGTATCCTTGTTCCAGATGCTGAGTTGAGTGCATAAGATGTGCACACTGGTTTCAGGTTAATGAACGCCTGTGTTGCTTGTTGTTGTGATGGTGGCTGGTTTTGGCGTCGTCGTGTGTGCCTGTGCCTGTGTCTGTGCCTGTAGTTGAGACAGTGCTTCGTAGATAGGTGAGAGAGACTACTTCGTTTAAGTTTCTCCCGTTGATGGTGATTGGAGCTTGTTGTTGTTGTTGGTGGTGGTGATGTTGGTTGGGCATCTTGATCACCTCTGTTTTGTCTACATTCTCTGTTGAATTGCCGTTTTCGCTATCCTGCCCTGCCTGTTCTGTCAACTTGTTAGTTTTTGCGTGTAGATCTTCGAGTTTGTGTGACATGAGAGACAAGTGATCATCGTCGAAATCTAAATCTTGTAGGTTGTTTTTCTGTGTCCAGCCAGCGTATCCTCCTGTTCTCGCTTCTCACTGTTTGTTGCATGATGCAGTCGACTACAATGAGGAATATGATTGGTGATAGTAGACGGCAGCCTTGTTTTACTCCTGTCTTCACTTCAAGGAACTAACCAATGGTTCAATAGGATCCAATAGTTCATATTTCCATCTTCTTCTTCTGTCATTTCACGATATAGCTTGACCTATATCCATTGCGATATAGGGTCATAGGTACATACTGTGGAAGAATTCGATACTAGTAGGATACCTAGGGTTACAATATACCTCGAAATTGATATCATTCAGTCATTGTTATACATTGTATATTAGGTTTTTAGAATTTCTTCACACATCTTTAAATGTATTACTTAATGTAGTCTAGTAGTATTTGTTTACTTTATTATCTTTTTGTTTGTTTTTATCTAGGTCATGGATTAGCTCATTTTATTCGACATATATGTGATAATTTTATATCTGTGAATACATGTGAAGTGAAAGAGATTCGTATAGAAGCTGTAAAAACTTGTGCTTATTTAATTATTCCATGGTTGAAGGTAATGTTGAAGTAATGTTGATTATTTTGTATGATGTTTTATTCATCATTTTATAATGATATAGTTTTCTGTATGCAGATGAATGCTTTATGATATGGTTTAGAAAGTGTGTATACTTTCCATTGTCTATAATGATTACGGTGAACATGATGAGTAAACATCTATGACATACGTTTATCATCTATCAAATGTAAGATAAATGCAACTGGATCAATTTGAATGATAATGAATGAAGTGATGGAATGTATCGAATAAAATTCCCTTTCTTGAGGAAGAGGGGGGGGGGGTTTACATCAACCTACCAAACGGGCGATAATATCCAACGGGTCCGGTTGAGATATGGTGGCGAAACGAAGGAGTTACATAGTTTTGTCTACATACCATTACTTCCTTGAGGTCAGGTCAGGTTAAGTGTCGATTGAAATAACTTGGTCATATATGTTATGCTTACCAAGCTACTGATTACCTTGATATTACCATGCTAGGGAAAGTTGTATTACATTGGAAAATGGTTTAGAGTGAGCATTCAATGAAGTTGACCTATGTGGGAAGGTGTAAACCGGGAGGGTCCCTTGAGGTTCCTAAGATTTGTGGTACTGTGAAGTATTTAGCGACTTGAGCTGATGGACTCCTATGCGAGATTCTACGTTGATTCGTTTTAATTCAGAATCTTTACCCATTGCTGATAATCCCCTATGATTTCTTCCACAATCTCAACATATACTACTTAATAGGCATTCTTATCAGCGACACCCACTACACTACTACTACCTGGATGGGGTGTGATTGGATTCAGATGTTTGAATTGGATGACTAGCAGTACCACCTTCTATATAGGAAGTGGTGAGGATCTCGAGGTACTACACTCTCATGAGGATGTCACTTAGGATCTGTGGTCAGATAATCATCTTCCTTTCTCAAAGAAAGACCCATAAAGACTATATGACACCTGAGAATTCGATCTGTGTATATCTTTGTTGAAAAAAAACAATATTCATGATTAAATTGTATCCTATTATCTGTTTTCCTCTTTTCTTCTTCTTTTCAACATAGTCAACTGAAACTCAACAATGGTATGCTCGACCTGCTGTAAATACAGTTGCCAATGTTTTGAATCAATTACTGACAGTTGGAATTAGTGATCCAGGTAGATAGATTGATGATTAAATGATTATTAATTTGATATTGTTGACCCACCACCAAATGTTGGTGGTGGCCAGCCAGACTTCCCTCTTTTTTTTGTTCTTTCTCACCATCTGATCTAATCATCAGTATCGAGTAAGCGTAGGCGCCACCTGTTGATGATGTATGTCTGTTATTATTATTATTAGTCCCTTGGGTTCCTAGTGGAACATAGGGCTTCATTATCACGCCTCCAGTGAACTCTGTTCTCTGAGATCTTTTAACCTGGTTCCACGACAGCCCACAAGCTCGCATTTCCTCCTCGCACGATCTCCTCCATGTCACTCTCTCCTCGCACGTCCAACTCGTCGCTTCCCATCGGGATTCCACTCAAGCAACTGGCCTGACTCGTGATGTCCCCAGTCGACCTTCTCAATGCATACCCAATCCATCTCCACTTCCTCCTGCATATTTGTTCAGCGATAGGTTCTTCCTTCGTTGGTTCGTCACCAGCCAGAGTGACTTCCTTGTTGCTTATTCTTATTATTCTGGCCATCTGATCTTCAGTAGCGAGACAGCGTAAGCAGTTGTTGATGAATGTCTGTAGTTTATTGGAAATCCCTTTCGTGACGCGCCAAGTCTCTCAGCCATACAGAAACACTGACTTGACTAAGTTGGTGTTGAAAATCCGCATCTTGTTCCACATGCTGAGTGCAGTGCAGAAGATCTCCACACTGGTTTCAGGCTAATGAACGCCTGTCTTGCTGCCTTTCCGATTCTGACTTTGACATCCTCGTCTGTGCCATCGCCGCCTGTAGTTGAAACAGTGCTTCCTAGATAGGTGAAGGAGGTTACTTCCTTTTAGTTTCTCCCGTTGATGGTGATTGGAGTTTGTTGTTGTTGTTGGTGGTGAGGTGTCCTCATCACTTCTGTCTTCTCTATATTCACTTGAAGTCCCGTCTTCTCTGCCTCTTCTGTCAACTTGTTAGTTTTCGCCTGTACATCTTTGAGTTTGTGCCACGTTAGACATTAGGCAAATTATCATGGGTGAACTGCAAATATTCTGATGTATTTTGATCGGTACAGCTAGCGTATACCCCTCTTTTCGCTGCTGACAGTTCTTTGTTGCATTATCCAGTCGAGTCGAGTCGACCACAGTGACGAAGATGATCGATGATAGAAGACGGCAACTTTGTCTTACTTTTGTCTTCACTTTACTACAAAGATTTCACTGAGTTTTCAGTTGTGAATCAGTTAGCATTTAGTACCCTCGTATAGCATGTAGGTACTGTTGAATGCGGTTGATAAAGCTTTGTTGCACTGAAACCGTAGTATTGAAGCAGGTGACAAATTATTTCTCGGTCGACGCTATCGAAGGGCTTTTTGAAATCGATAAAGTTGAGGTAAAGATCCACTTTACTGGCATTCTATGCTTTATTCTATGATCATGCGTAGTGTAGAGGTACAATTTGATCCTCATATGATTTATTTTTCCTGAAGCCAGCCAGCCAGTTTCGGACGTAGTTTTGAATGGAAAGCGTTTTTTAGTCTCTCCAGGATGCTGTGGCACAATATTTTGCTTGTTGTGGAGTGGAGCGTGATTCCGCTCCAGTCCTTGTAGACTTTAGTCTCCTTTTTTTTGAGTGTTTGACAACGTAGTCCTTCTTCCAATCAATTGGCAGGTACCTTTTCTTCCTGCCTTTTTTTCAAACCTTCTGCAATAGTGGTGTGAGCATATCCGTTGTTATCTCTGTTGCTCTCCCGCCACTTTATGGCGTTCAAAACTTCACCTTTTGTCGGAGGGTTAGTGTTCTACGGCTGGGCTGCTGTCCAGCTAGAAAAGTTACAGGTGGTGGTTGATTCAAGAGTTTTTTTGAAGTGATCAGTCCATCTTTTCCTTTGTTTCTCCTCTTCAGTGGCGACTAAGTTTCCTTCACTGTCATCTTTCATTGTTTTCATCTGAGTTGATCTCTTCCCAGATAGGTAGTAGCCTGGTTATTTGATATAATGTTGTCAGGTGTCTGCCACCTTTAGCCCGTTCTTCTTCATTTGTCAATGTGTCTTAGAAGTATCTTTTGTCTTTTCCTGCACTCTTCTTCACGTCTTTATCCTGCGTTTTATAGGTTATGATATGATATGAACATATCGGATAATAGAATGTAGTGTAGTGACTAACAACTGTTAGAGATAACCAATCACATGTCTACTTTCTCAGAAGAAATACGGAAAATGGATTGATGATTGAAGTAGTTGTCATCTATTACGATAAAACTTGTTCCTAATGTCTATATTATTATTATTATTATTATTATTAGTCCCTTGGGTTCCTAGTGGAACATAGGGCTTTAGTAGCACGTCTCCATTTCATCCTGTTCTCTGAGATCTTTTGAACCTGGTTCCACAACAGCCCACAAGCTCTCATTTCCTCCTCGCACGACCTTCTCCATGTCACCCTCGGACGTCCAACTCGTGGCTTCCCATGGGGATTCCACTCGAGCAACTGGCCTGACGCGTGATGTCCTCGGTCGGCCTTCTCAGTGCATGGCCAATCCATCTCCACTTCCTCCTGCATATTTGTTCAGCGATAGGTTCTTGGTTGGTTCGTTCCCAGAGTTCCTTGTTGCTTATTGTTTCTGGCCATCTGATCTTCAGCAACGAGACAGCGTAAGCAGTTATTGATGAATGTCTGTAGTTTATTGGAAATCCCTTTCGTGACGCGCCAAGTCTCTCAGCCATACAGAAGCACTGACTTGACTGAATTGGTGTTGAAAATCCGTATCTTGTTCCGCATGCTGAGTGCAGTAGATCTCCACACTGGTTTCAGGCTAATGAACGCCTGTCTTGCTTTTCCGATTCTGACTTTGACGTCTTCGTCCGTCCCGCCTGTAGTTGAAACAGTGCTTCCTAGATAAGTGAAGGAGGTTACTTCCTTTAAGTTTCTCCCGTTGATGGTGACTGGAGTTTGTTGTTGTTGTTGATGGTGGTGGTGCGGTATCTTCATCACCTCTGTCTTCTCTATATTCATTTGAAGTCCCGTCTTCTCTGCCTCTTCTATCAACTTGTTAGTTTTTGCCTGTAGGTATTCAAGTTTATGTGACATTAGGCACAAGTCATCACTGGCGAAATCCAAATCTTCTAGGTTCTTTTCCGTAGTCCAGTGTATCCCCCTCTTCTCGCTCCCCACTGTAATGTCTATATAGAAAAAAAAATCAACTTTAACAGAGGTGCTATAGTCACATTGGCTGGTCACTAACTAATTACCTGTCGATTATATACATCTTGAGAAATTATTATTATTATTATTATGATGATTATCATTGTTTTTATTACAATTACTAGTATTATTATGATGGTTATTGTAGTTTACTTAGTTGTGGCTAGCGGAGGAATCCAGCTTGACACACATTTCGTCCTATGTGAGACTCGTCAGCTGGATGTACCTGGAGTATTCCCGTGTATGGAGAGATGTGGCTGCCACTGAAATTCGAACCTCGTAGCCATCGTTTCAAATGTTAAGGCGTTATCCGCTATACCACGGAGGTACGCTAGCCACTTTTTGTACGACGTGCTGGGTTGAAGTACATCCAACTGACGAATCCCAAGTGGGATGAAACGCGCGTCCTGGATTCCTCCGCTAGCCACTACCAAACAAATTATCATAAATAAAATTTAGGCAATATCGAGGCATCCGCATAGAAGCCTATATGCTAACAACGGAGAATTACAAGTATGTGAATATCGAAACAAAACATTGATTGGAAGGTAGCTACAATAGGGAGCATCAATAGTTTAGACTCAGAGCGATATATGATAACGTCTCAAGCCAGTGAGTTGTATGATCTCTTGGGGCACATCTAGGTAATTGTGATGCACCAACAGATGATACAACTATCTTTCATCGCATGGCGCTATGTCATACACTGACTAACCCATCCGCTTTCGATATGCTCAACATATATCTAAACCAGTGAAGTCGTTGCCTTCCTCCACCAGCTTTTCAACTATTTCCAACGGCTTTCACCGCCAATGATGAGCGCAGATACAGGCTCCTGTCAAGTAGTTTGCACGTCAATGGTGCAGAGCCATTGACCGGTATAACAAACTAAGTCGGAATTGACAAGATCACATGGAGGTTGGGTTATATTGGGCGTGAAGTGATCGAGGGAGAAGGATACGGAGTATTCGATTGAGATCCAGTTTTCATGGGTTGAATTGCTGACAGGGAAGAGTCATGGGTGTGCATTACTGAGGAGTAATAGGGAATGCTACGCTTCATATTCCTCTCATTGAGCTGAACACAAGCCGGGATATCTACAAATGCTTCTTTCTGCCGCCCTCGTTTGCCTTCTATACAATCGTATACTAATTGCTTCTTAGTTGTATGCACACAGTTAAATTACCTTTCCAAAACACGGAAATGGTTAGTTTTAGCCAAGATAATTGAATTGATACAGAATTTGGTTTATTTGTGGAGGAGGTGATGACCTGGAAGTGTCAATCAACTGCACGTTTCAAGTGCTTCACCAACTACACTCACTCACCCATTCAGTCAGTCAATAAGTCGATCAAATTGTTATATTCTTATTACAGTGAAATTTCTGTTTCTCTTTCCATTCTAGATCCAGATGTCCGTCGTTGTGTATTTCAATCATTCGATCGACGATTTGATCCACATTTAGCTCAATCAGATCATTTGAATTATCTATTCTCAGCTTTATACGATGAAGTGTTCGATATACGTTGTTTGGTAATGCAACGTCTTGGCCGATTATCAGATATTAATCCTGCCTGTGTTCAGCCTAATTTACGCAAAGTTTTATTACATGTAAGATATGCATTGTATGTGTGTTTTTTTCCCCTTCATTTTTGTTTGTCTTTTTTCTTAGTAAGTCAATGTTGCTTGTCTTTGTAGCGATCAGTCCTGAATTTGCGTCACACTAGATTCCAGTCTGCTAGTCACTTTTATTGTTATATATCCCTTGGGTTTATAGTGGATCATAGTTGTAGTACGTCTCTATACCATTCTGTTCTCTGTAATCTTTTCAACCTGACTCCACAACTACCCACAAGCTCTCATTTCTTCCTCGCACCATATCTCCTCCATGTCACCCTCAGCTAGGATACCCAACTCGTCGTTTCCCATCTGGGTGTGGCGTATGATGTCCCCGAATGGTCTTCTCACTGCATGCCCAATCCATCTACATTTCCTTCCAGTGCATATTTGTTGACCGATAGGTTCTTGCTTCATTGGTTCGTGAACAGCCAGTCAGAGTTCCTTGTTGCTTATTTTAACTATTCTGGCAATCCATCTGAGTTTGAGTATGGAGCGAGCATAGATAGTTGTTGATGAGTGTGTGTAGTTTGTTGGAAATGGCATTGGTAAAGCGCGAAGTGTATGAAGCATGTAGAAGCAGTGAGTTGACTGAATTGGTGTTGAAAATCTGTATGTTGTTCCATATGCTGAGTTGAGTGCATAAGATGTGCACACTGGTTTCAGGTTAATGAACGCCTGTGTTGCTTGGTGTTGTGATGGTGGCTGGTTTTGGCGTCGTCGTGTGTGGCTGTGTCTGTGTCTGTAGTTGAGACAGTGCTTCGTAGATAGTTGAGAGAGACTACTTCGTTTAAGTTTCTCCCGTTGATGGTGATTGGAGCTTGTTGTTGTTGTTGGTGGTGGTGTTGGTTGGGTATCTTCATCACCTCTGTTTTCCCTACGTTCACCTTAAGGCAGTGCCGTCTTCGCTGCTTCATCTGTCAACTTGTTACTTTTCGCCTGTAGATCTTCGAGTTTATGCGACAAGACATTAGACACAAGTCATCATCGGCGAAATCCAAATCTTCTTGGCATTAAACTTTTTTTTCAATACTATGTTCTTATTGGAACTTCGATGGTTGGAGTGTATGTACTAGGCAAAGTGTGAAAAAGGCCTGTTACTCACACAGCCTTTAGAGAATTGTTGGTCTGAGATTTGATACATTTAACGCCGGAAAGAGAAAGTCCATTCAACCGACACCGCCTTCCCCTTCGCACAGCCAAGATAGCATCAGTGTGGTACTACTGTTCATCTACAGGAAACACGTTTCTGCCTTCACCACTCATCCGACTAGGAACAGTACGATTTTGCCCTCAGAATCACATCAATACAACGGTGAACTTATCTGTCTAACCATTTCAACAGACGTTTTTGGCATGATTGGACCTTCACGGAGCAAGTGTTCCAACTAGTGAAATTCGTCAGGTAGCAGCTATCAGCCTCATTTAATGCTCACTCAGCTATCGTATAAGGTTGTCTAAACTGACTCCAGTTCGAATATTGTCGAGGAGCAATTCCCCTTTCCCTTCAAAAAAACCTGTTGTTATCCGCGAAATAAACGATCGCATTGCTATCTACTATCGTTCCAAATGGATAATCTACTTTGTTCAATTTCAGCAATCGATATATATATTCTAGGGATATTCAAGAGAGTTGATATGATGTCAGTGTTCTGTAGGCATGAAAACGAATCATTGTCGCTTACTGCGTGTATCGTACTGTTACGAAATCAATAAAGTAGAAATGGGGCATAAAGTTTTGAATGAAAAGGAAATCAATTCGATGAGATTATGGGCCGCCATCAACTTAAATAGTAACTAGGTCGATCATGTGTAACACATCTCTGGTAATCATTTATCCGATTGCGCAGTGTTAGGGGGTTGTTATTGACATACGATTCTGATGAACACTCAGAGACCGTATCAAATTGTTCCAGGTTTTTATCTAGCTACTCTTAAACCCTCTTATAATTCACCTTGAGGTAGTAGTCGATGATTAGGTTTAATACACAGTACATGTGAAGGCTATCTTAGTCGAATAAGGTTCACAACTTCATCAATCGACTTATCTATTTTTGTTTAGTACTTTTCGCCTGACCTCATCATTGCTGAGACAGTGATTCCACTGAAACATGAACAATACTATGAAGGCAATTATGATCAAAATTCTCTGATCGCAGATATATAACAGGATATCTCGTTAGTCAGCACCGCAAGAGAAGCGAATTGGCTAATAGGAGTACGTTCAGTAAAAAGCATATCAAAGAAACAAACTCAGATTTTTTCTCAACATGTTCAGTAGATTCTACCGCCTGATTTACTTTCGGTTAATGTCGATTTTATGAGGCAGCGAAGACGGGACTTCAAGTGAATATAGAGAAGACAGAGGTGATGAAGATACCGCACCACCACCAACAACAAACTCCAGTCACCATCAACGGGAGAAACTTAAACGAAGTAGTCTCTTCCACCTATCTAGGAAACACTGTTTCAACTACAGGCGGGACAGACGAGAATGTCAAAGTCAGAATCGGAAAGGCAGCAAGACAGGCGTTCATCAACCTGAAACCAGTGTGGAGATCTTCTGCACTGCACTCAGCGTGTGGAACAAGATACGGATTTTCAACACCAATTCAGTCAAGTCAGTGTTTCTGTATGGCTGAGAGACTTGGCGCGTCACGAAAGGGATTTCCAATAAACTACAGACATTCATTCAACAACTGCTTACGCTGTCTCGTTACTGAAGATCAGATGTCCAGAATAATAAGAATAAGCAACAAGGAAGTCACTCTGGCTGGTGACGAACCAACGAAGGAAGAACCTATCGCTGAACAAATATGCAGAAGGAAGTGGAGATGGATTGGGCATACACTGAGAAGGCCAGCCGGGAACAACACGCGTCAGGCCCTCGAGTGGAATCCCGATGGGAAGCGACGAGTTGGACGTTCGAGGAGAGAGTGACATGGAGGAGATCGTGCGAGGAGGAAATACGAGCTTGTGGGCTGTTGTGGAACCAGATTCAAAAGATCTCAGAGAGCAGAGGTCACTGGAGACATGCTACTGAAGCCCTATGTTCCATTAGGAACCCAAGGGACTAATAATAATTATGTCGATTTTGTATTCAACTATTAAGTATTTATGTTTACCTTTTAACTCTTTTTACTTGTATCCTTCTACTAATAGACGTTGAATGATTTATCGCATAGTGGATCAACTCGAAATAAAGAACAAGCAGCATTACTTCTAGCCTCTTTAATTGCTACAGCACCGAAATTTTTTATACCATATTCTCAACCAATATTGCATATATTACTGCCACGTATACGATCAGCTTTACCAGCATCATTACGATCTGCATTAGCAGTGAATAGCTTTTCAAGACTTCAAAATTCTACTCTTAACAGTTATGGTAAAGGTTAGTTGAACTAACTCTATGTGTGTACATATATAAATTATTCTGTTATTTCGATTGGTTACTTTTTGTTTGGAGGGGTGGGTGGGTGGGTGGTAGCAGACTGCGTTGCATTGTCTTTTTCTTGCATTGATTGATGCAAAGAGAGTTTCACCTTGTTTATTGAGGGGGGGGGGATCAGTAGTCTTGTCGATATTCATTTCGGTGAGCAGATGCATAAGTATGAAACCTAGCTATCAAGCCAAGAGGTGTGTTTACCTACCGATGGTGAATAAGATCTGTGGTGATATCTGGAGGATATACCTTTGTATATGTCGTTGTGTGTATATGTTGTCCGTATGGCACCGAGCATTATAGTCATAGCATCGATGAAATGCCAATCAGGCGATAGGGGTGTCTTTTTTGAGAGTCGGTTGGTATTGGGTTGATGAACAGGTGAGATAACGCCGCAGGGTGATGTAGAGGAATCAGGTGTTTGGTGAACTGTATGTACTTGAGAACCACCCTTACATTCGGATTCGGCTAATTTCGTATCACACTGGAAGTTATCAAGTCATTGATATTCTGAAGACATGTCATTCAGTGTCTGGAATGTGGTGGTGGTAGCTAATATGGACCAAGTTTCTAAAGTAGAAGACGTACTTTCTAGCAATCATCTCGGCCAGCAAATCCACTTTGAAGTTTTCGTAATGATTCAGGACTAGAAGTTTTGGCTTACTTTATGTTTTTGATATTCCTAATTCGTTGTTCGAGAAATAATCCAATTTCTACGAATCCATTCCCAACAATCCCACTTCCATCGCCACTGTTATGTTTTTGAAACTGCTATGTACTGTGACCGATAATGATTCACGCATATCAAGTATCGGTCATGAGCGTTCAACAAATCTCATCGTCTGTCTGCTCCTCTCTATTATTATTATCATTATCATTATTATTTATCCCTTCGGTTCCTAATCGAACACAGGGCTTCACTAGCATGTCTCCAATGCGCTCTCTTCTCTGAAATCTTTTCAACATGACTCCACAACTACCTACAAGCTCTCATTTCTTCCCCACACCATATCTCCTCCATGTCACCCTCTCCTCGGACACCCAACTTCTAGTTTTCTATCTGGATTCCACTCAACGGCCTAGCACATGATGTCCCCGAATGGTCTTCTCACTGCGTGCCCAATCCATCTACACTTCCTTCCAGTGCATATTTGTTGACCGGTAGGTTCTTGTTTCGTTGGTTCGTGAACAGCCAGTCAGAGTTCGTTGTAGCTTATTTTAACTATTCTGGTCATCTGATCTTCAGTAACGAGCCATCGAAGGCAGTTGTTGATGAATGTGTGTAGTTTGTTGGAAATGGCATTGGTAAAGCGCGAAGTGTGTGAAGCATGTAGAAGCAATGACTTGACTGAATGGTGTTGAAAATCTGTATGTTGTTGCACATGCTGAGTTGAGTGCATAAGATGTGCACACTGGTTTCAGGTTAATGAATGCCTGTCTTGCTTGCTGCTTGTGATCGTGGCTGGTTTTGGCTTCGTCATGTGGCCTGTGTCTGTGTCTGTGCCTGTAGTTGAGACAGTGCTTCGTAGATAGGTGAAAGAGAGTACTTCGTTTAAGTTTCTGCCGTTGATGGTGATTGCAGCATGTTATTGTTGTTGTTGGTGGTGGTGGTGTTGGTTGGGCATCTTGATCACCTCTGTTTTGTCTACATTCTCTGTTGAATTGCCGTTTTTGCTATCCTGCCCTGCCTGTTCTGTCAACTTGTTAGTTTTTGCCTGTAGATCTTCAAGTTTGTGTAACATGAGAGACAAGTGATCATCGTTGAAATCTAAATCTTGTAGGTTGTTTTTCTGGGTCCAGCCAGTGTATCCTCCTCTTCTCGCTTCTCAGAGTTGTCTGCTGCATGATCCCTTTCAGTCCACTATAATGAGGAATATGATTGGTGATAATAGACGGCAGCCTTGTTTTACTCCTGTCTTCACTTGACTTCAAAAGCATCACTGAGCTTCCAGCTCCTCTCTTAACTAGTCATTTCTCTCTATCTCCTTTTCACCATCCTTTGTATTATCGTGACTTTTATGTAATTGTCGCTGTCATCGGTTTGGTGGGTTAGCTTCTAGTCATCGGGCCTTAGGTTCGAACCCCTATGCATTTATCAAGGTTTGAAGAGCTAAGTTGATCCTCATTCGGTCCAGCTTGCCACAACTCATATCAGTACGTCAAGTGAGATTTGGTATAACATTTGAAATGAGAATAATGTATGTGGGGATACATCTGCGCCACGGGCATCGGTTCTGAACCATGTCGTCATTTGGAGTCTCCAACCAATGTTGGTTTCTCTTATCGCGCCGATCCGAACCGGCTAGTTTACATCGTTCCATATGGTTCAAACCAACAGTCAGTGACTTCATACATTTATGCGATGTTTTACTCTGACCATCTCGATCTTTTTCCAGTCTGAATCTACTTCGGCCAACATTTTGTGACAAGGCAGATGGTGACTAGGATACATAACACGTATCCCCACCATTTCAGTTGATAAACCTTTACAACGTGTCAGCTGACTTAGGTCTTCTCCATCCCTAAAACTTTACACCTGACTTCTGTGTTAATCACGTGGTGTGGTGACACCGTGGAATATGGTCTATACTTCGAAGGGAACTGTGGTCAAACACTTGAAGCCTTTTCACGTCTTCCACTTTCAATGGCCATGTTTCACAGCCATAGAGTAGAACAGAGTGGGACTGAAGTGTAGTACATATGACTCTTAATAGACAATCGGATATCACAGCGGCATTACAGGTGGTTTAAATTGACAAAAGCCAACCGAGCTTTTGTATTCATGTAAAAATTTTGTCCACCATTGAGCTTCGATGTATGTAATAGACGACTGTTGTACATTTAGTCACAGAAAACTATGTTACTAACCGGTCACGACTGTAAAATGTTTCTACTGCAAATACTCTCGATTTTATCAAAAAAAATAACGAAGTGAAATGGTTGAATAGGTTGATCATTTTACTTTTTTGGGGTATATTGAAAGGGTCTGGTACCCTCCTGGGGGTACAGAAGACCTGTTCGATATACGCTGACTTATATCATCCATATCGCCGTCTGGGTATGATATTCTATTGTCTAAGATATTTTCGTTAAAGTGATAAAAATTTATTGATTAGATAATATACATTTATCAATTAGATTGGGGGGGGGTGGGATTTTGAGTTATTGCTTATTGGTTGACATTGAAGTAGGGGGTGGGGGGGGGGGTTCAGTGTCTATTATCAAGTCAACTGATATCAGATACATGAGATAGAAAAACTTTGATATTCAATCGATGAAATATTATTATTATTAGTCCCTTGGGTTCCTAGTGGAACATAGGGCTTCAGTAGCACGTCTCCAGTGAACTCTGTCCTCTGAGATCTTTTGAACCTGGTTTCACGACTGCCCAGAAGCTTTCATTTCCTCCTCGCACGATCTCCTCCATGTCACCCTCGGACGTCCAACTCGTCGCTTCCCATCGGGATTCCACTCAAGTAACTGGCCTGACGCGTGATGTCCCTAGTCGGCCTTCTCAGTGTATGCCCAATCCATCTCCACTTCCTCCTGCATTGTTTAATTATTTAAATTTTTAATTTAATTTAATTTAATTATTCTTACAGATACTGATTCATCATCATCATCATCATCTAGTCTTTTCCCTATGGAACGTGTATCTGAAAGTACTCAATTAATACAGAATATGATTTTAACAACACAATTAGCAGCTAATGCTACGTCAGCAGCTGCAAATGCTGTAGCTACAGCAATTTTAACCTCTGGTAGTGTTGTTGATGGTTTAAATTATCTTCTAACAAATAATAATAATAATATTACATCACATATTGGTATTGTACCACGACGTATACCTATCAATCATTTGGGTACAAATCAAATTACTTCAGCATTAATTAATACAAATGCTATTTCAATGGTGACAAGAGCAGCAACAGCTGCTCAAGCTGCTGTTAAAGCAGTAATCGCTGCAGCTGAACACAATACTACCGGTGGTGGTGGTGGTGGTGATGTATTCACTATGGAAGGGAAGAATACATTTCTAAATGATATGCTGTCAAATAGTTATATGGAAGCATCAATGGTGAGTAGTTGTATGTTATTTCTTCCTTGGGTGGGTTCCTAGTGGAATATCACCATTTCATTGTCTTCTCTGTAGTCCTTGTTTCTTTTTTGTCTACCTTGCACCACGACACCATCCCCTCCTTGGACGCCGAATTCATTGTTTCTCCTTTGGATTCCACTTGACAGTATGGTATAGTGTGATAGGTTATTGGCTGGTTTATTGTCAGCCACAATGAGTAGTTAGTTGTTGCTTTACCTTTGTGGCGATTTTAAATTTTCAGTATTGAGTTAGCGTAGATGCTAGGTGTCGATGAATGTTTGTAGTTTACTGGAAATGTTTTTCGTAACCTGTCATATCTTAAAGGTGTCGCTCACCTTTCTATTGTGAATTACTTGGCATGTAGCGTCTTCATATAGTTGTTGAATGAGATTGGTATTCTGTAGGGTTGTAGCAGTGAAGGAAGACGGGACTTCCTTCAAGTGAAAATAGAAAAGACGGAGGAGATGATATTCTTTGTGTTTTCTCTCTCCATCCAAGATTTCTCTATTGGTAAAATTGTATTCATCTTCATAATTGTTATCCATGTGGATTGAGCGATGAGGAATGAAATGTTTTGTGTGACATTTAATAGGCAATTGGTGTTCTGATGTAGACGAACTCGAAGAGGGTGACCACTTTGTCCAGTGTGTAGTGTTGACTATAGTGATTGCAGTTGATTTTGTGGAAGATATTCGGTGGTTTGTCTTTGATTGTTGCGTCCTGTGTGGTCTGTATAATAGTGTTTGAAGGGAATTTGTTGGTATATCAGGCGCCTCACATCAATTCCATGTGGTGTCAGTAATCTTGTCTTGATCTCTGATATATGCTTTATGTATAGTAGTGTGATGTGTTTGTAGATTTCTGTTGATGACTTAGTAGGTGATGATGTACGGGATAGGCATGTTGTGATAAAGTTTTGTGGGTAGCCGTTCTTCTTTCCGATGGACATCAAGTAATTTTCTTCGTTTCTCCATGAAGTTGTTGTTGTGGTGGTGCAGTGCAGTGCAGTGCATTGCAGTGCAGTGTAGTGTGTTGTCACTCTTTTGATGGAGTCTGTAGGCAAATGATTTTGTGTGTTGTTGAGTTGTTGGTATTGTAGTTGAGGATTTGATCAGTCAGTGTGTGTTGGCTTCGTATACCTATCAATCATTTGGGTACAAATCAAATTACTTCAGCATTAATTAACACAAATGCTATTTCAATGGTGACGAGAGCAGCAACAGCTGCTCAAGCTGCTGTTAAAGCAGTAATCGCTGCAGCTGAACACAATACTACCGGTGGTGGTGGTGGTGGTGATGTATTCACTATGGAAGGGAAGAATACATTTCTAAATGATATGCTATCAAATAATTATATGGAAGCATCAATGGTGAGTAGTTGTATGTTATTTCTTCCTTGGGTGGGTTCCTAGTGGAATATCACCATTTCATTGTCTTCTCTGTAGTCCTTGTTTCTTTTTTGTCTACCTTGCACCACGACACCATCCCCTCCTTGGACGCCGAATTCATTGTTTCTCCTTTGCGTTCCACTTGACAGTATGGTATGGTGTGATGAGTTGTTGGCTGGTTTATTGTCAGCCACAATGAGTAGTTAGTTGTTGCTTTACCTTTGTGGCGATTTTAAATTTTCAGTATTGAGTTAGCGTAGATGCTAGGTGTCGATGAATGTTTGTAGTTTACTGGAAATGTTTTTCGTAACCTGTCATATCTTAAAGGTGTCGCTCACCTTTCTATTGTGAATTACTTGGCATGTAGCGTGTTTATATAGTTGTTGAATGAGATTGGTATTCTGTAGGGTTGTAGCAGTGAAGGAAGACGGGACTTCCTTCAAGTGAAAATAGAAAAGACGGAGGAGATGATATTCTTTGTGTTTTCTCTCTCCATCCAAGATTTCTCTATTGGTAAAATTGTATTCATCTTCATAATTGTTATCCATGTGGATTGAGCGATGAGGAATGAAATGTTTTGTGTGACATTTAATAGGCAATTGGTGTTCTGATGTAGACGAACTCGAAGAGGGTGACCACTTTGTCCAGTGTGTAGTGTTGTCTATAGTGATTGCAGTTGATTTTGTGGAAGATATTCGGTGGTTTGTCTTCGATTGTTGCGTCCCGTGTGGTCTGTATAATAGTGTTTGAAGGGAATTTGTTGGTATATCAGGCGCCTCACATCAATTCCATGTGGTGTCAGTAATCTTGTCTTGATCTCTGATATATGCTTTATGTATAGTAGTATGATGTGTTTGTAGATTTCTGTTGATGACTTAGTAGGTGATGATGTACGGGATAGGCATGTTGTGATAAAGTTTTGTGGGTAGCCGTTCTTCTTTCCGATGGACATCAAGTAATTTTCTTCGTTTCTCCATGAAGTTGTTGTTGTGGTGGTGCAGTGCAGTGCAGTGCATTGCAGTGTAATGTAGTGTGTTGTCACTCTTTTTGATGGAGTCTGTAGGCAAATGATTTTGTGTGTTGTTGAGTTGTTGGTATTGTAGTTGAGGATTTGATCAGTCAGTGTGTGTTGGCTTCGTATAACTATCAATCATTTGGGTACAAATCAAATTACTTCAGCATTAATTAATACAAATGCTATTTCAATGGTGACGAGAGCAGCAACAGCTGCTCAAGCTGCTGTTAAAGCAGTAATCGCTGCAGCTGAACACAATACTACCGGTGGTGGTGGTGGTGGTGATGTATTCACTATGGAAGGGAAGAATACATTTCTAAATGATATGCTGTCAAATAGTTATATGGAAGCATCAATGGTGAGTAGTTGTATGTTATTTCTTCCTTGGGTGGGTTCCTAGTGGAATATCACCATTTCATTGTCTTCTCTGTAGTCCTTGTTTCTTTTTTGTCTACCTTGCACCACGACACCATCCCCTCCTTGGACGCCGAATTCATTGTTTCTCCTTTGCGTTCCACTTGACAGTATGGTATGGTGTGATGAGTTGTTGGCTGGTTTATTGTCAGCCACAATGAGTAGTTAGTTGTTGCTTTACCTTTGTGGCGATTTTAAATTTTCAGTATTGAGTTAGCGTAGATGCTAGGTGTCGATGAATGTTTGTAGTTTACTGGAAATGTTTTTCGTAACCTGTCATATCTTAAAGGTGTCGCTCACCTTTCTATTGTGAATTACTTGGCATGTAGCGTGTTTATATAGTTGTTGAATGAGATTGGTATTCTGTAGGGTTGTAGCAGTGAAGGAAGACGGGACTTCCTTCAAGTGAAAATAGAAAAGACGGAGGAGATGATATTCTTTGTGTTTTCTCTCTCCATCCAAGATTTCTCTATTGGTAAAATTGTATTCATCTTCATAATTGTTATCCATGTGGATTGAGCGATGAGGAATGAAATGTTTTGTGTGACATTTAATAGGCAATTGGTGTTCTGATGTAGACGAACTCGAAGAGGGTGACCACTTTGTCCAGTGTGTAGTGTTGTCTATAGTGATTGCAGTTGATTTTGTGGAAGATATTCGGTGGTTTGTCTTTGGTTGTTGCGTCCCGTGTGGTCTGTATAATAGTGTTTGAAGGGAATTTGTTGGTATATCAGGCGCCTCACATCAATTCCATGTGGTGTCAGTAATCTTGTCTTGATCTCTGATATATGCTTTATGTATAGTAGTATGATGTGTTTGTAGATTCCTGTTGATGACTTAGTAGGTGATGATGTACGGGATAGGCATGTTGTGATAAAGTTTTGTGGGTAGCCGTTCTTCTTTCGATGGACATCAAGTAATTTTCTTCGTTTCTCCATGAAGTTGTTGTTGTGGTGGTGCAGTGCAGTGCAGTGCATTGCAGTGTAATGTAGTGTGTTGTCACTCTTTTTGATGGAGTCTGTAGGCAAATGATTTTGTGTGTTGTTGAGTTGTTGGTATTGTAGTTGAGGATTTGATCAGTCAGTGTGTGTTGGCTTCGTATAACTATCAATCATTTGGGTACAAATCAAATTACTTCAGCATTAATTAATACAAATGCTATTTCAATGGTGACGAGAGCAGCAACAGCTGCTCAAGCTGCTGTTAAAGCAGTAATCGCTGCAGCTGAACACAATACTACCGGTGGTGGTGGTGGTGGTGATGTATTCACTATGGAAGGGAAGAATACATTTCTAAATGATATGCTGTCAAATAGTTATATGGAAGCATCAATGGTGAGTAGTTGTATGTTATTTCTTCCTTGGGTGGGTTCCTAGTGGAATATCACCATTTCATTGTCTTCTCTGTAGTCCTTGTTTCTTTTTTGTCTACCTTGCACCACGACACCATCCCTCCTTGGACGCCGAATTCATTGTTTCTCCTTTGGATTCCACTTGACAGTATGGTATAGTGTGATAGGTTATTGGCTGGTTTATTGTCAGCCACAATGAGTAGTTAGTTGTTGCTTTACCTTTGTGGCGATTTTAAATTTTCAGTATTGAGTTAGCGTAGATGCTAGGTGTCGATGAATGTTTGTAGTTTACTGGAAATGTTTTTCGTAACCTGTCATATCTTAAAGGTGTCGCTCACCTTTCTATTGTGAATTACTTGGCATGTAGCGTGTTTATATAGTTGTTGAATGAGATTGGTATTCTGTAGGGTCGCAGCAATTGCTAAATTACTTCTCGGTTGACACTGTCGAAGGCCTTTTCAAAGTTGATGAAGTTGAGGTAAGGTTGAGAGTTGACTGCCATTGTATACTCTGTTCTATGATGATTTGTAGTGTACCGTTGTAATTTGATCTCCACGTGATTTATTCTTACTGAAGCCAGCCTGTTGCTATCGAAATTTTGAATCCAGGGCATCTTTTAGTGTCTCCAGGATGATACTGTCTAATATTTTGGTTTGGATGGACAGGAACATGAGTCCTCTTCAGTTCTTGCAAAGAATTAAACCTTCCTTCTTTAGGAGTTTGACGAGGTAGTCCTTCTTCCAATCAACTGGTAGGTACGTTTTCTTCCTTCCAGACCTTCTGCATTAGTGGTGTGAACATGTCCGCGTGTGTTCCTGTCTTTTCGATCCTGGGTGGCTTTGATATTCTCGTCTGTGCCGCCTGTAGTTGAAACATTGCTGCGTAGATAGGTGGAAGAGATAACCTCCTTAAGCTTTCTCCGGTTGGTGGTGATTCAAGCTAGTTGTTGTTGTTGGTTGGGTATGATCATCTCTGTCTTCTCTACGTTCACCCGTAGGAAGTCGCTTCTTCGCTGCCTCTTGTGTCAGCTTGTTAGATTTTGCCTGTAGATCTTGGAGTTTGTGTGACATTAGATACAAATCGTCGGTGAATTCCTAATCTTCTAGGATCTTTTCATCGATCCAGCCAGCGTTTGCTCATCTTCTCGCTGGTCACTGTTTGCTACATGATCCAGTCCACTACAATCAGGAAGATGATCGGTGATAGTAGGTAGCCTTGTCTTACTCCCGTCTTCACTTTAAAAGCATCACAGAGCTTCCCATTGTGAATTATTTGGCATGTAGCGTCTTCAAAGTGGATGAAATCAAACTGATGAGTTGCCTGGTATTCTATGTTTTCTTCTCTATGATGATGCGTAGTGTAGTGTTACAATTTGTTCCACATATGATTTGTACTTTCTTGAATCCAGAGCAGATGCGACTTAATATTTTGCTTAGAGTGGATAGGAATATGATTCTGTTCCAGTTCTCACATAGGCTTATATATCTGTTCTTTAGGAGTTTGACAAGGTAGCCTTTTTTTTCCCCAGACCTCGTACAACTATGATGTAATCATGTAACTCATTCATATTTATAACGGTCATATTAACAATACGTTTCTTTTTTTCTCTACTCTTTTAATTTAGTATAATTTCCCTGATAATTTAAAATTTGATTTCAATCGTGATAATTATTTCAATGGGAATTTTCCTCCTGGTGGATATTATCCTTCTTATCATATCAATCCAATTATACCATTAATTAATCATAAAAATATAATACCTGAATCATATACATTATTATATAATCAATTTTATTCATCAGATTTTAATCTATCTAAACTATATGAATATTCTTCTACAAATAATAATCAATGGAATGAACCAACATCTGTTATAGTTGCTTTATTTACTATATTAGGACGATTAGCATTTATAACACCACATTCTATATATACATATATGGATGAATTTATACCGATTCTAGCCTATATGATGCAGGATACATCATGTTACTTGAAACGATCAGTAAGTTGTGTATTACTTCAAGTCTACTCTCTTCTCTTCCTATATATATACATATATATTCGTTTATATAATCTTGTTTAAGCTGACTACTGTTTTTCTGTTCATTATACTATGAACTAACCTCGCTTGGTTAACTAGTTAACTAGCCTTTTTATAACTTTGAAAGATATTTCAAGTTATTAATCATCGTAGACTGATATCAGTTGGAGGAACAAAGGAAACCTGGGAACACTGGACAGCTGTTTCGTCTGACTAGTATGGACTCCTCAGCAGTGCGCCCTCACTACTCTGCACCATCGAGGATTGAACCTGAGATTTTCAGGTTCCATGGCCAACACGTTACCATTGAGTCACTAGGTCAGAATCCAATGCTACCTCACGATATAGCGCAACCACCACCCAATGTCATTGGTGAGTAACTGTTCTCACGACCATCAGGCTTTGACTCCATCGGCCATGACTTCTCAATGAGCACCAGTTCAATTGAATTTTGAGAAAGTTGTGCTAGCCATGGAACCTGAAGGTTTCGGGTTCGATCCTAGGTAGTGCGGGGTCGTGGATGCGCACTGCTGAGGAGTCGCATACTAATCGGACGAAACAGCTGTCCAGTTCTCCCAGGTTTCCTTTGTTCCTCCAACTCATGTCAGTCTACGATGTTGTAACAACTTGAATTATATTGGTTAGTCAAATCGTTCATTTTACACAGTTTTTTATTATTTCCAAGGAGACAATGAAATCCCCTAACGACAGTCTGGTGTAAACAAAATTATCGCATCAGATTGTTTTAGAATATGCTGATTTCGAAGCTCTAAGCCAAAGTTAATTTAATTATTATTATTATTCCATTGGGTTCCTAGTGGAACATAGGGGGCTCTAGTAGCGCGGCTCCATTCCACTCTCTTCTCGGCAATCTTTTCAACCTGGCACTATGACTGTCCACAAGCTTTCATTTCTTCCTCTCGTAATCTCCATATTACACACTCCTCGGACTCCCAACTCGTCGTTTCCTGTTTGGATTTCACTCGTTGGCCTATCCTGGCGCTTGATGTCTCTGAATGGTTTTCTCAGTGTATGCCAATCCATCTCCGCTTCCTTCTGCATATTACTTAGGTGATAGGTTGTTGGTTGGTTCGTCACCAGCCAGAGTGAGTTCCTTATTGCTTATTGTCTCTGGCCATCTGATCTTCAGTGTTCAACCAGCGTTAGTGCCAGCTGTTGATGAATGTCTGTAGTTTGTTGAAAGTGGTGTTCATGATGCGACAAGTTTCTGAACCATCGCACACAAGCACTGACTTGATTGGTATGGTGTTGAAAATGCAGATGTTGTTCTTTGTGCTGAGTGGAGTACAGTAGATCTCCACACTGATTATTTCAGAATAATGAAAGCCTATGTTGCTGTGTTTCCGATCCTGGTTTTGACATCCGCATGTGTGTCTGTGCCGCTTGTAGTTGAAACGATGCTGCTTAGGTAGGTAGTTAGGTGAAAGAGATAACTTCCTTCAGGTTTCTTCCTTTTATGGTGATTGGTGCTTGTTGTTGGTTGGGTATCTTCATTACCTCTCTCTTCTATACGTCCTATCTTCGCTGCTCTACGTGTTCTGTCAACTTGTTAGTTTTTGCCTGTAGATGTTCAAGTTTGTGCAACATAATACATTAGACATAAATCATCGTTGGCGAAATCCAAATGTTCTGGAGTGTTTTCACCGGTCCATCTTCTCGCTCTTCACGGTTGTCTACTGCATGATCCAGTCAACCACAATGAGGAAGATGATCGGTGATAGTTGACAGCAGTCTTGTCTTACTGCTGTCTTCACTTCAAAGGTATCACTGAGCTTTCCATTATGGATCACTTGTCATGTGGCGTCTTTATATAGCTGTTGAAAGAGTTTGATAAAGGTTAGTGTCACTCCACAGTGTTGAAGAAGTTGCCAAATTACTTCTCGGTCAACTCTGTTCATTCTTTGGGTATACATTATTCAGTCGGTTAGCTAACAGATCTCTATTGTCTAATGAAGGTATTTAAAATTGGATTTAAAATAATAGGGAGTTGGTTAATCGAAGGAACTGTGAGTAATTGCTGTAGTTTGGATATATGGTGTTCATTGTAAAGCATCGCCAATTAAGTCGGTGTGAGATACTAGGTGAAGTTGAAATAACTTGGAAATGGGTTCATATTGGTCTGATGAATATATGACATCAGTCGATCAAGTCCCATGTAGGGAGATATAATCTGCCTACTGGTGTTTTTCATGATTCTTGGTGACAAGTGATATCGTCTAAAGGTTTAATGTTCGCATCAACTAACTGTGAAGTATCGCAGCTTGAATCGATACGATGTTCCATATTTCTGTATCCTTTTACTACTTCTTATTCTGTTTTTATTTTAACCTTTTAAATATAGATTGCTGTTTGGACATTGACTAAATTGGTTTCGTACACAGGATATGTTGTTTCACCGTATAAACGTTATCCTCAGCTGTTGACTATCCTTTTGGGTATGTTAAAACGTGAAGAAATTAAGTGTATTAGACAAGAGGTAAGTAAGATATGAAGATTTGTTATGTATTTCACTGTTTTTTTTCCTCTTTATCATTTGTGATTGAGTATTCTAAGTAGTTTATGTGTATATCTTCGGTGTTTCAGCGCTGTACGAAATCGAGAATCTGTCAAACGTAATGGCAGGAATTACTCATTCACTCCTCCAACAACTACACTCTCACTCATTCCTCCAACTTTACTGACTCACTCCTTCGACTATACTCACTTACTCATACACGCAGTCTCCCCACCAGCTACACTCACTCACTTATCTCTCCAACTATACTCACTCACCCATACACTCACTCCGACTGTAGTCAGTAACTCACACACTCAGTCTCCCCACCAGCTACACTCACTCACCCATACACTCATTCCGACTGTAGTCACTAACTCACACACTCAGTCTCCCTACCAGCTACACTCACTCACTCATTCCTCCAAGTATACTCATTCCCTCACCCACTCACAAAGTCATTCCCCCAACTATACTCACTTACTTCTTCAACTATACTGACTCATTGACTTTGACCGTATGTTTATAAGTCGAATGTCTAGGCGAATGAAGCAGAGCTTTGCATTATATGCTATAAACATACTTGATATGATGAAATATCCTGGTTTTATTTTTATTTCTAGGTATTACGTGCTCTTGGAGTACTTGGAGCACTTGATCCTTTCAAGTTCAAATTATACTCTGGCGAGGTTGATACATATGGTGATACTGGGATCGCTGTAAGTCATCATGAAGTAGTTGAACGTAAAGATGGTAAGTGATATACATATACATATATATATGTATATATCCAATTACCTATGATATATAGATCTTATTAAGGTACTTTAGGAAAGAGAAAATGATTTGTGTGTTCAAAAAACCCATGAGACATCTGCTTGAGTGATGCCTATGGGTTGTTATTTCGAATCGAGAGAACATTTGCTTCTGAGGAAGGTAGGAGTGTGTTATTTTAGAAGCCCTTCCTTTTATAAAGGGAGCATCGATATGGCACTGGTGATTAACCAAGGGAAGCACATGTTCCTGGTGTCAAACTTCAACTAGTAACAATAGTACGGTTTAGTAATTTATATCATCATAGATATATTACATTATAAGAAGAATTACCGGAAAAAGGAATGGATTACAATGAGATCCCCATTGGGACCTCTGATGAAAGATTGTTTAATGTCGAAATTGTTATTATTTGTCCCTTGGGTTCTTAGTGGAGCATAGGGCTTCAGTGGCACGTTGACATTTCATTCTCTTGTCTTCAATCTGACTCCACCACTGCTTATAACCTTTCATTTCCTTCTCAATGTCACCCTTGGATGCCTAACTCGTCGTTTCCTATGTGGGTTCCACTTGATAGCCTGACCTGGTGCATGATGTCACCAAATCGTCTTCTCAGTGTATGTCCAATCCAATCCATCTCCACTTTATTCTTCTGGATATCTGTTGGCTGATAGGTTGATTAAAATGGCTGGATACAAAGGTTGGATTTGTTTGTGGAATTTGATAATGGACCTGCCGTATTGTACACCCAATGAAACTCATCATCATCATCATCATTATCAACATAGGACCAGGGATTACTGCGTAACGGTCCGAGTTGCCACACCTCATATCAGTTCATCATGTAAAAAGGTAGTGAGGTGAAGGATGAAGATAAGTGAATGCAGTCAAAAGAAATATAAAGCATGAGAAGAAAGGAAAGAGGAGTGACAAAATAGTGAGATTCGGTATAACGTTGTTAAGATGAGGTTCTGAACCATATCACCTAGGGTCTCCAACCACTGTTGGTTCCTCTTGTCCCGTGGACCCCAACCACCTAGTGTGCATCGTCCTACATGGCTTAAACCAACAGTCATAGACTTCATACATTGGTGCCATGTTTTAGTCTGGCCACCTCGGGCCTTCCTACCAGCCTGGACCCACCTCAGCCAACATTGTGTGACGAGGCAATCGGTGACTAGGCAACCCAATGAAACTAGCTCCGCAGGACTAGTTGAATTGATAAACGCATATAGAATTGGCAGAAACAGGCAGTTTGTTTTTATTTCCTCCACCTAGATTTGCATAGTTGTAGAATATGGGATAAACTTATCTGGATACCCACTTCTACTAAGCAGATCATGGATAGTGGTGAATTCTTCCTCTATAGCATTATTCAGCGTGGTATGCAAGACATTTCACTACATTGCTTTTATATTAGAGGGATACAGCACTTGACAATGTTTGTTTTCTGTATACACTTCGTTTCAAAGTTCCGTCTAACCTTGTTACCAATAGAACAATAAGAAATTGGGGAATATAGTCTTTAAATATCATATCCATTGAAAGCTTGACAGAACAATTGTGCAGTCACCTTCAACTTGTTCGGACACTTCGAGGTATTTTGGTAGTCGATCAAGAAAGGCAAACTTCTATAGTTCCACGTTTTTGGTTTTTACACCAGACAGAAGCCAGCTTTCTGACATTTAAACATTGTTTAACACTTATGGTATTGCTTGTAATTTCCTCTCACTGACTGGACTGTACTGACTAATATCTCTTATGACATATGGGTTCCTACACGGAGGTCTTCATGATGATTATAGTTTTTAACTCAACGTTAATGATAGATAATCCGCGTTATACAATTCTTCTTATTTGGGATTCGTCAGCTGGATATATCTGCCAACTCTCCGGGAACAACGTTTCCTAGGATTCGAATCATGAAAGCCACTACTTGTGCGACGTAGAGTAACGAGGCATCTGCGCATGAAATTCATAACCTAGTAGACGCTGATCACTTCGATCCACTCAGTAATAAAATAGAAACACACTGATAGACAGGCATTTGCCTGCATACATGGGTGCGCACTGACAACAATACACAGGCGATGTTTGTCGACCAGGAAGTACTCACCTGTGTATGCATTGTACACAGAATCAAGTTATGTCAGTCGGATGTATTGTAGGTATATGACATGAGACGTGACCTGGTCATATTTCGAATATGAAGAAGCGAAGCATGAGTTAGCGCTGTTGGCAGGGTGTAAGAGGCAGTCAAAGTGAGGGAGGAGCAGCGACTGAATGAACGATAAGAAGAGAGCGTGGAGAGGAGTGAGTGGGTGAGATAGTCATTATGCTGGTATAGCAACAGGCAGGCATGTAGGAATCGGCAAAGTATGAAAGGCAGAAGGCAGTTTGTTACGATAACACTTTGTACATCACTCATGAAACATTGTAACCTTTCGATTGAAATATCCATTTCTCGTACAGTATGTTTCATTTCCTCCTCTTCCTCGTTCATCTCGTTTCACTGTTGATACACCCACCTGATATTTTGCGTTTCTCTCTGCAAAATATTTACTCATCAGTCGTAATTGCCTACGACTCTCAACATGTACTACTGAAATGCATTGTTATCAGTAGCACCGACTACAGGCACAGACGCGCAGCAGTGTCATGTCCATATGTTCATGGTGAATGAGTGTGTGTATGTAATTCTAATATGAAATGTGTTTTGGCGATCGGAGACGGTGTGCATCACCCGCCCACTGATCATTGATTGAGAGATAGTGAATTGTGCGAGCTAGTAACTTGGTTTTTTGTCCGTGACGCTGGATGAAGTAGGTGTGAGTGTAGATGAAACAGTCTATCAGTGGCTGAGGCGATTAATGTGACAGTGGAGGTGCTGGTGGTGGCACTATAGTGGACGTCATCGCCGCCGCTGCCGTGCGTACCACAACATACGAGAAAGTTATGATCGGGTGGTTTTCATAGTATGGCCAATTACTTCGTGGGTGTCGACAGGTTGTATCCACCCGAGACTAGTGATTGCTGAACAACCAACCAACTAGTTTCGGGGGAGATTGAACCCTCGACATTCGCGTTATCAGCACGATACTTTAACCAACTGAGCTATTGAGTTGATTGTCAGCACACAAACTAAGGATTTAGTCGTCGCCGGTTCGAATCCAGCCGCGACCCATGAAGATGCAAACCAGTTGTTCATCATTTCTTTCTTTTATTTATTTTTAAAGGTTTTTATTAGTTTATAACACAGATAAAATGTTTATGAGGTTAACCTTGATTTGTTAGGTTTGTAATCACGCTAGGTCTCTAGCTCGAGTCCCGTCGCTGTTTAATAATTCATTTCAATTCCAGCAGCATAAATTGATTTCTTGCCTCCTTTTTTTTTGTTTTTGTTCTCTACCCACACGGATTCACTATAATTTACTTTCATCAAAAGTGGATATAACTCAATCAGAATTGGTTATCAATTTATCTTGGGAAAGTCGTGATATTTTCTTTTCTGTATGTGCATTATCTGCATTGATACATTTATTACGTGATCCAGCACTTCATACACAATATGGTAGTATTGTGCATACAATTGTTTATGTTTTAAAACTTTTGGGTCCACGTTCTGTTTACTATTTACGTCAATTAATACCAGATTATTTTCGATGTTTAGAAAATACACGTGATGTTAGAGTAAGTTATTTATTTTTATTAAAATACTACGTAATCATATGTTTGATTATCATTTAACAATGTATCATTATTATTATTATTTGTCCCTTAGGTTCCTAATGGAACATAGGGCTTCAGTAGTACACCTTCATTGCACTCTGTTCTCGACAGTGTTTTGAACTTGGCTCCATGACTTCCCACAAGCTTTCATTTCTTCCTCACACCATATCTCCTCCATGTCACCCTCGGCTCGATTGCCCAACTTGCCGTTTCCTATCTTGGTTCCACTCGAGGGCCTGGCGGATGATGTTCCCAGTTGGCCTTGTCAGTGATAGGTTCTTCGTTGTTTCGTTGCCAGCCAATCAGAGTTCCTTGTTGCTCATTCTTTCTGGCCATCTCATCGATTTTCAGTATCGAGTGAGCGTAGGTACCAGCTGTTGATGAATGCGTGTAGTTTGTTGGAAGTGCTTTTTGTGACGCGCCAAGTTTCTGAACCATATAGCAGCACTGATTTGACTGAATTGGTGTTGAAAATCAGGATGTTGTTCACGCTTTATGCTAAGTGGAGTGCAGTAGATCTCCACACTGGTTTCAGGTTAATGAACGCATATAACGATGTAACTATTCAATATTGATTATATGAGTAATGTTGAAGTCAAAGGTTTAAGAGGTTGGAAACACTTATATCGACTGAAGTGAGTATATTGAGCCATCGCCCACCTACTTCGATATGTGTCACGTTAGGCGAAGTTGGATTAGTTTAGAGAAAATGGTTCGGTATGGCCAAACTGATATATGGCACCTGTATATGAAATCCTTAACTGTTGATGTGAACTATGTGGACTCCCCGAAATGATGGGAATTAGTAGTTGGGGGGGGGGGGGAGGGGAAGGTGTTAACTGACTTCTACAAGGATGTGTAAAGATTAACGGATATCCTCTGTGCATGAATGTTCTAGGGTCAGTAATTGGATGGATGTACACAGATCTGATCGATGTTGTTAAAGAGTCATTCAAATAGACCTGAACTTTAGTGATGAGATTTCATTAGGGAGATTTTTGATGTTCAAGGTGTAAATATAAGCTAGTGATGGTTCTAAGAAACTTCCCATCATAGCTACACCGCCAACCTGTTGAGAATGTTATTCCTTTGTTGTTCTACTTAAAACATTCGGTTTCCAATCATTCTGACATTGATTTTTTGTTCTCTACTCTCTCTCTTCTCCCCCCCCCCCAACCGCTTCCCGACTCTGTTCACTAGGATTTAGTCGGTACCTAATTTCGCAAAAGGGGCGAATGGTTTCAGAATATACATTCACAATGAGGTTGGATAGTGTAATTTAGCCGGCGAAGTTTTTCTCACCAGTGCGTTTATGATATGGATTTGTTCAACACAGTTTTCGTACAGTTCGATTACACATACACACACACATGCTTGTTAAGTCGTGAATTTATATAAAAACCGAAGAATGATTGTTGAAGGGGGACAATTCTGGAGCCATTGAAATGTATAAGCCGGGGGATTAAAATTGAGAAACGTGAGAGGAACAACATGGGAAGAGTGACATAGTAGTTGATTCCCCCTCCTTTTATCGTGTTAAGAGAACAAAGCTTACCAAGTAAGATGGGTGCTTTTGCTCGCAAAGAGGCTTCATTTTTTACGTAGACGCCTATCGCCTCCGCAAACGTCTCAATTTCCTTCCCTGAGTGTTTGTATATGTGAAACTTTGAAAGCTGTTTGAACATGAATTAAGCTTGTATCCTGTTTCTATAAGACGATCGTCTCCCATCTGCGGTTACCAAAGCCACTTGAGTACATATTCTCCATCGTCAGTTGCATAGCTCGATTACTCATCTCTATGCGCGTATAATCACACTACACATGTGTTAACTGGTTTTCTCATTGGTTGGTGTTACCGTTTGTCTCGAAACTATACTATTTCAATCCCCTGTGTATAGTAGAGTGCGTTAGGTGAGTGAGAGATCAGATTGTTCTAAATGTGTACTGGCAAATTATACACCACACGTTGTTGAGATAAACTTTGGATTTGGGTTTCTGGCCATCTGATCTTCAGCAACGCACCTAGACAGCTGTTAACAAATGTCTGTAGATTGTTGGATGTGCTTTTCGTGACGCGCTAGGTTTCTGAACCATATAGAAGCACTGACTTGATTGGAATGGTGTTTAAAATGCAGATGTTGTTCTTTGTGCTGAGTGGAGTGCAGTACATCTCCACACTGAATATTTCAGAATAATGAAAGCCTATGTTGCTGTGTTTCCGATCCTGGTTTTGACATCCGCATGTGTGTCTGTGCCGCTTGTAGTTGAAACGATGCTGCTTAAGTAGGTAGGTGAAGGATAAATTCCCTAAAGTTTCTTTCTTTTATGGTGGTTGGTGCTTGTTGTTGATGTTGTTGTTGGTTGCGTATCTTCATCACCTCCATCTTCTCTACATCCATATAAATCCAATTTTCGCTGCCTCTTCTATCAACTTGTTAGTTTTCGCCTGTAGATGTTCGAGTTTGTGCGACTATAAGCATCATCGAGGCGAAATCCAAACCTTCTGGGATCTTTTCGTTTGTCAAACAGAGTAACCCCAATCTTCTTGCTGCATGATCCAGTCGACCATAATGAGGAAGATGATCGGTGATAGTTGACAGCAGTCTTGTCTTACTGCTGTCTTCACTTCAAAGGTATCACTGAGCTTTCCATTATGGATTACTTGGCATGCGGCTACTGCATACAGCTGTTGAATGAGATTGATGATGATTTGTGGCACTCAAACCGTAGTGTTGAAGCAGCTGCCTGTCAAATTACTTGTTGGCTGAGGCTGTCCAAGTCCTTTTCAAAGTCGTTAAAGTTGAGGTAGAGAGTTGACTGCTATTCTATACTTTGTTCTATGATGATGATGATGCGTAGCGTAGCGTTGCAATTTGAATCCAGCGCATTGTTTAGTCTCTCCAGGATGATATGGTCTAATATTTCGCTTGAGGTGAACAGCAGCATGATTTCTGGCCAGTTCTTGCAAAGACTTAGGTTATCCTTTTTTGGAAGTTCGACCAGGTAGCCCTTTTTTCAATCTGCAGGTAGGTTTCCTTCCTTCCTTGCAATCCTTCTGCAGTAGTATTGTGAGCATGCCCTCTGTTGTCTCTGAGTCTGCTTTCAGTGCTTCTGGAGGAATTCAATCTGATCATGCTGCTTTACCGGATTTCAGAAGTGTAATGACGTTGCGTTCCTGACTTCTGCTATTGTCAAATGGCCTGTGTTCCCTCATAGTTTTGCGTTGTTTGTGGTGATAGTGGTAGATGAGTTGCAGGTGGTGGTTGATTCAACAGTTTTTCGAAGTCATCAACCCATTGTTTCTTTTGTTTCTCCTCTTTGATGGTTACTAGGTGTTCTTCACTACTATCTTTCATTGGTTTCGTCTGCGTTGATCTCTCCCTCCGCAGACAGTCACCTGGTCATTTTGTATAATGATTCTAATTAATCAGACACTAACTATTTATTATATGAGAGTTCTGTTGATTGATGCAAACTTTATATAATTTTGAATACTTTTGTATTATTAATAATATTACAGTTCTCTCCTCTTACCCGTTTTATTTTATGTTTCATCTATTCATTTACTATTACAGTTACAAGAATTTCTTATACGTCAATTGGGCAATGTTATGACTATTGTACGCTTACATACTAAAGAATTTGCACATGAAGTTGTCGATTTATTAATTACACACTGGTGGATTGCACCAAATGTTCAACATGCTTGTATTAATTTATTAAGTCCTATGTCATGTGTATTAGGTGCTGAGTTTCGCACTTATTTAACACGTTTAATGCCAACAATATTAAGAACATTACATCATGAATCAAATGAAATGAATTTAATAGCTGTAAGTTGAATAAATATTACTCTGTATATTTTCTTTTTTATTGCTGTAACAAATACTCAAATAGCCAATTACGTTTCATTACCTTGTGATAAACTATCTGACTCAACGAAATACTGAGAGCTGATTGGTTATTTGTAGCCAATTGCTGGAATAACTAATCGTTTTTCACTATTTTGTCTGGGAAGGTCAGATAGAGAAGTGTGATTGGTTATCTCAACAGTTGTTAGATTGACCTTTAAAATTACTCGTGATATATACGAGAACTGAGACGGACAGCCAATCAGATATGAATAATTTTCATGTGCTTTTTAAAATCTTTTTTTCTGATTCTGATTTCACCGCCTTACCCTTTTTAAGTTTTGTACTTTTTCTTATGCGTCTTGTCGTAGTCTATTGGCTGTAAAGCTCACTTTTAACGGATTATATTCCGTATTGATGATAGATAGTAGTTAGAAGCGGAAGCTAGCTTTGTGTGCGTTTCGTCCTATTGCGGACTCGTCAACTTTGGTGTACCTGCTTCTTGATGAGCGATGTTATCCTCGTTAGGACTTGAAATAGTGGCTGATCGCTTCTCAAGCCAGAGCGTAATCTACGACATCACGTAGTCACGATAGCCACTTCTTATAGTTTCGTCATTGTTGCTTGTTATATCCCGTTGCTAAGTAGACTGAATTGATCGGTGTCTATTGGCATATGGGCTCCTGCGCGGATGCCTCGATACTACGACCCGTGTCCAGATTATGTATTAATGATGGATGGTGGCTAACAGTGGAATTAGGCTTGACGCGCGTTTCATCGTATTTCAGAGGTGTCAAATGACAGTATCTGGCTCCCACTAAGCGGCATTGTCACCACCGGGACTCGAACTCAAGAACGATCATTTAAATGCCAAAGCGTGGTGCACTAGGTCATCAAGTCATTATAATACAGACAACAACATTAGTATGTTCTCTATCAAATCGCCAAGTCTTATTTTTTATGGTGTTTTTAAAGAGATGCCGGTACCTGTCTTTCCAGCTTTTAATTGACCATTTACTTGATAGATTATCGATTTGTGGGAGAGATGTTCACTGTTAAGCCTGGTTTCATACTGGTTATAATCCAGGGTAAGGTATTCTATACAAACAGTTTGTCATGCTTGAGGGTATAGATGACAACGAATCTCATCTGAATCCCAACCTGGCCTTTTATCGTCAAAAGGGCCGACAGAAGATGAACAAGAAGGGCCTGAGATTACTGCCATACCTCATACACTACCGGTACATCAAGCAAGAATGTGACAAGATGAAATATCAAGAAATACCGGAGAAAGTCATCAAAAGACAGATGGAACGAGATGTTATTGATATTCCATATACCGACTAAGCTGAAGACAACATGTAGGTTAAATTTTACCGTTGCGATCCGTTTTGAGACATATCGCCTGAAGTTTCAAACGCCTTGTTTCTCTTGTCAAACGGATATCAGTTGGGTAGATTGCGTTCTTCTATACATCACCGGGACAAACTGAACGCGTTGATCTGCGATCTGACCCTCCATAGAGCAAAGTTCATATATGTGTATATCATTATTATAATTATCATCATTTTTCCCTTGGGTTCCTAGTGGAACATAGGGCTTCAGTATCACACGTCCATTGCACTCATTTCTCTGCAGTGTTTTGAACCTGGCTCCACCACTGCCTACAAGCTTTCATTTCTTCCTTACATGATCTCCTGCATGTCACCCTCGCCTTGGATGCCCAACTCGTCGTTTCCCTTTTTGATTCCACTCTATGGCCTGTCCTGGCTCGTGATCTCCCCAATCAGCCTTGTCAGTGTATGCCCAATCCAATTCATTTCCACTTTCGGCTGCATGTTTGTTGGGTCATAAGTTCTTGGTTGGTTCGTTGCTAGCGTTCCTTATTGCTTATTCTTTCTGCCCTGATGATCGGATCTTCAGTATCGGGCGACCGTAGGTGGCAGCTTTGGTTTATTCGAAATGTTTTTCGTGACATGCGAAGTTTCTAAGCCATGCAGGAGCACTGAATTGACTGACTTTCTGTTGAAAATGCGGATGTTGTTCTTTGTGCTGAGTGCAGTAGATCTTCACACTGATTATTTCAGAATAATGAAAGCCTGTGTTCATATCTTCCAATCGTCGTCTGTGCCGCCGCCTATAGTTGAAACGATACTCCCTAGGTGGGTGAAAGAGACTACTCCCTTTAGGTTTCTCCGTTGATGGTGGTTAGTGCTTGTTGTTGGTTGGGCATCTTCATCACCTCCATCTTCTCTACATTCACTCGAAATCCAGTTTTCGAAATCCAAATCTTCTAGGCTCTTTTCATCGGTCAAACAGCTAGCGTATGCCCATCTTCTCGCTCTACGGCTTAGCCTTTAGATCGACCAATCAGTATGCGATTCAAATTCAGATATCTAGGAAAAATTTGAAATTCTTTGGACGGTTAAGTTATTGAGTAGTTTTCTGGATCGAATTTTTTTGACGGAACACAATCAAACTTCTTGATAGTCTGATGATGTTCTACTCTTTCTTTGGAATTGAAGTTCACAGATGAAGGTACTTAAGTAATGACTCGACGGTTGTAAAATAAGCCGGTTTGTATAGCATAGCAGATGTATTCATGAAATAGTTGAGAACAAATGATATTAGGAACTGTAAAGAATTGAATGAGTAATTAGTGTAAACCGTTTAGTCTAATTCTGAGGAAACTATATAACTAGCTGTGTAGCTCTGCTAGCATATGAAGGAGCAAAAGAAGTGGAAGGACTTGATAACTAGGGCAAACGTCTGTATATTTTGCGGTAGGTTCTTTTGGATAATGACAAGAAGGGATAGCATGTACTGCTACCATCGGTGCTCCTTCGTTGGAACTGGAATGGAAAGGATAACAAAGTGATTTTTGTATCTGAAGGCAATAAAGGCAACCCCTTTGTCAACCTCATCAATCGGATGTTGTTCACCTCAAGACTCGAACAAACACTGACAGGTTAATCAAATCATTCACTTTTATGAATCTCATGAAGTGTTGAAGTTGTTTTTTTTTTGGTATAGTTAACTTCTTATCTATTTACTTCTTTATTGTTTAGCTTTTAGAAATTCTTCCTGAATTCGGATATACACTTGAAGATTATGCTCATATTCTTGTCCCTGCTATTGCTAATTTAATTGATATTAATAATGAAACAAATTTATCGATTTTATTGAATAGTGTTTCAGATAATTTGTCATCATCTATTTCTAATCCTATTGGATCATTTATGACGTCAGTATCAACGATGACATCAATACCTTCAACATTGAACATTGATTCGACTGGTATCAATTTATCAAATATTCTTGGAAGTGTATCAGATAATAATAATAATAATAATATGACTAGTTCAACTAATCATGATTCAACTATGAATACTACTACTACTACTAATAATAATAATCATTCATTGACTATAAATACTATAACAAATAGCTTAAATCAACCAATAATTATTGGTAAAGTTGGTAGTGTACATCTTCGTAAAGCATGTTTAGAGTGTTTAGCTCGATTTACTGATTGTGTTGATTTAGATGATTTTGCTGGACAAATAATTCATCCAGTATGTCGTTTACTCTTAACTTTAGAATCATGTCATCAAAGTTTTCAACAACATTCTCATTTATCATCATTATCATCTTCAAATAAATCATCTGCTACTATAGGTAGTCAAGTATGTTTAAATGCAATCAATCAATTACGTGTACCAGCTATGGATGTATTAACTGGTTTATTATTTCGTATGGGTCAAAAATTTAAATTATTTTTACCATTAGTTCAAAAAATGCTTAATCGTTTACAATTACATACTCCACGTTTTAATACTGTTCTTGGTCAGGTTGGTTCCTCCTTTTTTTTTTAATATTATTGTTTTCTATTTATGATGATTTTCTGACAAAAATTATCCTATAGAAAATTGACAAAGATCCACTGAAAAAAAAATTTTTCCAGATGACTCCTTCAATCATCAAAAATGATTCAACTCAGTCCATTTACAATAGTAGTACCAATAGCCAATCAGAATGAAGGTCATTAATGAGGAATTAGATAGGCAGGAAATTATAACCAATAGGGAAAAAAGGCATATCTATTGACGGGATGAGTAGTGAGTGTGTGTTAATGTGAGATTGTGTTGCAAACGAAATGATTGAAATCGTTCGATATAGACTGTTAGTGAGTAAGACAGGCGTATGGCGCCGATAGCCAATCAGAATGAAGGTCAGTAGTGAGGAAGTGGATAGACAGGAGATTATAACCAATAGGAAAAAAGAAATGCATACCTATCGAGGGGATGAGTAGTTAGTGTGTGGTAATGTGAGGTGGTGTTACAAAGACAACATGTTGACGGTATGAAGATAGACATAAAGCAGATAGACAGGCCTGATAGAAAGTAAATCTGCTGAAAAAGAACGTCGGACTTGTGATCTTCGCATAGATATATATAGAGCTGAAGATAATGAAGAATATGGGTTTTTTAAACAACCTAGCTGAAAGCTTGAAGATTCTAGGTATGAAGAAGATGGCGAGCAACAAAACAGTTTGTGACTCATTGGATGAAAGTCACAACTTCACTTAATTAATGAATCATAGGTTCGAGACCCGACGGGTTGTGTTTACTTGTTAATAATTTTTTATTCTTTTGAAATTTTGAGTTCTCAGTCAACTTCATTTAGGCTATGAGTGAATTATTTTTATGAATTTAACCATTTTATATTGTTAGATTGAAAAAGGCGCTTATCTACCGACAACTAATGATCGTGTACACATGAAATTTACAAGTCTATCTACTCGTAATCGTGAACAGAAAGTGACTAATAGTGATATAGAAGCACCTGGAAATGTAAAACTCTTAAAAATTAACAAGTTAGTCTATTCTCTTTTGTATTATTTTGAATTGTTGACAGGTTTTTGTGACTTGTGATTTCTCTCCTTTTAGTTTTAGGGTCGACATTCACTAGAATCTAGGTATATTCTAGTTGATGATATTTGGTGTTCATCGACTAAGGTGGCTAGAATGTGTACTACATGTATGTCTAGTTGCCATCTGTGTCAGTACACCATACTAGCTGAAGTATTAGGTTCACACTGGAAAAAGGTTTACCATTGAAGTCTTTGACTGTTGACTGTGCAGGGGGGATGTAGACTTCTCGATTGGCGTCCGCGTGACATCAAATAGTGCTAGTTGCAGAAGCTGAAAACCCCGGGTTCGACCCCTGGCGTGGTCCGGTCATTGATGTGCACTGCTTAGCACACCTATACGAAATTTTTCGTTGGTTAAATTGTGTATGATTATCAAATTGTTGTGTTGTATGTAGGGGTGATGATAAAAAGTTGTAGTAAAGAGGAGTTATATTCTTTATAATAGTGAAGAGACGTGACGATAAGTTATACTTTCATTATGCATATTGAAAAGGAGAGTGATATACGTCAATTTGAGCGACTTTTGGCACTGTCACGACATTAGTTCAACCGTAAAAGGCCGGGTTTACAACACTTCGCACCGAAGATGAAACCTGATGTCTCCCATCTGAAGATATGCAATGGCTGTGTGTGTACAATCATTGTTGCTTCCATAGGATTGCTTGTATTTGGTGGCAACACCATGTCGCATAAACTCGAAGATCTACAGGTGAAAACTAACAGGTTGGCAGTAAACGCAAGGCAACAAAGACGAGACTTCTTTCATGTTGAAGGTAGAGAAGAAAGTTGTCTCTTTCATCTACCTACCTAATCAACATCGTTTCAACTACAGGCGGCGGCTCATGCACAGATGAAGGTGTGAAAGCCAGGATCAAAAAAGCAAGACAGGCTTTCATTATCTGGGATAATCAGTGTGGAGATCTACTACACTGCACTACACTCGGCATAAAGCGTTAACAGGAGTCGAATTTTCAACGCTAATTCAGTGAAGTCACTGCTTGCTTCTATGTGATGGCGCGTTACGAAAAGCAATTCCAACAAACTGCAGACATACATCACCAACAGTTGCCGCCTACGCTCACTCGATACTGAAGATCAACTGGCCACAAAAGAAAGGCAACAACCAACTCGCTCTGGCTGGCAACGAACGAACCAACACACTATTGCCTAACAATTATCAGTTATGCAGAAGAAGTAAGCGGAGATAGGTTGGATTGGACATAGACTGCGAAGACCGTTTTGTGAAATCATACGCCATGTCATTGAGTGTAACCGAAATGGGAAATGTCGAATTGAGCGTCCGAGGGTAACATTGAGGAGTAGATGGTGTGAGGAAGAAATGAAAGTTTCTGGGCCGTTTCGTGGAGCCAGGTAAGAAGGAAAGACTACAGAAAAGAAAGTGAAATGGCGATATGCTACTGAAGCTCTATGTTTCAGTAGGAACGCAAAGGACAAATAATGATGATAACACCATGGAAATAATTCTGAGTTACGATGCCGTGTGTTCGAGTATTATAGAGATCGTCATTCAATAAGTGAAGTCATCTGGAAATATCGGAACAGTTGGCTTGGACGTGTATTGCGCATGTCGTATGAAGGGGTTCTACACCGTCATTGTTCGCTAGCCTTGTGGGACTAGATGAAAGAAGCGGAAAGGGGTATGCTCAGTGTATGACGTGGGGTCGTGTGATGAAGGATAGTTGTGTCATTTAACATGGTTCTCTCACTGTATACTCCAATCTAGTTAAGTGACAGGTTCATTGCTCTCTTAACATCACTGTATATGCGTGTCCTATAGAGCCCAGCTTGTGGAACGTTCCCATAAACAATATCTAGCCTGACCGACAACGAGAGAATAATAATGCGACTCAATCACTAGACGATATCACGACCAATTTCAAAACTTCAAATCATCATTAGGCAATATCAAACCAAATCGGCTATTGATTAGAACCTTGCTCTGATTATTGATTCTCCCTCTTATTGTCTACTCGTGCATCCGGTTACTACCAGGTGGGGTATTTTCATCATTCGATTTTAGAAAGTAGATGAATCTCTACTCAATCCAGTCATGTTATACAATTGTCAGACTGATATGGTGATTAAAAGTTTTTTTAGAAACACTATGTGACCAGTGTTAGGGTCAATTGAAGGTTACTAGACAAAGGAGAAACAAACCGATTTATAAAGTTATACACCTTCATGTTATGCATGTGTAGCCTACTGTCAATCTGGATATGTTATACTAGAGCACTTAGAAACGGTACCAGTCAATGAAATGTTTGACTGTTGGTTCAAGAGACACTGGGAGTCAATTATTTATCATTCGAGTAGCATAATTTGGTAGATCAGTAATACTGATGCTAGATGATGATTGAGGGTGAGATGAATATTTGGACCACGACCGGATTCGAACCAGCGACCACTGGGTTACCGTCTGGGTGCTCTACCTGTTAACCTACGAGGTCTGGCTGTTAACCACATTTCTTTTTTTCAGTTTAATCACCATGTGAATTCATGAGGCGTGACTACCACTTGATCGTACTCACAGTGGCTGCCCACCAGTCAGGACTTCTCATTCCAATCTAAATGTGACTAAATCAGACAGGGGGGGGGGGACATCATTTTGAATAGCATTTGACTATATAAGATAGCAGCGATGGGTTAGTAGGCTAGTATTACTGATATTGAGTGACGATTGAGGGTGGAATGAAGATTTGAACCACAACTGGATTCGAACCAGTGACCGGTGGGTTTTTTTTCCGCTCGATGACTCCCATTTGATCATAAGGCTAATGGTTATTACCTTTTTTTTTTTTAGTACAAATTTAGAACGTGCATGGCATTCATCTCGTATGATTAGTCGTGATGATTGGAGTCAATGGTTGAAAACATTGAATATGGCATTGTTAAGAGAATCACCAAGTCCTGCTATACGTGCTTGTAGTCAATTGACAGCTACTATAACTACTACATCAGGTATTGGTCGTGTATTATTCAATGCTGCATTTCTTAGTTGTTGGCCTGAATTAAATTATCATCAACAAGATGATTTAATTAATACATTAGAACGTGTACTTCGTGTACCTGACCAATCACCAGAAGTTAGTCAAACTATTCTAAATCTTGAAGAATTTATGGCTCATATGGATAAAGTAAGTTTATGTATATACTTATATTTTTTTAGAAGTAGTATTCATCATGGACTGACATCAGTTGGGGGAACCATTGAAAATCAAGGAGCACTGGAGGACAGCTGTTTTCGTCCTAGTATACGATTCCTCAATAGTACGCACCCACGACCCGGCTAGGGATTGAATTCATTAGTGACATGCTTCCAGATGGATATCAGGAAGCTGTAATGAGAAGTCGTAACCTGTGGGGTCAACCAGTCATAATTGAAGTGGATGCTAAGTGGAAGACCTTGGATGATAGTCGCGCAATATCGTGAATTGACAGGAGTTGGAAATTGTGAACCACTGGGAACCGACCCACTGGGTGAATGGTTAGCGCGTTCGCCATGAAACTTGAAGGTCCTTAGTCTGATCCCTAGCCGGTTCGTGGAGGCGCACTGCTGAGGAGTCGCATACTAGAACGAAACAGCTGTCTGATGCTCCCGGATTTTCAATGGTTCCCTAACTTGATGTCAGTCCATGATGAATACTACTTCTAAATTAAAAATCCCTATTCATCTCAAAAATGCATATATATTTATCATTAGAAAATTATTTCGATTTTTATTAATACTGAGTAATGATTTTGAAAAAATTTAGTGTGTACCGGACTCGAACCAAAGGTCATTAGGTTTCGAATTTGGTGGTGTTTTCTACTAACTGACACCTACAAATTTAGTTGCACTCCCGTGACCAATCAATACATGTAAAGCAGTCCTACAGGAGATCAACTGCGGCTCGAACAGCTCGGTGGTAAAATCGCTGACTACAACACTGGGTGACGTGGGTTCGACTCTGAGGTGGGAGGTAGGAATTCTCTGATATTCTTCTTCTTTCCTTTCTCCATCTAACATATTTACGTTGTCCAATTTGAATTCATGTGCATAGTTGTTATCCATATGAATTAAGCAATAAGCCAATTGGTTTTCTCATGTGCTTTGTTTTCTTTGGTCGTTGCATCAATAATTTCGCATCATTCTATGACAAGATTATTGAGAGGACAAATTTCGTCCAAACACAATTATATGCAGACCAAAGGATTTGTTGTCAGGCCACACTTCCACTTTGCATATTCTTTATGACCATCTGATTTTCAGTATCGAGTGAGCTTAGGTGGTAGTTGTTGATGATGTATGTCTGCAGTTTGTTGAAAATGCTTTGCGTAACGCGCCAACCCTCCCAACCATCGCGATCTTCCGCGTTATGTTAATTGCAATGCAGTGCAGTAGATGTCCATACTGATTATTTCACATAAATAAAAGTTTACCTTACTGCCTTACCGAACCTGGCTTCCACATCCTCATCTGTGACACTACCTGTAGTTGAAAAGATGTTGACTAGGTAGATGAGTGGAAGAGACAACTTCCTTTACATCTCTCCCCTTCATGGTGAATGGTGCTTGTTGTTGTTGTTACTAGTTGGGTGTCTTCATCACCTCCATCTTTTCTACCTTCACCTGAAGAAAGGAAGTCTTCCTTCACTGCTCTACCTCTCATGCCAACTTCTTAGTTTTCGCCTGTACATCTTCGAGTTTCTGCGACATAAGACATTAGATATAAATCATCATCGAGACGAAATCAAAATATTCTACAGTCTTTTCATTAGTCCAGCAAGCGTATGCTCATCTTCTCGTTCCTCACAGTTGTTTGTTTGTTCCATGATCCAGTCCAGTCAAGTCCATTTCAGTCGAGTTGACTACAGTGAGGAAGGTGATCGATGATAGTAGGGGGTACCTTGTCTTACTCTTGTCTTCACTTCATTTGAAGGGTATCACTGTGTTTTCCATTGTGAATCACTTGGCATGCAGTTTCCTCGTATAGCATGTAGGTGCTGTTGAATGAATGTTGAAGGAGCTGTCAAATTATTTCTTGATCGACGCCTCGATCGAAAGCCTTTTTAAAGTAGATGAAATTGAGGTAAATATCCAGTTGACTACCATTCTATGCTGTGTGTTTTGTGATGATGTATGGTGTAGTTTTGCAATTTGATCCCTACATGATTTGTACTTCCTGAAGCCAACCAACCATCTAGCTTGTTCTGGTAGTATTCCAGAGCATTTGTTAGTCTCTTCAGAATGTTGCAGCGTAATATTTTGGTTCAGATGATGAACAGGAGAATGATTATTCGCTGGTTAATCCAGAGACTTAGGTCTCCTTTCTCTAAGAGTTTGACAAGGTGATCCTTCTTCCAATCGACAGTCACCTTCCCTTCTTTATGCAATAGTAGTGTGAGTATGTCCGTTGATGTTTCTGTGTCTTTTCTTCTGGAGGAATTCCATTTGTTGGAAGGTAGGTCAGTGTAGGTGCATCCAAACAAGACGAAGTGCGCATCTTGCCTTCTCACTGCTATTTATCATTAGAAAAATAGCTATCCTTTCATAACCTGTTTTTTTTTGTTTGTCTTTATTCTCTTTCTACAGTATTCTAGTTCAACAAATCGTGTTCATTTACCCTTACCATTGGGTGTTTTAGCTGATCGTGCATTAAAAAATCGTGCTTATGCTAAAGCATTATACTATAAAGAACATGAATTTCTTATGGAATGTGAAAAACGTTCATGTCCAAGTCCAGCAACTTTATCCTCTTTACTCACTATATATAGTAATCTGAATTTAGAGGAAGCTGCAAATGGTGTACTATTGTATGCAACACGTAGTACACAAGATAAACTGGTAAGTTGTATTCTACAACTATTGTAATATTTCTATTTATCATTTGATAATACTATAAGCAGACAGTATACATGTTCGATCATCTATGCATTTGTATGAGTAGACACCAATGTTTTTATAATGTTGCCATTGTTTTACATAGGTCTGTTTATCATCAATCCTTTCATATGATACTATCTGAAGTAAGATCTGTAAATTCCTTGACGTTTGAGTTGACCTCGGGAAAAACAAGCTTAAGAAAATCAGGCAGGATTAACACCCAGTCGCGGGTGTATCGACCAAATATTCACATTGTGCCAGGTGATGGAATATTCGCACGCTTATCGACACCCGACAATAGCTATATTTCTCGATGTGATCTAGAAGTCTTATGATAATGTCTCTCAGTGAAAGGCATACATCACCTAATTGAAGACTGTCTAGTCGAACAGTTATGGGGTTGTTAGAGCCTATGGTAGGAGGTCGGTGGAGGTGTGCTCATTGAATGGTGTCGTTCGATGGTGCCTAGTCTCTCAATTTCTATTCAATTTTATAATAGATATTGTAATGGAGGTCTCCTTGTCATCAGCTGACTACATAGAGATTGAGGTAATGGTGAGAGAATTTTCGTTAGACGTATAATATGGAGGTGACATGGTGGAAGTGGGTGAAGACGGTGACAAGATGCAGAGTCTTGTAGAGACTTAGAGTTTGTAATTGGAGAATGTTTTGCATGTGTGGACTTTTCGCGATCGAAATGTGAATTGTTTGTACAGGATTGGTGTTGAAGGGTGCCATGGGTAAGAGTGTAGAATGAGTGTAGTGATTGATTGTGTTGACTAGTTGACTTACCTTTGAAGTGGGATGTGAGCCGTGATGGATTGGTGGTCAATGGTTGATGAAATCTATGGACGAATGGAAAAGACTCTGTCGGGTTTTTTCAACTTCCGCAGCATGTGGCTTTGTCGTGATATCCGATTGTGTATAAAGGATGGCGTGTACTGCACAGTAGTCTGGTCTCTTCTAGTGTGTCACTGTGAAACGTGTCGATTGAAGTTGGAAGAGATGAAAAGGGTTCAGGTGTTTTACGACTGTTCCCTTTGAAGTGTGCTCCGTATTCCATGGTGTCACCATGTGAATAACGTAGAAGTGATGCGTAGAGTTTTAGAGAGCGAGAAGAGGTAAGTCACTCGATGAGCTTGTGAACCTTCATGGGTTACTAGTGGAACATAGGGCTTCAGTTGCACGCCTCCATTGCACTCTCGTCTCTGTAGTCTTTTCAACGTCGCTACACGACTGCCCACAGCCTTTCATTTCTTTCTCACACAATCTACTTCATGTCACCCTTATCTAGGACTCCCAACTCTCCGTTTCCCATTTTGATTCCAGTCGACGGCCTGGCGCTTGATCTCCCCAATCGTCCTTCACAGTGTATGCCCAATCCATCTCCTTTTTCTTTCAGTGCATATTTGTTGGGTGATAGGTTCTTGGTTGGTGCGTCCCTTGTTACTTATTCCTTCTGGCCATCCATCCGATCTTGAGTATCGAACCAACGTAGTCAGCTGTTGATGAATGTCTGTAGTTTGTTGGAAGCGCTTTTCATGAAACGCGAAGTTTCTCAACCATCACATAGCAGCACTGACTTGATTGAATTAGTCTTGAAAATGAGGATATTGTTTTTTGTGCTCAGTGTAGTACTGTAGTAGATCTCCTTAGTGATTTCACATTAATGAAGTGTGGCCTGTCTTGCTGTCTTTCGGATCGTGGCTGGTTTTGATATCCTGATGTGTGCATGTGCTACCTGTAGTTGAAACGATGCTGCCTAAGTATGTACGTAGGAGAAAGAGACTACTTCGTGTATGTTTCTCCCGTTCATGGTAATTGGTTCGTCTTGTTGTTGATGCTGGGACATGTGTTACGTATGCCTAATTGTCGTCTTCCTCGTCACACAGTGTTGACTGAATTATGTCTAATGTCACACAAACTTGAAGATCTACACGCGAAAACTAACAAGTTGACAGAAGATGCAGGGCAGCGAAGACGGACCTTCAAGTGAACGTAGAGAAAACAGATGTGATGATGATACCCAACCAACGTCACCATCAACAACATCTACCGTCATCATGGACGGGAGAAACTGAAAGGAAGTAGCCTCTTTCACCTATCTAGGCAGAGCAGCATCGCTTCAACTACAGGTGACACAGGCACAGACGAGAACGTCAAAGTCAATCAGTATCAGAAAAGCAAGACAGGCGTTCCTCAACCTGAAACCAGTGTGGAGATCTACTGCGCTGTACTCAGCATAAAGCGTAAACAACATCCGGATTTTCAACACGAATTCAGTCAAGTCAGTACTTGTGTATGGCTCAGAGAGTTGACGCGTTACGAATGGGATTTCCAACAAACTACAGACATTCATGAACAACTGTCTACACTGCCTCGTTACTGAAGATCAGATCAGATGGCCAGAATAGTGAGAATAAGCAATAAGGAACTCACTCTGGCCTGGAAAAGAACCAACCAACAGCCTATCACCCAAGAAATATGCAGGTGAAGACAGTGGAGATGGATTGGGCATACACTGAGAATGTCGACTGGGGGACATCAAGCGCCAGACCAGTCCCTTACGTGGAACCCAGATGAGTAGCGACGAGTTTTGTGTCCCAGCTGAAGGTGACATGGATGAGTAGATTGTGTAAGGAAGAAATGAAAGCTTCTGGGCTGTCGTGGAGCCAGGTTCAAAAAATTTTATAGAACAGAGTGGAATGGAGGCGCGTGCTACTGAAGCCCTATGTTCCATTAGAAACCCAAGAGACAAGTAATAATAATAATCTATATGCTTGTTACTACAATGGTTACTGATTATGATTATTGTCATTCGACTAACTGAGATAGCAGTCGTAATTTGGTAGACTAGTATTACTGATACTTGGTAATGTTTGAAGATGGAATGAAAATTTCAACCACAGTCGAATTCGAATCAGTGACCATTGACTTTCTGGCCCCAGTTAAATCCAACTTGTGATTGATGAAGTTAAATAAAAATCTGGTTGTTAGTAGTTTGACCTCATAGCTCTTTTGGGTAGAATAGTATCGACCCAATGGTAGCTAGTTTACATGGAGCATATATTGTTTTCATTTGTTTCCCATTTCTAATCCTTTATTCTAATAGGCGAATGAAGAAGTTTGGCGAGAGAAATTACGTGATTGGAAATGTGCATTAAATTTATATGAACGTAAATTAGAAGATGATAGAATTAAAGATAAAAGTTCACTAATTCTTGGTAGAATGCGTTGTTTACGAGCTTTAGGTCAATGGTAAGTAATTATCCTTTATATAGTGTTATATTTACTAAGTTAATATATAATGAATTGACTGATAGGAATGTGTATTCAATTTAAAAATGAGTTGATAACGTGCTGGCAACGGAATCTTGGCAGGATCGTGGGTGCAAACTGCTGAGGTGTATCATACTGGGACGAAACAGCTGTCTTCGACTTTTTGTCAGTCTACGATGAATATGGAGTCCTACAAACCTTTACAAGTCTCATTCAACAGCACCTACATGTTATACGAGGATACTACATGCCAAGTGATTCACAATGAAAAACTCAGTGATACCCTTCAAATGAAGTGAAGACAAGAGTAAGACAAGGTTCCCTCTACTATCATCGATCACCTTCCTCATTGTAGTCAACTCGACTGAAATGGACTTGACTGGACTGGATCATGGAACAAACAAACAACTGTGAGGAACGAGAAGATGAGCATACGTTTGCTGGACTGATGAAAAGACTGTAGAACATTTGGATTTCGTCTCGATGATGATTTATATCTAATGTCTTATGTCGCAGAAACTCGAAGATGTACAGGCGAAAACTAAGAAGTTGGTATGAGAGGTAGAGCAGTGAAGGAAGACGGGAATTCCTTCAAGTGAAAATAGAAAAGACGGAGGAGATGATATTCTTTGTGTTTTCTCTCTCCATCCAAGATTTCTATATTGGTAAAATTGTATTCATCCTCATAGTTGTTATCCATTTGGATTGAGCGATGAAATGTTTTGTGTGACATTTAATAGCCAATTCGTGTTCTGATATAGAAGAAGGTGAAGAGGGTGACCACTTTGTCCAATGTAGTGTTGACTGCAGTTATTCCAGTTGATTTTGTAAATGATATTCGGTTTATCTTCTTTGGTTGCTGCATCGTCTGGTGTGCATAACAGTATTTGAAGGGAACTTGTTTGTTTATGAGGCGCCCCACATCAATTCCATATGGTCTCAGTAATCTTGTCGTGATTTTTGATATATTATTGATGTACGGTACGATGCTGCATTTGTAGACTTCTGTCGATGGCTTTGTATTTGATGCTGTACGGGATAGGCATCTTCTGATAAAGTGTCGTAGGTAGCCATTATTCTTTACCATAGACGTCAAGTATTTTGTTCGTTTCTCTGTGAAGTTGTTGTACTTCACAATGTGTTCTCAATCATTTGAATAGAGTCTTCACGCAACTGATTTTGTGTGTCGTTGAGTTATTGCTACTGTAGTTGAGGATTTGTTTAGTGTTGACTTCCTGCACACACTTGAGTTTCCAGCTTTCCGGTATTTTTCGTACCGACTATAACATCCAGGAATGGTAGTTGAATGTAATCCACTCCTTCATCATTGTGAATTTGATGGCAGTGAAAACTTTGTTTGTCAAACTGTAAGTGTTTTCTACATCATCTCCTTTTTAATGATGACAGGTAGAATGATGGCTTCGAGTCTCTGCATCACTGCTTCTGGAATTAGTCTGGATATCCATGACCGCACTGGGATTCCTCTCATCTATTGAACCACCTCCACAAAATCTATGGGAGAAACCTCAATATTTAATTTTTTGTTTTGCGTTATAAGCAGATCTCAGACAAAAATTAGATGAAATTATGGATATGTAAGACAATTCAGTAATCACTGATACATTAATTGTGTTTAGAATGGATGACTAGTAAAGGGTTCGAACCCATGAAGAAACAGCTGTGTTGTGTATAGACAAAATGATAAGCCTATGGTAGAATGGTGGTTGAAGTTGTCTTAGATATACATTATATTAAATCCATTCGATATTTGATAATTCACATTGGGTGACCCGACGGGATTCGAACCAGCGACTATTGAATGAATTCCTCCTTATTATATATCTATTCGTTTATGTGTTTGTTATATCCTACTAATACGTACATTATTAATTTAGTGCAGTGAGCCAGAAACCTGTTGGTCGGTGGTTCGAGTCCGTCTATGTAGTAAAAATTTTCATTTTACTTTCAATTATTACTCAGTATTACTAATACCAGTCTGCCATACTCCACGGCTATTTCAGATAGTCAAGTGGTAATTATATATTAGAAGAAGTATTCATCATGAACTGACATCAGCTGAAGGAACTATTGAATTTCGATAGTGTAATTACAAGATGAAGTTTATCTGAACAATGTGTGCGATGTATTTGCGCAATACATTTCGAACAATCTGATCAGTATATATTGAACCGAGTACTGGGGAGGAGGGGTGGGGGGGACAAATACAACAATTAACACGATAGGCGGTTAAAATTAGGAAAGTTGAGAACGAACAGGAGGTGACCTAGTTGATCCTAATCTGGGTAAGAAAACAAAGTTTACCAATATTACGATTATGTATGTCACTTCCTGTTTGTTCTCATCTTTCTCGGTTAGTTATATATATTCACTTGATAAGTAAGTGTGTAATAGATCAGATTGTTTGAAATGTATTGCGGAAATACATCATACACATTGTCTAGATAAACTTCGTCTTCTAATTACACTATCGAAGCTCCTAGATTTTGAATGGTTCCCCAACTTGATGGCAGTCACTGATGAATACTACTTGGAAATAAAATTCCCCATTCATTTGAAAAAAAACATTACTGTATAGTGTTGATTAGTTGACTTGCTTCTAGATGGATATGAGGAAGGTGTAATGAGAAGTCGTTACCTATGGGGTGAACCAAACCAGTCTGAAGTGAAGTGGATGCTAACTGAAGACAAGATGTTGGATGATATTTGCGCTATATGATGATGAGTTGACAGAAGGTGAAAATTGTGAACCAGTGGAAATGGATCCACTGAGTGAATGAATGCTTAACGCGTTCGCCGTAAAACCTGAAGGTCGTGAAACCATCCCTAGTCGGGTCGAGGATGTCTGCTGGTCAGGAGTCGTATACTAGTTCGATGAAATAGTTGTCCAGTGCTCTTAGATTTTCAATGGTTCCCCAACTAATGTCAGTCCATGATGAATACTACTTTGAAATTGAAAAAGAAATCCCCATTTATCTGAAAAATTCATTATTGTATGATGCTCATTAGTGACTTGCTTCCAGATGGATATCATGAAGGTGTAATGAGAAGTCGTGACCTATGGGGTCAACCAAACCAATCGAAAGTGAAGTGAATGGTAACTGAAGACAAGAGCTTGGATGATATTCGCGCTATATGATGATGAATTGAACCAGTGGGAACCGATCGAGTGTGTGAATGAATGGTTAACGCTTTCACCGTAAAACCTGAAGATCCTGACTTCCATCCCTAACCCATTTATAGGTGCTGACAAATTGAACTTGTCTAAGATATACATCATATTATTTATTCATTCTTACTTTATGACTTTGGTGCAGGATTCGAACCATCGACTATTAAATAAATTTCTTTTTTTAATTTTTAGGTCTCCATTGAATAATATGGCTTGGGAACGTTGGAATGATGTAAATGATCAAATGCGTTCATATATAGCACCATTAGCGTGTAATGCAGCATGGGCATTAAATGCATGGGATCGTGTTGAACATTATTGTCAAGCTTTATCAATTGATAATAATTTTGATGGTGCATTCTATAGAGCTGTATTAAATATACATTTTGGACAATATATTAAAGCATATGAATATATAATGAAAGCACGTGATCTACTCGATTCTAATTTAACTGCAATGGTTGAAGAAAGTTATAATCGTGCATACACAGTAAGTGTTCATATGATCTTTAGTATCGATTGACTTTAGATATCATCTATTGATGAATGCTTATAGTTTGTTTAGAAGCGTTGAAAGCATGATATGAAGGATATATTGGATCACTGACTTGATTGAATTATCCTACCTATAGTTGAAACAATGCTGCCTAGATAGATGAAAGAAGCAAACTACCTTTAGGTTACTCCTGTTATTGGTGATTAGTACTTGTTGTTGAAATCCCGCCTTCGCTGCTCTGCTTCTTCTATCAACTTGTTTATTTTCACCTGTCGATTCATCATACAGTACTTAATAGTTGACCTGATATATGATATACTTTGTTTTTATCACTGACAATACCGACTGATTCAATCATTCTTGTCCACATCATCAATTCTAGGTAGAATAGCATCAATATTTGGATCAGTGTAAATGATAGCTCAATGCGCTTACATCATCAGTAAAAAGAAAAACAACAAGAAACATATAATCAATTGAATTGATAGTAAAATGATATGGGAACACTGAATGGCAAGTGTTTCATCTCCAGTATAGCTGTCATCAGTCATACACATACAGAATACCACCACACCGGGGATCGAACTCAGGATTCACTCATGATACAGTACGACAATCCTCACTTAATGTCTTCATCATCTGACACCCACTTCAATTCTACTGAATAGTTAATTTGATAGATTATGCCTTCTTATAAGAACTTTGCGTTATCCATGTTGAAGTATATTGAGCAGTATGTATTAGCGTAGTTTGATGCTTGTGAGAACCTCGTTTATTCTAAGGAAGTATGTATCATGAACTGACGTCAGTGGAAGTCACATACTACGATGAAACATCTCTGTGTCCAGTGTTTCCACATTGTCAATGATATCAGTCCTTTGATGAATACTATACTGTTCATAAAGTAATTTATCATTCCTGATGAAATAATAAGATATATTGCATATATCAGCGGAAGAAACTTGAAGGAAGAAGACTCTTTCACCTACCCACGTAGGCAACATCCTTTCAACTATAGGCGACACAGGCACAGACGAGGACGTCAAAGCCAGCCACCATCCGAACAACAAGCAACACAGGAGTTCATTAACCTGAAACCAGTGTGGAGATCTGCACTCAGCACTGAAAACGAGATCCAGATTTTGAACACCATACCAGTCGCGTTACTGCTGCTATGTAGTTCAGAAACTTGACGCGTCACGTAAAGCATCTCCAACAAACTGCACATACTCATCAACAACTGACTATGCTGGCTCGATACTGAAACTCAGATGGCCAGAATAGTGAGAATAAGCTACAACGAACTGTGACTGACTGTTGACGAACCAATGAAGCAAGAACTTATCGGTCAACAAATATGAACTGGAAGGAAGTGTAGATGGATTGGACATGCAGTGAGAAGACCGATTGGGGGACATCAGGCGCCAGGCCAGACACTCGAGTGGAACCCAGATGAGAAAAAACGAGTTTAGCGTCTGAGGGTGACATAGAGAGGTAGGTGTTATGAGGAAGAAATGAAACCTTGTGGGTTGTTATGGTGGCAGGTTGAAAAGACTACAAAGAACAGAGTGGAGTGGAGATGTGCTACTGGAAGCCCTATGTTTCATTAGAAACCCAAGGGACAAGTAATAATAATATAATAAATTGCACGCATATCAAAATGTCTATCTAATGGAAAAGTGAATCTTTCATCAACAGAAACTAATCAATTAATAGTGTTATTGCTTGTATTACACCATCGGTAATTGGAGCGAATTGACCAATCTCTGTTGGCATATAGACTCCTGTGTGAATGCTAACAGAGACTGATTAATTCGGTTTGAAGCGATTGCTTCTGAGTCGGAATCTCGGTGGTGGGAACAACATCACTCCGCACTGGGAGGTAGGTACATCCAGCTGATGAGTCCCAAATAGGACGAAATACACATCCTGGATTCCACTGTCTAAATAATTTTCTACGAAAAAGCTACAATGAACACGAATATCTATTGAAGGTCAGTGATAATAGATAATCGTAAATCAACTTGTGAATAGATGATTGTATGTTGACATAGACAGACAGACAGACAGACAGACAGACAGACAGACAGACAGACAGACAGACAGACAGACAGACAGACAGACAGACAGACAGACAGACAGACAGACAGAATCGGCCAGTCAATTTTCCAGTAAGAACTCCTACAATGTACAAAATGGAATATATTTGACAAAGATTTTTTCTTACACTACGATCGTATACGTTTCCCTCAACTTAGGGGATTAAGGAGAGAAATTTATGGTAATCGTACATTGAAGCAACTCACTCACTAATGAGTAGTAGAGAATAATTCAATTTTAGAGATTTGTCGGGATTTATTTGTTGATTTTCAGCTAAGAGTTGATGGTGTGTTAGCCACCGGGGACTTGAATTCGTAACTGAACGATTTCCTGTTTACTCTTAGACGATGGTTCTGCATGAATAGTCTTCTACTTATTTCTACAAAATGTGTCAGACTGTGAACATACGTTTCTCCGTCTATACACTGAAGAATGTTACAAGTGTGATTTATCCAAGGGTGTGTAGTTTTCTTCAGACCTCTTCTGGTCTTCTTCTTTTGTATTCTATAAACTCACACATCTTCCTCGTTCTTTCCATCATTATTCTCCTTTATTCTTTCTTACGTTATTACACACATAGTCTATTATGTGTTGTGTCAAACCTATAAAACTTCTAAGTGATTTTATCAGATAACCAGCATCTTCATGTAAAGCTGCTTGAATGTTGGTTGTCATACACAGTAAAATACCGTTAGGTATTTAGCTCATCTCTGTCTTTTTCACCACTAATATTTGTCCATTGGGTTTCATATAGGGCTTCAGTGGCACGTCGCTATTGCAATCTGTTCACTGCAGTCTTCTGCCTTAACCTTGCACTACATGACTGTCCATCTCCTCCTCTCCTCCTCCATGTCACCCTCCGATACCGAACTCGTCGTTTCCCATGCGGGTTCAACTCGACGGCCTAATCTGGTGAGAGATCTCCTCAAAACCATCTTGTTAGAGTGTTCTTCTCCATACTTGTTGGGTGATAGCTTTCTCGTTCATTCGTTACCATAATGAGTTCCATGTTCCTGATTATTTCTGATCATCTGATCTCATTTTCAGTATCGAGTGAGGGTAGGTGGCAGCTGTTCATCTATGTCTACAGTTGGTTGGAAATGCTTTTCTTAATGCGCCTAGTCACTTAATTCTCACATAGAGGAGTTGTTTTATCAAGTGACCAGCATCCTTTTCAGTTGAAGCTGTTTAGGTGTGGGTTGTCTTACTGCGACTACATGATGACATACTGAAAAGCAAACTTTGATAAAAGAACAATGTCCACCAAACAAGTTGGGTGTTTTTGTTTGCGTATCTGTGCTATCTGCGCTTATCAAAATCACTTATGTACATGTTCTCCTATTGTCAATTTCTTGGATGGATTACTCGTCTCCATGCACATGTAACCATTCACATGCGTACACTGGTAAACACATTTGGATATGACGTAATCCTTGATGTATTGTTAGGGTTTGTGACAAAGTATGTGGCTTGTCTTTTTCCATAGTCATAAGCTTTGTTGAATAATAGGCTTTCCTAATGGATGACATTAGCCTACGTCTTTAAACTGTACTATTCAATTCGTCGTTGTGTATAGTAGAATGATATGGAGGCTTTTCTTATGGACTAGTGACGCGGGGGTGTTACCTAACCAAATGAATATCCTCTGTGCATAAGTGTTTTTGTGTCAGTAATTGGATAGAAGTACACAGATCTGATCAATGTTGTTAAAGAGAGATTCAACTAGACCTGAAAAGTACATGTGAAAAATGGTACTCATCATTATTATTTATCCCTTGAGTTCCTAGTGGAACATAGGGCTTCAGTAGCACATCTCCACTCTACTCTGTTCTCTGTAATCTTTTAAACCTGCCTCCATAACAGCCCACATGCTTTCATTTCTTCCTCATAACACCTACCTCTCCATGTCACTCTCACCTCGGACGCCCAACTCGTCGTTTCCCATCTGGGTTCCACTCGAGTGTCTGGCCTGGCACCTGATGTCCCCGAATGGTCTTCTCACTGCATGCCCGATCCATCTCCACTTCCTTCCAGTGCATATTTGTTGGGTGATAGGTTGTTGGTTGGTTCGTTTCCAGGCCAGAGTGAGTTCCTTGTTGCTTATTCTTATTATTCTGGCGATCTGAGCTTCAGTAAGGCTCGGAAATTGCTCACGCTTACTGCTGAGTGTAGTGCAGAAGATCTCCACACTGGTTTCAGGTTAATGAACGCCTGTCTTGCTTACTGTTCCGATCATGGCTGGTTTCGACGTCCTCGTCTGTACCTGTGTCGCCTGTAGTTGAAACAGTGCTGTGTAGATAGGTGGAAGTGGCTGGTTCCTTTATGTTTCTCACGTTGATAGTGATTGTAGCTTCTTGTTGTTGTTGGTGGTGGTGTTGGTTGGGTATCATCATCACCTCTGTCTTCTCTACGTTCACTTGAAGAGAGTCCCGTCTTCGCTGCCTTGCCCTCTTCTGTCAACTTGTTAGTTTTCGCGTGTAGATCTTCGAGTTTGTGTGACATTAGACACAAGTCATCATCGGCGAAATCCAAATGTTCTAGGTTCTTTTCCATCGTCCAGCCAGCGTTTCTACCTCTTCTCGCTCCTCACAGTTGTCTGTTTCATGATCCCGCCCAGTCCACTACAATCAGGAATATGTTGGGTGATAGTAGACGGCAGCCTTGTTTTACTCCTGTCTTCACTTCACATCAGACACATCACTGAGCTTCCCATTGTGAATTATTTGGCATATGGCATCCGTAGTGTTGAAGTAGTTGTCAAATTACTTCTCGATCGACGCTGTCAAAGTCTTTTTCAGAGTGGATGAAGTTGAAGTGGAGAGAAATGGTAGGTGATGATTATTGTCTTTCGCTCAAGTACATCAGGCTGTTATGAGTTTGTTACGGTGTTAAGTTATTTTAATTGATAAACCATATTGTCATGTTTCTCTCAAGTTGTCTACATATGTCATGTGAAGGGGATTTTTAGTGATGAGATTTTCACTAGGGAGATATACTATGTTTAAGGTGTAAATATCAGCTGGGAATAGTTCTAAAAGACTTTCCATGATAGCCACATCGCTAGCCTGTTAAAATTGTTATTCTTTTGTTATTTTCTATCATTCTGATATTGATTGTTTGTTCTCTACTCTTTTCTCTCTTCTCCTCCTCCCCCCCACCTCCATCTCCAATCACTAACCGACCCCTTTCACTAGGATTTAGTCGGTACTCAATTATTATCTGAAGCTGAAGAAGTAATACAGTATAAATTAATTCCAGAACGACGTTCAATACTTCGTGAAGCTTGGCAATCTCGTTTACTTAATTGTAATTCAGTTGTTGAAGATTGGAGTCAAATTTTACAATTGCATAGTTTAGTATTAGAACCATTTGAAGATCGTAAATCTTGGTTACGTTTTGCTGGATTATGTCGTAGAAGTGGTCGATTTGTAAGTGAATTCATCTTCGATCTAATGTGTGTGTGTGTGTGTGTGTGTGTGTGGATCTGGATGTACGGGTGTGTTGTTGATCCTCTGATCCTGTGCTGATCCTCTCTCTCTCTCTCTCTTTCTCTCCTACTCTTCATAGATTCTATCACGTCAAGTATTAGAAAATTTACTCGGTTTAGATCCAGCTAGTATTCCACCATGTGATCCTATTCCATGTAATGATCCAGCTATTGTTTTTGCTTATACTAAATTATTATGGTCAGTTGGTGCACATGAAGAAGCCGTTAATCGTTTATGTGTATTAAAAACATATATATTAGAGTTATTGTTATTATTATCTGAGAATGGAATGAATATTGGTATGATTGGTTATGGTAATACTAGTCAACTACAACAACAACAACAACAGCAAGGAACATCTATTTATCAATTATGGTCGCCTAATTTATTAACTACAAATGATACATTAGATAATATTGATTCAAGACATTTCGGTGGTCAAGTGAATAATGAACGTGATGAATTGAAGAAGTTACTATCTAAGTAAGTTTTTTTAAAATTTATTTATTGTTACTTATCTTCTAAGATATGAATGAAGCATTACCCTGGTAGCAGTATCATGATATGATGCTTGTATGTGTGTGTATGGAGCTGTATGATGGATTGGTCTATTGTCGATGCTACTAGGTGACTTGAAACAATGAAAGACAACAGGATGCTGATGAACTAGAAGTTTTCCTGTGATAATCATAGAGTTCCTAATGGAACATAGGGCTCCAGCAGGACATCTCCAATGTGTTCTGTTCTCTGAAATCTTTTGAATCTGGCTCTACCATAGCCCAGAAGACGTCATTTCCTCCTCACATGATCTCCATGTCACCCTCTGATGCCTAAATCATCGCTTCCCATCGGCGTTCCACTCGACGCGTGATGTTCCCAGTCGATATTCTCAGTGTGTGCCCAATCCATCTACACTTCCAGTTCATATTTCTTGACCAATAGGTTCTTGCTTCGTTGGTTCGTCAACAGCCAGTCACAGTTCCTTGTTGCTTATTCCCACTATTCTGGCAATCCATCTGAGTTTGAGTACCGAGCGAGCATAGGCAGTTTGTTGGAAATCACATTCGTAACGCGTTAACTCTCTGAGCCATACACAAGTACTGACTTGACTGAATTCGTGTTGAAAATCCGGATGTAGTTCACGCTTTATGCTGAGTACAGTGTAGTAGATCTTCATACTGGTTTCAGGTTGACGAACGCCTGTCTTTCTTTTCTGATACTGATTGACTTTGACGTTCTTGTCTGTGCTGCCACCTGTAGTTGAAGCGATGCTGGTCTGCCTAGATAGGTGAAAGAGGCTACTTCCTTTCAGTTTCTCCCGTTCATGATGACGGTAGATGTTGCTGATGGTGACGTTGGTTGGCTATCATCATCACCTGTTGGTTTTTGCCTGTAGGTCTTCGAGTTTGTGTAACATTAGACAGAAGTCATCATCGGCGAAATCTAAATCTTCTAGGATTTTTTCCCTGGTTCAGCTTATTTTCCTCTTTTTGCTCCACACTGTTTGCTGCATGATCCAGTCCAGTCCACTACAATCAGGAATATGTTGGGTGATAGTAGGCGGCAGGCTTGTTTTACTCCTGTCTTCACTTCACATCAGACGCATCACTGAGCTTCCCATTGTGAATCACTTGGCATATGGCATCCGACATAAGTTGAGAAGGCTGTAGATGACTTCAAACGATGTAAAACAACATGATCTTGGTGAACTAATTCATAATCTTAAAGGAATCAGTCTCATGAAAACACTATCTAAAATTCTATTTTCTCTTATTCTATGATGCTTGAGTGAAGCTTGGAAACAGCACATACGAGAAAACTAGAGAGGCTTTAGACCCAGTCGCGGGTGTATCGACCAAATATTCACATTGTGCCAGGTGATAGAACATTCGCACGCTTATCGACACCCAACAATAGCTATATTCCACGACCTGATCGAAAAGTCTTGTGATAATGTCTCTCAGTGAAAGGCATACATCACTTAATTGAAGACTGTCTAGTCGAACAGTTATGGGGTTGTTAGAGCCTATGGTAGGATGTCGGTGGAGGTGTGCTCATTGAGTGGTGTCGTTCGATGGTGCCTAGTCTCTCAATTTCTATTCAATTTTGTGATAGATGTTGTTATGGAGGTCTCCTTGTCATCAACTGACTACATGGAGATTGAGGTAATGGTGAGAGAATTTTCGTTAGACGTATAATATGGAGGTGACATGGTGGAAGTGGGTGAAGACGGTGACAAGATGCAGAGTTTTGTGGAGACTTAGAGTTTGTAATTGGAGAATGTTTTGAATGTGTGGGCTTTTCGCGATCGAAATGTGAATTGTTTGTACAGGATTGGTGTTGAAGGGTGCCATGGGTAAGAGTGTGGAATGAGTGTAGTGATTGATTGTGTTGACTAGTTGACTTCCCTTTGAAGTGGGATGTGAGCCTTGATGGATTGGTAGTCAATGGTTGATGATATCTACGGACTCTGTTGGTCTTGGTTGTATTGTGATCTCTGAGGAGCTGGGTTGATTAATCGTGAAGAAGCTTTCATCGTCATTCTAAACAGAGATATCATCCACAGCACTAACTTCACTATCAAGTCAGCTACCTGTCAATATCTCTCTATCAGTGGCTTAGTGACTTGCTCTGACGATGTGGTCTGTGATTGGTTGTTTAGCTCGATTGTTGTGTCATTGACTGACTGTAGAGATTTTCCTGTTGACTGTCCCTCTGCTTGACCTCTGACCTTTCTGTCGTTTATCATTTTCCTTATTGGTTGATAGATTGGGTCTATGTCTGTACATCTATTGATTGTTGACTGATTGACCTGAATGACAAGCTTCTAGAAATTGTCTGATGATATTCTTTGTGTTTCCTCTCTTCATCCAGCACTTCTACATTGTCGAAATTGAATTCATGTCCATAATTATTATCCACATGGATTTAGTGATGAGAGATGAGATGTCGTGTCTTCCTTTGTTATTTCTTCTGCTTTGAAGGGTTTTTTCAAGGTTTGATTAATGTGGTTTTCGAACTTCTGGATAGGGTTGGTCTCAAGTCAAATGAAGAATGAAATCAAGTGGACCTATCCTTCCTCGGTTTTACGGCAGACCAAAAATATACAAACCAGACATCCCTCTACCACCAATAGTCTCACTTCTGGGAATTCCAACGTGCATCGTACAACTTTCGAGAAAGGTGAAACACCACGTTCAATCATACGGACATTTCATCAAGTCAACAACAAAGTTCTTAGAAAAGATCGAAACCATAAACACAAAACGACAAATTAATGTTATCCTCCGATGTCACAGCATTATACGCATCCATCAGACCCGGGTTGGTCAAGGAAACAATATACCTCCTGCTCAATGAAGACACAAGCCTTACAGAACGCGCAAAACTTAAATGTTGAAGTCTGATGGAACTCATCGACCTTTGTCTGACAACATAATTTCAATTCAACGGCAGGATATTCAAACACATGAAACGAACTCCAATGGGATCACCGATATCCGGACTAATTACAGAAGGAAGCAGTGACTACAGTGGAGACTGGAAGCCATTATTCTACCTGTGATCAAACTAAAATTCTGGATTCGCTATGTGGACGACACTTTCGGTCATCACTAAAAGGAGATGATATAGCGAACACTCACAGTTTGATCAACAACGTTTTCGCTTATGACATCAAATTCACAATGTAAAAGGAGTCGAACACAACCAACTACCATTCCTGGATGTTTTAATCAACAGGACAAATACCGGAAGCTGGAAACTCAAGTATGCACGAAGCCAACACACACTGACTGATCAAATCCTCAACTACAATAGCAACAACTCAACAACACACAAAATCATTTGCCTACAGACTCTATCAAAAGAGTGAGAACACACTACACTACACTGGACTGCGCCACAACAACAACAACGTCATGGAGAAACGAAGAAAATTACTTGATGTCCATCGGAAAGAAGAACGGCTACCCACCAAACTTTATCACAACATGCCTATCCCGTACAGCATCATTTACAAAGTCATCAACAGAAATCTACAAACACATCATCCTACCATACATAAAGCATATATCAGAGATCAAGACAAGATTACTGAGACCACATGGAATTGATGTCGGGTGCCTCATACATCAACAAATTCCCTTCAAACACTTATGCAGACCACACGGGACGCAACAACCAAAGAAGACAAACCACCGAATATCTTCCACAAAATCAACTGCAATCACTATAGTGAACACTACACATTGGACAAAGTGGTCACCCTCTTCGAGTTCGTCTACATCAGAACACGAATTGGCTATTGAACGTCACACACGACATCTCATCTCTCATCGCTAAATCCATGTGGATAATAATTATGGACATGAATTCAATTTCGACAATGTAGAAGTGCTGGGTGAAGAGAGAAAACACAAAGAATATCATCAGACAATTTCTAGAAGCTTGTCATTCAGGTCAATCAGTCAACAATCAATAGATGTACAGACATAGACCCAATCTATCAACCAATAAGGAAAATGATAAACGACAGAAAGGTCAGAGGTCAAGCAGAGGGACAGTCAACAGGAAAATCTCTACAGTCAGTCAATGACACAACAATCGAGCTAAACAACCAATCACAGACCACATCGTCAGAGCAAGTCACTAAGCCACTGATAGAGAGATATTGACAGGTAGCTGACTTGATAGTGAAGTTAGTGCTGTGGATGATATCTCTGTTTAGAATGACGATGAAGGCTTCTTCACAATTAAACAACCGAGGAGGCTACTTCTTTTTGATGTGGCTGAAGAAGGAAGGTTTATACATGGCGGTTGAGCTGAATGGTAATGTGGTAACTTTGAAATTTTGGCATGAGTTTTTATCGTAGGTTAATGGGAATTTGCTATTTATCTGACTGATACTTTTTCAAATCTCCTTCTCATTGATAAGTTATCATCATTGTAGCGCATTCCTGTCAAATGTCATGATCCAGTCAACTCTATGACTTAGCTTAACATACATTGTAGTTGTGTATTTTCTCTCTCTCTCTGTATATCCTAGATGTTGTTTAAAATTAGGATCATGGTATTCTGAATTGTATACACGTTCACCGCCTGGAATCAATCAAACAGATAGTCATTCAATTGTTTATAATACTTCAGGATCAATTTCATCACCATCAGGAGTAGCAGTTGTAGCATCATCATCTCCACCACCATCATTATCGTCTTCGTCATCATCATCATCATCGTCATCATCATCATCATCATCATCATCATCACCTATGCTAACAACAGTTAATGGAAATGATTTACAGTATTCAGCAGCTGCTACACGTATTCTATCTAAAGTGAATGTAAATAATAATACTATTGAAGTATTGCCTACATGTGAAGTATCATATTGTGCTACTAGTAGTAGAACTAGTAATGTAATGCGTTTATCAAATAATCCTGTTGGAGGAATAAGAGTTAATACACGTGATACAAATTCACGTGGTACTGCACCTGTTACTTCTGCTGCTCCTCCTTCAACAACAACAACAACACAAACATGGGAAGAAAGTCAAGCATTTGTAATACAATGTTATCAAACAGCAACATTATATACACCAGATAATCGTAATGCTTGGCAATCATGGGCTATGGCTAATTATGCAGTATTCAATCATTTGGATACATTGAAAGCACGTTTAGAGAGAGCAGAATTAGAATTGAATAAGGTTAGTTGATGTGTTTATTGATAATACTGGCGTTCCCACCGCCATCTCCTCCTTCCTCCCTCCCCATCTGGGGACACACACACATACCTTGGCGTATTGTTGTGCCAATTTTATAATGGATAGTTGTCAGACGACTTAACTAATTGCCTTCTGAATAAATGTATGACAGTTAGTAGAATTTCCATTGATATTTTCACTTTCGTAGTGAATGAGAGAACTGTTGCTTACTTCTATGTATCATACTGTGGGGAGGAGGGTTCACGGTGGCCGGACAAAAAAACGTGAGGAAATCGGCTGAAGTGTTGCCAAACACACCTTCATAGTAGTACGTTTACAAAGAACAGGTGGATAGAAAAAGAGATTGATTGTGTGTGCGAGAGAGATGGCCAGAAAGAATAAGCATACCAAATATATACACATTTCTAATCAACACGTTCACAAGACCCTATCCGACCGATAGCTGCTACCTTGACGTGGTGGTCGGGCTTGTATATCACAATAACCCAACGAGCTATGCTGGTGGAACGCTTGTCCTCTCGAGGTCCTACCATACCAGAAAGGTCTGTTGGATGGTGGTTAGACGAAAAACAGTTACCGTTGTAGTGTAAATTGCTACACTGTGATGGGTGGGTGGGGGGGGGGGCGGGTCAGAGGGCGAAGTCGTACTGCTGTTAACTGGATGGGGTGTGACACCAGTAAGGTGTTTCCCTTGTATGACCAGCAGTGGCATGCTGTTGCTGCCTTCTGAATGGAAGTAGGGTGGGGGTGGGGTGGGGGTTAGAAAAGGTCGGCCGGAAAAGTAACACACTCCACTATGCCCGACGATCTGTCGGGCTGGCGGTAATGGTTAATTTGTCGTTTCCTTCCGACTATCCGACCCAAAAGTACAAAAGTTGAAAATAATCGTACTCAAAAGTCTGGGTGTGACAGACCTCAAGCAGATGTCCGATGGGCTCTGCGGTCACACAAATTTCTTTCCGGTACTTCAAGAAGAATAGCCTTCCACGGTGTGGGCAGCCGGGAAGTGTCCATTGCCCTCACAACCCGATTAGCACTCAAGTTTCCTCAGACTGCTATCTACCTCCTCCCTCATTACCTCCTAATCTTACTTCACGTCTCCCAATTAACAATACTACATCATCTCTAATTTCTCCTAGTTCTACAGCCTTTGACAACGATATGAGTTCACAGAACACCATCCTTGGTCTCCTTAAATCACGCTTCAAATTATGTATTGTAATCCTCAATGTCCTCACCCTCCGTCAAATTGGTCAACAAGCTTCATTGTCAAAGACTCTAGCAACTCGGGGCATGGATGTGTGCTGTGTTTGTGAGACACGCATACAAGACCCAAGTGCGGTTATTCACATAACATCTCCCGACCAATCTAGTGAATCCGCAAAGTTCACCCCTTCGAGTTTCTGGAGATTTGAAAGCTAGCTCTCAGGGTTTTACGGGCGTAGGGTAACGTGAGTTTTATCAAACAGCTTTGATTAGCGTTATTTCATTGCTTAGTATTCCTTTTACGATACCTAATGGTCCACAGAATCGAATGCCTCCTTCAGATCAAGAAATATGACAAGTGTAGGTCATCGGCCTGTAGGTATACCTGTGTTCTAGAACGTGTCGAAAACAAAACATGTGATTGATGCACCCTCATTCAGGTCTTTATGAAACCTGCATGGTTTCCTCAAGCTTCAGTTAGGCCTCAAATAACTATGGACCCTAGGACGTTGGACACAACTAATTACCCTATGGTTGTCCCCCTTTGTATAAGAATTTATAAAGAGAAAGAAATGGATATGATGTTACCATAGAATTTTGTAAGACATCTTAATAACTCGATCTGCTACACCTAAATCGATCGATTGATTACCAACCTTACCACCTAGAGTCTGAAACCCCTGGGTACTTTTGTCACACATAAGCCAACCACGAATAACTGACTGATAGAATCAACATATAACTTTGTATACGTAAGTAGATTAGTGCAAGTGTGTTTATTGTCTCAAACTACTGTCGTCTACCATGATATCAGTCTATTTCCATCGATATTTTAAGCGGATAGACCTGAGTATGGTATTAGGTCTGATGATGATTTTGTCTATTATTCAGATATTGATATGAATTTCACTAAACAAACACTTGTCTATTTCTTCTATATTCATCAATTACTATTACAGCCAATTGTTGAACTTGTTCGTGCAAAAGCTGATTTACAACGATGTATGGAATTACACGCTACACCATCTGTTCGAGGTTTTGTCAATTCAATTAGTTTATCACCGACAGCTAACTTACAAGCAAGTTTAATATTGATTTATCTTTTCGTTTATTTTGTTTTTATACTTTCTTTGTGCTTTGAAGTTTCTTCAGTGATTGAATTGGTTTTACAGGATACGGTTGCTAGCCAGCCCTACATCCAATCTTCCCACTTTATCTGGACCACCTTTGGCATCGTCGCGATGTTAGTCTGACCATAAAAGGTCGGGTTCTTCTCTACACTCCGTAAAACTTGGCCTCTTCGATGCGAAGATATGTGATCATCGTTGTCTCTGTAGGATTTCTTCTATCCGATAGTAACATCATATTAGTAATTCTGATGTGTTTCGGCTTGATGGAGATGTTCATTTGAAAACATCAACTTGTACATGTGTTACGCATGTTGTGACAACAACTTCCACGCCGTCCATTGTTTACTAGCCTTGTAGGAGTTGATAAGAGTAGCGCGCTGGTGGTGGTTAGTGTATAATGTGACGCCGAGTGATCATGTAACTCACTGACTTGAAACGTTATCAGATATGATACACGATTGAAACTAGTTTAAAACATTTCTGAGTCAGAAACCTCTTGTATACAGTGTATTCTACTTTCTATCAGAGTTAATGACTAGTAAGTATGTTGAGATACTCAAAAACAATAGTACAAGGTAGCGAGCCATTGTCTACTCCCCTTGAATTCACTTGTAAATTTCTTAGACATAATTCAAAGATCTTGGAAAACATTGATTGATGATTGGAATAATATCACTCCGGATGAGATGCAGGTACATCTGGCTGATTGACAAGCCCCATAGAGGATAAAATGCGCATCAAGTTCAATACCTCTTTTAGTCATCAACATAAACGACTTCATTATCTCAAGCTATTATTATTATTTTTAGTAGTAGTAGTATTTGTCCCTTGGGTTCCTAGTACAACATAGGGCTTCAGTAGCACATCTCCATTGCACTCTATTCTCTGCAGTTTGTTGAAACTGGCTTCACGACTGCCTAGAAGCTCTCATTTCTTACTCACATGATCTCCTCCAAGTCAACCTCAGCTGGGACGCCCAACTCGTTGTTTCCTATCTAGTTTCCACTCGAGTGCCTGGCTTAGCGCATTATGTCTCCGAATCGTTAGTGTTGAAAATTCAGGCCTTGTTCACGCTTTATGCTGAGTGCAGTAGATCTCCATACTAATTTCAGATAAGTGAAGGCCTGTCTTGCTGTCTTTCCGATCCTGCCTTTCACATCCTCACTGTGCCTCCGCCGCCACCTGTAGTTGAAACGATCGTCACTAGGTAGATAAATGAAAGAGACTACTTCCTTTACATCCTCTCCCCTTCATCGTGATTGGTGTTTGTTGTTGTTGCTGCTGTTGCTGGTTGGATATCTTCATCACCTATAACCTCTCTATCTTCACCTCAATTAAGTCTCCTCTTCCTTCTCTGTGCTGCCTGTTCTGCCAACTTGTTACTTTTCGCCTGTACATCTCCGAGTTTGTGCGACATAAGACACTAGACATAAATCATCATGGACGAAGTCCAAATCTTCTCCTGAGGTGTTTTCATTTGTCCAGGCAGCGTATGCCTATTTTCTCGATCCTCACATCTGTTTGTTGCATGATCCAGTTCAGTTCAGTCGAGTTGACCACAATGATGAGGATGATCGGTGATAGTAGACGGTAACCTTTTCTTACTCCAGTCTTCTCTTCAAAGGCATCACTGAGTTTTCCATTGTGAATCACTTGGCATGTAGCGTCGTCATATTGCTGTTGCTCTTCTGGACATCATTGATAGCCACTACATAACTCCGCGTGCTCGTGGTTGTCGTCTGGGTGACCGGAGTAGATTATTGACTCTCCAGTTAAGAGTTTGGAGAGTTCCATTCGTTTCCTCCTGCTTTCGCAGATTCCTTGCACTTCTTACCACGCCTTCTCATCTATATGGCAATCTGGGCAGTCTTGCTAGGTTCATATATGGCTCGAACATTCCATGTCCCCATGTTCACTTACGCTTTCATCGAGAGAAGACACATAGGCCAATTGGCTTCCCGAAGGCTTTCACCAACCGCCGTCATTTGATTTCTTCGATTCCAGTGAGGAATAAGTTTGTTTTGATTTTTATTATTTCTTTGTGCTTTGAAGTTTCTTTGGCGGTTAGATTGGTTTTATGAGTTAGCCTTGTTAACCTATGCCCAACAATCCCTCTTTATCTGGGTTATATAGTCGTATTTATAATTGGTAAAATGTTAGATAATTCCATTGAAAAGAGTTGCTGAGTCACTATACAATAGATGTTGGTGATGATGATGGGGGGAAGGCGAACTAGATAATCGGTCACTTTGAATAAAGAGGGGTGAATTGATAGCCGGTGATAATGAAGTAAGGGGGACAAGTGCTGTCATACAATTGTAAAAAAAACACTGATGATATAATTTGTTCAGAAGACAAGGTTGGTATTGAAATCAAAAGTCTTAGACTGAGATTGATTTTCTTCAGCCACTGTTTGATTCAACAATGTATAAAGGATAGGCTATCACTTTTATACCCATATCTGTATGTGTGTATCTACAAATTCACATGATCCCATGGAGGTGACTGTATTAGACATTGTGGTAAGTTGGCAGCCCTTTGAACATTGTCAGGTTTAGCTTACAGTCGTGAACGTTACCACGAGTTATGCATGTATACAACTGAAGCAACGCTTCGCGTCATCTTAGAACAGAGTATAGAATGACAGTCAACCCCCTACCTCAACTTTATCTACTTTGAAAAGGCCTTTGACAGCATCGACCGAGAAGTAACTTATTTCGCTGATGAAGATTCATGTCTAGTGTCGCACGAAGTCGAAGATGAGTAGGCGAAAACCAACAAGTTGACAGAAGAGGCGAGGCAGCGAAGACGGCACTTCAAGTGAACGTGGAGAAGACGGAGGTGATGATGATACCCAACCAACGTCACCATCAACAACATCTCCAATCACCATGAACGGGAGAAACTGAAAGGAAGTAGCCTCTTTCATCTACCCACGTAGACAGCATCGTTTCAACTACAGGTGCCGGCACAGATGAGGACGTCAAAGACAGCCAGGATCAGGAAAGCAAGACACGCTTTCATTAACCTGAAAGCAGTGTGGAGATCTTCTGCACTCAGCATAGAGCGTCGACAATATCGGGTTTTCTACATCAATGTCAAGTCAGTGCTTCTGTATGGTTCAGAGACTTGGCGCTTTACGAATGGGATTTTCAACAAACTACAGATATTCATCAACAACTGTCTATGCTGGCTCGATACTGAAACTCAGATGGATTGCCAGAATAGTGAGAATAAGCAACAAGGAACTCTAGCAACGAAGCAACCAAGAACCTGTCACTCACCCCTGTATATTCACTGTGACCGATTATCTATTTCGCCCCCGTTCATCATCATCAACACTTATTGTATATTGACTGAACGACTCTTTTCATTGGAATTATGTAACACTTTACCAGTTATAGATACTACTTTTTAACTTCAGATAATGAAGTCGTTCATGTTGATGACTAGCAGAGAAATTGAGCTTGACACGCGTTTCGTCCGGTATGGGACTCGTCAATCAGTTGCATGTAGTACCTGCCCCTGAGTGCCGTAGGTTATACTTGTGAACAATGATGTAATGTCAAATGGAAACATCACTTTATCTAAAGTACTAAGATTGTAAATACCTTCGACAAACTATGAAATGTATCATAGACTAGAAGTTTCTAGCATTCCATCTAACCACTGAGGAATTCAATGACATAGAGAATGAAACATCATCCAAATGGGTAGTTTTGCTTTACTTACTTTTAGTAGTCGATATAAACGTGGATTTATGGAACCAACATTATCATAAGCACTAACTTGGTTGTCAATATATCTCCGTGTGGAACGAAGTAGTTTGCTTGCCTCCTTTTATTGTTCTGTCATCGACTTTTCCTGTTGGCTCTTCTTCTGCTTAACTTTTGACCTTTATCATTTCTCTTATTGATTGGTAGATTGGGTCTATGTCTAGACACCTGTGGATTTCTGACTGACTGACTAACTGACTTACCTGAATGCCAAGCTTCTAGAAATTCTCTGATGATATTCTCTGTGTTTCCTTTGTCCTTTGAAGATTTCTACATTATCGAAATTGAATTCATGTCCATAATTATTATCCACATGGATTTAGTGATGAGAGATGAGATGTCTTGTGTGACGTTCAATAGCCAATTCGTGTTCTGATGTAGACGAACTGGAAGAGGGTGACCACTTTGTCCAATGTATAGTGTTGACCATAGTGATTGCAGTTGATTTTGTGGAAGATATTCGGTGGTTTGTCTTCTTAGGTTGTTGCGTCCCCTGTGGTCTGTATAATAGTGTTTGAAGGGAATTTGTTGGTATATCAGGCGCCTCACATCAATTCCATGTGGTCTCAGTAATCTTGTCTTGATCTCTGATATATGCTTTATGTATGGTAGGATGATGTGTTTGTAGATTTCTGTCGATGACTTTGTAGGTGATGCTGTACGGGATAGGCATGTTGTGATAAAGTTTGGTGTGGTAGCCGTTCTTCTTTACGATGGACATGAAGTTGTTGTGGTGGTGCAGTGCAGTGTAGTATGTTCTCACTCTTTTGGATAGAGTCTGTAGGCAAATGATCTTGTGGGTTGTTGAGTTGTTGGTACTGTAGTTGAGGATTTGATCAGTCAGTGTGTGTTGGCTTCGTGCATACTTGAGTTTCCAGCTTCCCGGTATTTGTCCTGTTGATTAAAACATCCAGGAATAGTAGTTGATTGTAATCGACTCCTTCTTTAATGTTGTTAAAATTGTATTGTTGAATTTCTTGAAAGCAATATGGATAACGATGACTTTCCAAGGATAATTAAATGCTAGAACATCAGTATGAAGAAGGTCTAACTAACCTTCAGGGGATATCGCTTAGTAATCTGAGAAAAGCTTAACTGAAATGTTATTCTGGTAGTCAGTATGATTGAAAGATTCCATTATAGAGCTAGCAAATGATATTCGCTTGTGGATGCCGATGTCGTTAGCCTTTAGTCTTGACTATATATAACTATGTTAACGAGATGCATCCTACACACGTCTTCTTATTGAAGGTGACTTCAGTGAACCATGCGATTATCTAGATAGAGAATTTGATTGATTTATTCGACTGAAATCAAAATCCTGTAAGTTAACATTCATGTGATGATAGATAAGTATAGGAGAGTGTTAAGACCTCAGTAAATGGAGTACTATTCAAGCGTTGGAGTTCTGATGTCTGGAGGAATGTGTCATAAGTCAACCGCTAGATCTCATGAATTCTGAATATGAACCAGGAAATGGTCTGAAATTATTCCTAGTTTTATGATAGGTAATTTCCAGTGTTAATTAACTAACATCAGGAGATGGTTATTAGACAGGTCAATTGAATGAAATTGTTGGCATTCATCGACTAACTATAGGTTGGACATATTATTATTATTATTATTATTATTATTATTATTATTATTAGTCCCTTGGGTTCCTAGTGGAACATAGGGCTTCAGTAGCACGCCTCCAGTGACCTCTGTTCTCTGAGATCTTTTGAACCTGGTCCCACGACAGCCCAGAAGCTCTCATTTCCTGCTCGCACGACCTCCTCCATGTCACCCTCGGACGTCCAACTCGTCGCTTCCCATGGGGATTCCACTCGAGCAACTGGCCTGACGCGTGATGTCCTCACTCGACCTTCTCAGTGCATGGCCAATCCATCTCTACTTCTTCCTGCATATTTGTTGGGTGATAGGTTCTTGGTTGGTTCGTTCCCAGAGTTCCTTGTTGCTTATTCTTTCTGGCCATCTGATCTTCAGTATCGAGCGTAAGCAGTTGTTGATGAATGTCTGTAGTTTATTGGAAATGCCTTTCGTGACGCGCCAAGTCTCTGAACCATACAAGAGCACTGACTTGACTTTTGTTGGTGTTGAAAATCCGTATCTTGTTCCGCATACTGAGTGCAGAAGATCTCCACACTGGTTTCAGGCTAATGAACGCCTGTCTTGCTTTTCCGATTCTGACTTTGACGTCTTCGTCCGTCCCGCCTATAGTTGAAACAGTGCTTCCTAGATAGGTGAAGGAGGTTACTTCCTTTAAGTTTCTCCCGTTGATGGTGACTGGAGTTTGTTGTTGTTGATGGTGGTGGTGGTGCGGTATCTTCATCACTTCTGTCTTCTCTATATTCATCTGAAGTCCCGTCTTCGCTGCCTCTTCTATCAACTTGTTAGTTTTTGCCTGCAGATCTTCAAGTTTGTGTGACATTAGGCACAAGTCATCGGCGAAATCCAAATCTTCTAGGTTCTTTTCCGTCGTCCAGTGTATCCCCCTCTTCTCGCTGCCTACTGTTTGCTGCATGATCCAGTCGACCACAATCAGGAATATCATGGGGGATAGTAGGCAACCTTGTTTCACTCCTGTCTTCACTTCACATCAGACGCATCACTGAGCTTCCCATTGGACATATGATGCGGATATTGTATATTTACCTGCCTACTCGCCGCTACTGTTTGCCATCAAATCCTTTTTTTTCCCCCTTTTTTTTGTTTTCAGGATAGTCTACGTTTAATCAATTTATTATTTAAATTTGGTCATTTAACTGAAATTCGTGAAGTTATTCGTGAAGGTTTAACTAAAATACGCCTAGACAATTGGTTATTAGTGATACAACAACTTTTAGCTCGTATTGATACACCAAGAGAATATGTAGCTAATATTATTGTTGATTTATTAATATCTGTTGGACAACGTTATCCACAATCTATGGTTTATCCTTTGGTATTGGCATTCAAATCTGGTGGATCAGATCGTCGACGTTTTAATGCTAATCGGATACTTTATAGTATGGAGGAACAAAATTCACGTTTATTATCAGAAGCATTTTTGGTGAGTTAACTTTTTTTTTAATCTTTTTTTATACTACCCAATTTTTATTGAGTAGTATAAAATATATTTCACACATCATCATAGAGCATAGATTGGCAGTCAACTGGATGTTAACTTCATCGATTTCATCGACTTTGAAAAGGTCTTGGATCGAGGCATTGGTAGAGAAACAATTTGGCACCTACTTCAAAACTACGGTTTTGCTGTCATAAACTTTTATCAATCTCATTCAACAACAATTTATGCTATATCATACTACATGTCAAGTGATTTACAGTGGATAGCTCAGTGATGCCTTTGAAGAGAAGACTGGAGTAAGAAAAGGTTACCGCCTACTATCACCGATCATCCTCATCATTGTGGTCAACTCGACTGAACTGAACTGAACTGGATCATGCAATGAAAACACTTCAGGAGAAGATTTGGACTTCGTCTATGATGATTTATGTCTAATGTCTTATGTCGCACAAACTCGGAGATGTACAGGCGAAAAGTACCAAGTTGGCAGAACAGGCAGCACAGAGAAGGAAGAGGAGACTTCCTTGAGGTGAAGATAGAGAGGTTAGAGGTGATGCAGATATCTAACCAGCAACAACAACAACAAACACCAATCACCATGAAGGGGGAGGGATGTAAAGGAAGTAGTCTCTTTCATTTATCTACCTAGTGACGATCGTTTGAACTACAGGTGGCGGCGCAGGCACAGATAAGGATGTGAAAGCCAGGATCGGAAAGACAGCAAGACACGCCTTCCTTGATTGACCCGAAATCAGTGTGGAGATCTACTGCTCTGCTCTGCACTCAGCATAAAGAAGATCGGGGTTTTCAACAGTAATGTCAGTGCTTCTATGTGATAGTTGAGAGAGTTGGCGCGTTGCAAAAAGCTTTTCCAACAATTTGTAGATGTACACCAGCAGCTTCCGCCTACGCTTACTCGATAATTGAGATTGATTAGATAGCCAGAAGGATAAGAATAAGCCAGGAGTAAGTCTTGCTGGCAATGAACGAACCAGGAACCTATCGTCGAAGAATTATCTACTGAAGAAAAATGCGGAGATGGATCGGATTCGATATACACTGAGTAGGCAGTTTGAGATAGAGTTGACGTTAACAAATCAGCGAATGGAAATATCAGAAATAAGTAAATTACACACACGTAAGGTTATTATCTGAACAAGCTATTAAGTCGCTTGTGTTGCGAATGGGGAGTAAACTTCACGTTGAAATCATTCTACTTGGAGAATACAATCCAATACACAATGTATCTCTAAGTTTTCCTTATCTGCAACGGTATTGTTTTTCATGATTCTCCTTATCATTGACTTCACTGATGGGATGGATCAGTTAGCATCCCAGTATTATACAATATGAAATCTGTTATTCTCGACTGAGCAATCTAATTTGCAGATGGTGAATCGTCTCCTGAACAGCTCAATGGTAAAGTCCTCTGTTTGCAGCCATGAGTAACGTATGTTGTAGTCGCACAGAGGATACCCGTCTATTAGCAATGTTGTCATTGACGTGTTTATTCTTTGATAATCGATGCAGTTCAGTTCAATATGATTTTGCCTTTGATTTATACTACTACTTCACTTCTTTAATGTATCTTGATGTGCTGATTCATAGGAGGTTTGACCCCCCCCGCAATTGGTAGTTAAGTATATTTCTGATAGTCTGTATGTACTTATGTACACTAGACTGGGGAGTAGTGGAAAGTAGTGGAGTATATATGTATCTCAGGTGGGGATGATCTTGGTTGTATTGTGTTCTCTGAGGAGCTGGGTTGTTTAATTGTTAAGATTCTTTCATCGTCCTTCTAGACAGGAAAATCGATACAGTCAATGACATAACAACCCAAGGAACCAAGCAATCATAGACTGCTTTGTCAAGGCAAGTTATTCAGTCATTCATGGAGAGATATAGACAGGTAGCTTACAATTCATACTGAAGTTAGTGTTGTGGATGATATCGCTGTGTAGAAAAAGACGATGAAAGCTTCACACAATACAATCAATAGTAATGGGAAGTTCCAGTTGCTTTAGCCTAATAATAGAAATGCTGTGGTATGCATACTTATAACCCTATTTAGGATTAAACTGATGATATACTACAAGTCTGTTATAATGAAGAAAACTGTCTACTTGCTGTCTAACCGATATGATTGTCTGATGAATATCATATAAGATTAGTGTATATAATATGATACATAGTGAGTGATATAGAGGGGTTAAGTGAATATTGTTAGTCAGATTAGCAGTCTGTCTATATTGTGAGATCAATCATCATTATAGATTGAGATAAGCCATAATTATACACTAGTGTTAGACAAAATAGCAATCATTGAATGCGGTTCGATTTATCGAAGAGCAAGAAGTTTGTACTGCTGACTATTCTCATTTTATAGGATGAAACTGGTGTATGGTACTCTCAGGTTCTGAATGACTCTCCCTGGTGATATTATTTCGTGATGATAATCATTGTGAAAGGAATTAAATTCTTACAAAGGTCTACAAATCACTCTAACAAGTACAAAAATTCACTCACTCATCCAGCTACACTCACTCAATCAGTCACTCTGCAAGTCACTCCAGCAACTACACTCAGCTCAGTCAGTCAGTCAATCAATCACTTTGCACATTTCTCCGCCAGCTAAACCCACTCACTTACTCAACTGCACTCATTCGCTAACTCAGGTAGTCAACTACACTCTTTCACTCACTCACTCACTCGGTCAGTCAGTCAGTCACTTTGCACATCTCTCCGCCAACTAAACCCACTCACCTACTCACTCGCTCAGTCAGTCAGTCAGTCAGTCAGTCAGTCAATCACTTTGCAGATCTCTCCACCAGCTAAACCCACTCACTTACTCACCCAACTACACTCATTCACTAACTCATGTAGTCAACTACACTCACTCACTCAGTCAGTGAGTCACTTAATCTTTTTCTTCATCTCTGTGAATTATTTCAGCTTAATGAAGAATTAATACGTTTATCAATAACATGGGTTGAAATGTGGTCAGAGTCTTTGGAAGATGCATCACGTGTATATTTTATTGAAAAGGATATAGGAAAAATGTTTCGTTTATTATATCCTTTACATCAAATGATTGATCGTGGTCATGAAACAATTCATGAAGCAACATTTTTACAAGAACATGGAAATGATTTAATTGAATGTCGATTAAATTGTGAACATTTTGAACAAACTCAAACAAAAATTGATTTACAAAAAGCATGGGAAGGTTATTATACTTTATATAGACGTGTAAGTTTTTTTTTATTTTCATTTATTCCATTATCTATCAAATTTCTATTGTGATTATAATGTGATGTGGTAACATTAAACATCAACTGTTCTTTTAGGGAGAAATACTCAATGATGATGATGATATTTAATGATGGTCACGCTTTATGTATTCAAGTTGACTTTATGCTCTGATATAGTTGCTAGTTGATTGGTAATATAGTACTGGCCATGGATCGTAATAGTGAAGGCGGAGGAGGAGAGGTAATGAGTACGCACTCCTGTTATAAAACGTTCTATGCTTGCGGGACAAAACATCTATCCCTTATGCATTATTCTCAGGTTTTAAATGTTCCTCTAAGTAATGTCAATCAGTTTCATGATGAATACCGACTTGGAAAAAAACTCTTCCCCCCCCCCACCCCTTCACATAAAAACCCTATAATTCCAATTACTATGGTGATTATTATTATTAATACTTTGGAAGTTGTATTATTCGTCATGGACTGATATCAGTTGGGGAACTATTGAAAATCTCGAAGCACTGAATAGCTGTTTCGTCCAACCAGTATGCGACTCCTCAGCAGTACACACCCATATCACTTCCTGTTTGTTCTCATCTTTCTCGGTTAGTTATATATATTCACTTGATAAGTAAGTGTGTAATAGATCAGATTGTTTGAAATGTATTGCGGAAATACATCATACACATTGTCTAGATAAACTTCGTCTTCTAATTACACTATCGAAGCTCCTAGATTTTGAATGGTTCCCCAACTTGA